CTTTTATTTTATTTTATTTTATAGTTCTTAATTATTAAATATATCCTAGAATTATATATATAGATTCTATTCTAATTAGGCCTGAGATTAATTATTATTTATATTATAAGTTCTAGGCTATACTAATAGAAATAATTACGAAACTATAAATCAAGTATTTTATTTAATATTTTCTAGTTATTTATATATAAAAGGCTTTAATTATATAGATAAATCGCGGCTATAAAGCTTTTTAGCTATAATCTTTCAGGCAAATTAGCTATTAAATATATTATAATAGTCTTATTTATAATCTCTTGTCTTATTTACTTGGTATTACTATTTGGCTTATATATATATAAAAGAAAAAGCTCGATTTTAATATCTTATTTCTTTATTTAAATCTAATAAACTAATATTTCTTAGATTAAAATAATTGCTTTCTTCTAATTATATTTAATATAAGTAATTAAAAAGTTATATTACTTATATATTTATTATTTAAAATCCCTAATTATATTAAATATTAATAAATCTTTCTTATTTAATAATAGATATCTAAAAAGCTTACTACTAAATTCGTTCTTAATTATTAGAATCTAGTTCGAACTATTATAGCTATTTAGATAATTAAATAAGTTCTATAAAATTCTCTAAAATAGTTAAGTAAACTTTCTTTTAATTAGCCTATATAAAATTACTTATCTAGTATATACCTGAATATAAAATTCGTATATAATTCTTATTAGTCTATTAATTTTTATATTATATATATAATTAATAAGTTTTTATAAAGCTTTATAGGCTAAATATCTCGCTTTTATATATATATTTTTTTCTGAATTATTTCTCGATTTAAGATATTTCCTTAATCTCTTATATTAGGTTCTAATTAAATATTCGAATATTAGAAATATAAGTATATTACTAATACTAGTAGGAATTTCAAACGAAATATTAAAATAAATAAAGAATAACTTATATTTAAAGAAAACTAAATTAAACCTATATTCTAATTATATTAAGACTATATTTTCTTTATAATTTTCTAATCTAATTATAAAATTATAATTATAATACTAAGCTTTTTTTTCTATTAGATAAGCTTCGGAAATAATATTTATATAAAATTCTTTAATAACTATAATATTATAAAGAATTAGATTTTTAATATATGATTTTATAAGTCTATTAATTATATTTTTAATTATATAAATACTATATCTAATAATTAAAAAACTAGTTATTTCTACTTTTATATAATTATTAATTTTTGTTTTAATAAAAATATTAGAATTAATTAAATTCTTATTATTAACCAGGTATATAATACTATAATTACTTAATAAAATACTCTAAAAAAATAAATATCTTAAGAAATCAAGTATTATATAGATTCTCTAATCTAGGCTCTAGATTATAAGTATTGGATTTACTAAAATAGTTTTAAAGTTTCTAGAAAATTGAATTTTGGATACTTTAGGCCTCTTTTTAGAACTAGTACTGGGTATTAGTTTCTTTATAACTTATTTACTAGTAATTTTTATACTATATTTCTCTTCTAGCTAAGGTTTTAAATTCTTTTAATATTTGGTTAAAAGCCTTTTCCGGATCTTTCTAATTTATTTCTTATTAGGCTTGAATTTTATCTAAATCTTATTTAATTTAGTAATTGCAATTTCTATAATAATATAGCTAAATAGGTTCTATTTATATTTAAAGTTCTTGGAACTCTTATAAGAATACTTATAATACTTCTCCTTATCCGAATCGGGTTTACTATTCGATTCTTTACTAGTTTAATTCCCGAATATAGTAAAGATTATAAGAGCTTCTAAATACTTAATATTCTAATTTTCTAAAATAATTTAATTAAATACCTGACTATATTACTCGAGTATAAGAATTAGAAGCTCTAGTTTGTTTTTATTATATAAATTACTAGACTATTCTATTATTCAGATTAATACGAGTTTCTACTAGAAAGCTATTAAGAATTTAATTACTACTAGAATATCTTTAATTTCGGTAATTTTAAAAGCTCTAATATAATTAAATACCTTTTTCTAATTAGTAAACTAGTACTTTGAACTCACTCCTCCTTTATTTACTTATAATAGAACTAAGCTATATATTTTCCGAATAATAATAATTTGTACTATATCTATAAAACTGTATTTCGTTAATAAAGCCTTAAAACCCTTGTAAATAGAGCTCTATTTACTCTTTTTAAGTCCCAAAATAAAGTTTATAAGAATCTCTATATTAATTATTTAATAGAGCCACTGCCTAATTATATAGTAATATACTAGCTTATTTATCTAGTTTAGTTTCTTAATCTTATAATCCCGTAAAAGTACCAAATAGTAATTTCTAATATCTCCGAATATTATAGGTTATAGAAATACTAGTTTTAATTCTTTCTTAATTATAGGTCGAGTATTCTTATCCCAATTCTCTGCTTTAATTTAATATCTAGTATAGTAATTCTCTGTTTCCTTTAGTATAAGCTTATTAATTATAGGAAAAGGCCTGGGAAAAGCTATCATATTTGTTTTAATTGCTTTATTATTAAATGAGTTAATCTTATCCCAGATACCCTCGTTACCGGCTGCTTTATAAAGAGCGTTGAACTAGTCTGCCCAGGAACTATAGTTCTTTAGGACGACTATTTTAACTATAGCTTCTAATATAATCGCAATTAAACTTATAGAAATAGTAGGAACTATAGGAATGGTTTCTGTTAATTGGTTAATAACGGAAATGCGAACTAAAGTGTGATTTTCAAAGAAATAATTAAATGAGCTCTTGAATACTCTCTGCGGCATACTAATTAGGAAGCTTATTAGTACGAGGCCGGGCTCATAACTAATATACGTAAAGATCGTAGAGTAGGGAGTTACATTAAATAGTAAAAGAGTTAATTGAACTAGCTAGAAAAGAGCTTGAGTGAAGTGTGAAGCTTCAGGAAGTAAGTGCACAGATCCTGACTAAGTAAAGCGATCGCACTAGCCCCAATTCAGTGATTCTCACTGCGACACCTTCTCATTTCTCAAAATGTACTTCTCATCCTTTTTCCTTCAAGGGAGCATCTTGGCTTTCGTAACGTCGAACTGCTCCAGGGTACGACTGATACTTGAAGACCACGAACACGAATTGAGCAAGGCTCTTTTGAAGTAAACAAATCGAATTCACCAAGGTCTTCAAATTCGTCGAATTTGATATGAAGGTCTTCATCTTCAATTCGTCCATGAAATTCACGAATTTTGATAAGCACTCCGGTATAATATTAATCCGCTGCCGGACAACTGCCACGTACCCCGCCATACAGTTTTATATCATACCTATCATATCAGTGTGCCCCTGCCAACCCTTGCAACACCCCTGTTTTGCTCGCGTAGCATCCCTAAAACATGGGTGTATGCCCAAAGCAGTAATTTTTGATCTCGACACTCTTTTAAAATACATAAGCACCCTTTCAGGGTAAATCCAGAGACGGTGCTTATGCATTTGAGAAATTGGTTCCCTTCTAGCCCCCTTCCCCCGTACTTATCAAGCTAATTTTTGTAATTTTATCGTAAAGTAAGACTTTCTTTTTCGGCTATTCTTTAGCCCACAGCACGCGCACAAAAGATGGGCAAGAAGCATGTCCCTCTCTTGCCCCTTGTTATTGCTTAAAAGTATATTATCAAGGCAGGCAGGCACGCGCGTACGCTCAGGGTATACGGATATGCTCCGCATGCCGTCACGTGCCAAAGGCGCGTAACGGCGTGCCCGAGTGTCACGGCCTGGACAAGCTGTGAAAGTGGAATGTAGTGTGTTTTGGTATGTTTGTAATGAATAATGGTGCCCTAAGGGCGGTAAAGAAGCTATATATACGCCTGTGCGCAGCACGTGATACCTAGCCTATTAAGGTCCTAGTATTAGTAGAGATAAGCTTTTAGAACTCCCAGAATTAGCACAATGGCTAGTTCCACTTAACTAAGTCAACCTTCATTCTTTTTTTGAAATGAATCCAAGTTTTATCTATATTTATGAAGCTCAGTCTCTTTAAATAGACGAGTCTTACTCGAATTGCTACCGAAAATTCACTAGAGCACTAGCTATTAGGGCAAATGAGGTCATTTTATTGGAGACATAGTAGAATCTGTATTCGTGAATCAGACCAGCAAAAGCGTCGAAATTGACGAATCAGAGGCTGGATACCACGAACCCGAAAGCTTAAGATTCGTCGAATTCGTGATCCAATTTGTTCGTGAAATTCGTAAAATTCGGCTTCAAATATCACCCGTACCTACATCTATGCCACTGCCACCAGAGGCTATATATAGCACTAAAGAAGAGCTATATGCTTCAATTCAAGCCTGGGCAGCACATCACCACTATGCCTTCCGCATTGGACGATCTACTAAGATACACAATACCGTACGAAGTAGGATCCAATACAATTGCGACGGTTGCGGCCCACCACCACCCGGATAACAGCTTGCAAGCCCGTAAACGACAAACACCTACCCGCAAGACAGGCTGCCAGTTCTCAATAGCAGCTATTGAACGTACGAATACACAATGGGAGCTACTCCACAGGCCTGGTAAAGAATACAGCATACACAACCACCCCCCAAGCCAATCAATTAGCTCTCATCCAGCACACCGGAAACTGGCACAAGCAGAGATGAACCAGGCTAGATCTCTCCATAATGCAGGTAAGTCTAATTATATAATACCTTAAAAGAAAGAAGTCTAATATATTTATAGGAATTAAGCCAGGCCAAGCAATTACGTACCTTCGCGAGATGACGACTACTCCTTTTCAACCGTACAATATATATAACTTGAATGCCTCTTTTAAAAGGGAGCAAAGGCATGGGCTCTCTGCAAACGACGCTCTGGTTCAGCACCTTAAGGACAAGGGAGTACACTTCAAAATCAATATCACGGCTACAAATCGGAGTCGTCACCTCTTTATTGCTTACCCTCAATCAATCAAGGTTGCTCAAACCAACCAAGACGTTATACTCGTTGATAATATGTATAAAACTAACAAATTTGACATGCCACTCCTTCACGCGAAGGATTTCATAGCAATGAGGGGGGAACAGGTAGGGGAACTTCGTCAAGTTGAGATCTACATGCAGCGATAAATTTACAAGTTATATTACACGCCGAAGCAGAGATGTCGTCTCATACAATGTAACCAGCCTGATCCACTGAGCCTAGCTCAAGGACTGGCTGATGCTTTCACTTCATCTTCTTTGCTACCGCCGACTTCGACGGCATCCATTGCGTCCGTGTTCTTACTCGCCTCATCCTCCTCAAGCATCTTCTCCACCGCCTCCCTATCCTCTTTCGTAATCTCCTTGTTGATAGCCATCCTCCTCAAAATATCCACTCTCCACTTCGCATCCATACCCGGAAACGTCTCTCCAGATAAAACGTACTCCTCATCCGGAACCACATGAACAATCCGAATATTGTACTTCGCCCTCCGCAACAGCAAAAGATCTCCGTGGATTAAGAACTTTCTTGTGACTTCTGGGTTCCAATTATCGATAGTCGACCACGACAAGTACCCGTCATTCATCGGCTCGAATTTCTTCCTGTTTGGTGGGCCGCCGATATACGCACCGTGTTTGTAGGCAAGTCGATGCCCTTCTGCTGCGGATGACGCAAGCCCACTGGCGTGGAGGACCTTCCCTATGCTTTTTTGGAAGATTAGGCTGCGAGGGAGTTTCATGTTGGGATTTGGTCTATTGTTCGGGGTAATTATGCCAGCTTTCATTTCGGCATCGGGTTCCGCTGGTTGAGGTTGCTTTTGGTTGAAGATGAGTCGATGCTGGGTTTCGGTTTGCTGCGCCACATGGGCTCCATGCACGAGCTCCACAAAGTCTCGAGCGAGCGCGTGCTGCGCTTTTCGTTGCGAGGGCGATTCCTTGTGTTCTTCGAGTAAAGCATCAATGTCCTTGAGAGGCATGAACGTGAACATCTTCAGGTACTTTCCAACATCCTCATCCGAAGTTCGAAGGAAGTAGCCATAGAGCTCAAATGAACTCGTTTGCGCACTGTCGAGCCATATTGCATTTCCAGCACTTTTTCCAAACTTCTGACCAGAGGATGTTGTGAGAAGTGGGGAGGTAAAGCCTATGGGTTCGCCAACTGAATGGGCCTCTCCTCTCACAATCGGATTTGGGTGGTGAGTCGAGATGTACTTAACAGCAGCAATACCGGCCGTTATGTTTCCATATTGGTCCGAGCCTCCGATTTGCATCGAGATCCCTTTGGTATGAAACATGTACCACCAATCCCAAGCCTGCATAAGCGGGTACGAGAACTCTGCATATGACATGCCGTCGCCTTTCCTCATCTTGTTTTTAACACTGTAAATATCAGCAGATAATCGATAGGATGGACGCAGGCACCCACGTATCCCGAGCTAACATCGAGCCCAGCCGCATGCCTGGACCCAAGACTTGTAAAACTTCCAGCATTGGTAATTTGTTCCACCACGAATTGTTGTTGACTAATTCTCGATGCCATGGCCATTCCCAGTTGTATCCGTATTTCCTCCCGTACGCCTCTACATTTACCCAAAGCTTCTGTAGCTGTAAATGCATATTCGCCATGTTTGCTGTTCTGATGGCGGCATGCTCCTTCTCCCGGGTTGTCAATCTGTCCGTGGGGTCCCCAATCTTGGCTGTTGCTCCTCCGAGAAGGGATACCGTGTGATAGCCGTTCACATACATCCAGAATATTGACATCAAAGGTAGAAGGTGTCCGATGTGTAGCGAGGAAGCGGTCGGATCGATCCCAACGTACGCGCCGAGCCGTTTATTTGTCATATGTGTATCGAAGGCTGCGCGGTCTCTGAAAAGAGAGTTGCATTAGTAAGAGCAGACTTCAAAGTATCATTGCCATGTTGGTTACCCAGTGATTGATTGGACCAGACCTCTCTCCTCAAGGATCGTGAGCATGCTCTTTTCCTCGCCGGCCCTGATTCTAGCAGCCTTCTCCTTCCATTGATTCTCGGCATCTGCAACCTTGGTCAAATACTTGAGCCCGATCGATCTTCTCGTTGTCTTGCTCGGGGCTTGAGATGCTACCAATGCACACCTAGCGCAAACATAGAGGTTGGGCCGAGTCCAGCTTCGAAGCAAGGATGGTGGCGGCATGACGGCAGATGAAGTTCTAGAAGAGCATTGCGAAGGGGTAGAGAACACACACAGCAGAATTGACCCGATGCTAGCGGACAGCGGCGAGGATTGAGATGCGAAATGTGAAGCTGGGGATGCTCACCCAAAAACTTCATCAGGAAACGCGACCCGGAAAAGGGTCCGCAGCGCTAGACAGGGGGTCTGCCGTAGCGCCAATCCCCTCGTCGCTTCCATGACGCACGTGAGACCTCACCGAAGTCCCAACGCACACTGCGTGGTCCTCTGACTGCCTGGCTTTTCATCTTGTATGTCCCTCTCCTCTTGCTTCTACTTCTTCTCTTCGTCACTTTCTTCTTCTTCTGCTTCTGCTTCTGCTTCTGCTTCTGCTTCATCTCTCAACATTCACAATGGCAGAAACTTTCCTCACTCCGGCCTTCGGCGAGAAGATCGAGAGCGGAGCTGAATACATCCCCGTTGAGCTCATCCCCAAGCAAAAGGACCCTCCGGCTTCGGACGACCCCAGTTTGAAGGCGTATATCTGCACCTATCCCCCATTGGGCCAGGTAACGCAGATTGACAAGAGCACGACCGTGTTCACCGCCTTGCTCGAGGTTGACGAGAGTCGAGTTTCGGATCCGTGGCAGCTCTCACTCTGGCATTCTGAGGGGACGCAATGGCAGGAAGTGCCCATGGATCCCCTGAGGAGCGTTGAGGCTCATCCTGCAGCACTCCAAGGTTCAAAAACATCCTCAGATCCTGCTCTGACTCGTCGTCTCTGCTTCACGACTCCTCTGGCAATTCATCTGCCAACGAATTTCACAATTAAGATCCGTGGAGGGGCTGGCCAGTCTTGGAAATGGGTCAAAGACCATCAGGGTACCGCAGATGGAACTGTCATGCTGAAGTCCGTGACAAGTCAAGATACCATTTCAAGTGAACTGGGAGATTATGTCCAGGGTCTCAACCCCGTCTTGAAATCCAAGAACTACCGCAGCCAAGCACCCGGGACCACACTTTGGTCTGTTGAGACACCCATTGAAGCAGCAGATGGCGAGAAGTCAAGGGTCCAGCACATCAAGTTTGGCTTACCGTGGGGCCAAGGAAAGCTTTCAAGGTGAGCATTCATGATATGTCGCAAGTGATGTTCAGGTGGCTGGCCATTCGTTTCAATAATTTACTGAACTTCGAAGGTGGTTCGCTCTCGTTCGGATCTGGACTCCATGGTTAGCCCCTCGGCAAGGAAAGACTGAATTTGGACTTGACAAGGAGGCTGTCATGTGCTCCTTTCTCAGTCTCACCGGGAGGCATTTGGTTCTGCTTGGCATTAGCGGGGTTGACGATGTCATGACCATGTTTACAAGTGACAGCGAAGGCAACGTTATTCTGCGAGTATGTGGCCTCTTTGTAGACCAAACTCGATAACTCCCGCTGATAAATCCCAGATCAGAAATGACAGTGTGAATGCTGAGACTTCAAGAGTTCTCGTTGCCCATGGTGACAATTTTGAATCTGCCAATGCGGCAGTGATGTACCATGCGAGGGGCATTGTTGCTGCCCGTGAAACTGTTACTAGAGAACAACAGAGAGAGTTCGAAGCTATGAAAGAAGGTGACGAGTCAACGAAACGTTGGGCTGAGAATTGGTACGATGGTTTAACTTACTGTAAGTGCTTATCCAACGAACTCTGAAGATACTGCTGATGAAATGATAGGCACTTGGAATGCTCTTGGACAACGACTCACTGAAGAGAAAGTTCTCAAGGCAGTGACAACACTTGCAGAAAATAACATCAACGTAACCAATTTCATTATTGATGACAACTGGCAGTCGATCGACTATCGAGGCGATGGTCAATTTCAGCATGGTTGGGTTGAGTTTGAGGCTGAGCGAAATGCATTCCCGAATGGCTTGAAAGGAATGGTAACAAAGATCCGAGAAAAGCATCCAAGTATCCAGCATATCGCTGTCTGGCATGCCCTTCTAGGTTATTGGGGCGGTCTCGCTCCTGACGGGAAGCTGGCGAAAACATACCAGACCGTCGAAGTTGTCAGAGAGGATGCCAAGAGGAGGAATCTGCCTCTGGGCGGAAAGTTGGTAGCTGTCGCGAAAGAGGACGTACCAAAATTCTACGATGATTTCTATCGATTCTTGTCATCTTGTGGAGTCGACGCCGTCAAGACTGAGTACAAACAACCACTTCTGTTGAGATCTTGCTGACCTGGTAACAGCGCCCAATTCATGCTTGACACTTTCAAGTTTGCGATAGACCGCCGAGAACTGATAACCACATACCTCGATGCCTGGGCCGTCTCGACACTTCGGCACTTCAGTGTAAAAGCGATCTCTTGCATGTCTCAGACTCCTCAAATCCTCTTTCATTCCCAGATGCCACAGAACAGGCCCCCAATTTTAGTCCGCAACTCCGATGATTTCTTCCCGGAGATACCCTCCAGCCATCCGTGGCACATCTGGGTCAACGCCCACAATGCTTTATTCACTCAACATTTGAATCTAATCCCGGATTGGGACATGTTCCAGACAGTCCACGATTATTCGGGCTTCCACGCCGCAGCTCGTTGCGTCAGTGGTGGCCCGATCTATATTACGGATGTCCCAGGCCAGCACGATCTGGATTTGATCAACCAGATGGCTGGACCTACCCCGCGGGGAAAGACCGTCATCTTCAGACCAAGTGTGGTAGGAAAGAGTTTAGATCCGTACAATGGATACAACGATAACAAGCTGCTGCTCGTTGGAACGTATCATGGTAGGTGTCCACTCTCCACACGAGATTTACATTTCTGACAACCCCTAGGCGGGGCAGTCACGGGAACCGGCATTATTGGCTTCTTCAACGTTTCCCAACGACACCTCAGCGAGCTGATACCTCTTTCGAAATTCCCCGGCGTTGTTGAAGCTCAGTACTACATAATACGTGCACACTCCAGCGGTCTTGTCGCGAAGCCTATGCAAATGGTTGATAAAAATGCCCTGATCTACATATCACTCGGCGTCCGAGGCTATGACATCCTGTCATCATACCCGTTACGCGGCTTTGTTGATGAGAAGAAGAACGAGACAACATGGATTGCAAACCTAGGTCTGCTGGGTAAGATGGCCGGCGCAGCTGCGATTGTCGACAACCGAATTACGAAGTTAGAGAACGGGAGGATTTCTATCGATACGGACATCAAGGCTCTTGGCACTCTCGGCATGCAGCCATTCTTTTCAACGAGTACTCAGAAGCTAACCTCATTCCTAGGACTCTACATTAGCACACTCCCACAGATATCGTTCAAACACAGCTTGATGATCACGATTCAAGGCAAAGTCTTGCCAGTTCACACAATCAGCATCAGCAAAGTGAGCGAGTTCGTACTCGAGATTGATGTCGAAAAGGCATGGGCAGAAATGGAGCTTGAAAGCGGATGGAGCAATGAAGTTGAGGTCAAGATTTATATCAATCCCGCCAAGTAGATGAGAAGAAGCCAAGTCTGCAGCGTGGCTTGATAGGGCAGCGGTCAAGTATGCCGGCAACAAGACTAGAGTTGCTTAAAGATTGGGAGCTCTCAGCCAGCAATCGTGCACCAAAATAGATCATGATTCGCTGCTTCACACCAGTCAACTCTATATTCACGTGACGACGACTCGTTATTCAGGGATTCGTGCAAAATGCCTACTTAGCACACCCGTTTCCCCATCACAAGACAAAGGTTCACGACTACAACATTACGATTTCACACCGCACTTTCCACTCTGTTTCCCCTCATTCAAAAGCTGGCTCCTTCCCACACTGCTGCAGGTACACACCGATCTCGGAGCTTAAAGTCAGCTCATCCGACAAATTGACCACTTCTCTATTCCACCCTTCCTACTCCTGTCTCTCGCAACGCAACTAAACCATGGACGCACCACACCCTTCCCCCTTTATGCACAACCCCATCCACCCTCACACCCACAAAACAACCCTAATATTCCTCCACGGCACCTCGCAGACCGGGCCCGAACTCGCTTCTATCTTATTATCCTTCCCTATCCCTCCACCTGTTCGATCACTCTTAACCTCCCCCAACTCCAACCCTCTAACTCAAGACCAAACGGAAACCAAATCGTTGACCGAGTTATTACCAAATACGAGATTTGTCTTCCCCACCGGTTCTCCGAAGAAAACTACGGTCTTTGCTGGACTGGAAACGAATTCTTGGTTTGATATCCATACGTTTGTTGATAGGACTGTTGGGGAAACGGAGCAAATACTTGGTCTTGCCGAAAGCATAAATTATCTTTCAAGCTTAATAAATGATGAGGTGGAAGAGCTGGTAAAAGCGGGAGTAAGGAGAGGGGAAGCCGGCGACAGGATTGTGGTGGGAGGATTTAGTTCCGGTGCTGCGTTGGCTGTCTTGGGGCTTTTGAGCGGCGAATTGGAAAGAAGGGAGAGAATAGGAGCGGTTGTGGCGTTGAGTGGATGGTTGCCTTTCCGTGCTCAAATCGACAAAGTCATTGAAAATCATAAGGGAGTGAGGGATGAGGAGAGGATGCGGGCGGTGAGGAAGTATGTGAGGCAACTGCTTTATTTGAATGATGGAGCGCAAGGAGGTCAGATGGAGGAAATGAGAGAGGAAAAGGTGGAGATTTTGATTTGCCATGGAAAGAAAGATCTTAAAGTGAGGTATGAGTGGGGAGTTGAGATGACGGGTGCCCTGAAGAGGATGGGGCAGAAGATTGAGTGTAGGAATTATGAGGGGTTGGAGCATTGGGTTTGTGGAGAGGAGATTTTGGATGTTGGGGCTTTTGTAGAGGGTATTTGGGAAGGCGTTAAATAAGTTTCTCTCATTTGAAGGTATTAAATTTGGTCCCATTCAACATTGGTCATTATCTTTTCCATCCACGTTATAATCCACTCCCTTCCATCTCCTCAGATTTTGACCCCCAACCCCCAACCCCAAGCCTCCTACTCAACCATCTCCCCAATCGCCTTTCCCAATTCACCAGTATCCATCCAAACCTCGTAATACTCCGCCTGGCACCACTCCTCATCAACCCCCTTAACAAACCTCCCTAAACTTGCAACGGGACAAACCACTTTCCTCCCATTCTTTAAGTCATATGTCACTTTGCCAGTCACAAGTATCTCTCCTCCTTCCCCAGCGGCGGCCGGATTCACGAATCCCGACTCGAGGACATGCATGCACTGCACGATTGGCCCGTTAATAGGATGGATCATCGAATCTCGGGCTGCGCGGATAGCATCGCGCCCGATTTTAGCTCCGCTGAATACGAGTGTTGCATTAGGCGTGTAGTAGCGGAAGTAGGCGTTGTTGCTATTGTTATCGTCCCAGTTTTTGAGGATGTTGGTCATGGAGTCTCGGATGTTAGCGGGGAGGGCGGAGTGGTTAGAGAGAGAGTAGCTTCCTTGAAATGCCATTTCCGTGTTTTGGTGAAGATTTGATCTTTGTTGCATTAGTGAACGTGGTGGTTATGTAGGAGAGAATCAGGAGTGCGGGGTATACGGAGGGGGTTTTCCGCTGTGGCGTCTCGTATCCAAAACTCGCTTCAGGGCCAACACTTCGAGATTTCTAGATAGCGAGCAGATGTGAAAATTCTCCGTTGATCTAAGCAATCAACCAGTATATAGTTCCTACTAGGATCGGTTGAATGAAATTAATGACCAAGAAGGTGGTGATCTTGTGAAATGTTGACGGCGAGTTGATAAATGTGAACCAAGACATTTTCACTCCTTCACAGGTGACAAGCAACACTTGCTCACATAACTGAATTTGTTTGTAGGAGAGATTCTGGCTGTTAAGGTCCAACTAGCAAAGTATCAGCAACTTCTGGTTTTCGAAGGGAATTCAGGAAAATCATCTGGTCAAGACTCGATGAGAAGTTTTACGAGGATGTTTACAGGGCAGCTATTGAACAGTGAAGAACACCACTTAATGTTATCATATGAGGGAAATGCTTTGGCTGGTGCGGCTGCAAATTTAGGTTAAGGAACGGGCTGGCATCATCATAATGCAGGAGACGAAATTGCCCCTAAAATTACATTTCCCTGTTAAGCGAAGCGTCGACACAAATCTCAATCAGGAGAGCATTACCACCACGATTTTATTTGTGGTATCAGTAATTCCGAACAAAATACCTTCGGCGAAAAATACGTGCAAAGTGTGATATATCGCGCCCTAAAACCAAGTTGAGAACTAATTGACATCGAGGTTGTTGAAACCAAAAGCAGAATTTGCAAAAATCAAATCTCCTCCCCACTTCAACTGGAACCGAAAGAAAGAAAGAAAAGGGGGGGGGGAGGGGAAGGGGTTAAAAAATTAAGAAGAATTGGTACACATGCAAGTCTCAGATGTTGTTGAAAGTTGCCCAATCTGGGAGGTGTAGAGAAATCGTGAAAAGCTGAATCCACATCCAGACTTCATAATGATTCTAGGAAAACATCCGCTTCTTTGCTAAGGTTTTCAAAATTTGGGTCTTGAAAACAGTAAGTGTATTTGCCACAGTCTACTGCGGTCAGTTCATGATAATTCTCGATCAGACTTGAAGATAGCTTACTTACTCCTTATGCTCTTCAAAGACTTTGGCTCTGAGAACTATCGCGAATGGGCGGCTTTTTCCAGAACTTCGGTTTTTTTGGTAGGCACAGGAGTCGATGCCGGGGGCGGCCCCATGTTGGCTTGAAGGGGTCCCGGCGATTATGGTTCCCAAGGTGGTCCAGACTATTAAGATTCAGTTGCAGTTCAGGAAGTGTTAATATTGTCTGAGTCCTGGGAGCCTACGTTTTCCGCACGTGTAGTGGCCTCTTGGTTCTCAGTGAAGGTACCGGCGGCTGCAAAAGTAGAAGCCATAACAAGCGCAATACCGAAGTCCTTCAGAAGTCGCATTTTGGCGTTGGTGAATATACAGAGCTTGGACTCGCTTTTGATGATAGGATAGCTGAGAATACAGCGTTGTAGTTCTGTCCCCAGATAGTTTGCCTCGACGCTTGGAGCTGGAAGCTGCTGACGAGAAAATGGTCGAAGGGGGAACCATAAATATAATGTGCGTGTAATTAAGGGTCACCTAGCCCATGAGAGAGCCTCTCTCTGTTCCGCAGCAAATGCCAATTTTGAATATTAAGATGATAAGATCTGCGTAGTTGCTCCAGCACTTCAAGTACTTTGTGAAGTGGACCTGAGATCAGCAACCTTCAAATTATTATCGGTGTAGCACTTGACAAGGAGTATTGGAGACCTTCTGCCATTGTAGCACTCGGAATTGGCTGGACCAAAAGAACTTGCTGACGGTGAGGGGGGCACGCGAATCCGCTTAGTCGTGATGCACACCCGCCAATTTGTTAGCGAATACAGCCTGAAAATCAAACACCCGATCAATTTCTTTTAACAGCCAACACACTCAGCTTCCCTTGAAAAACAATATGAATTAATGCGCAGTCTATACGAGTACCCATTATAAAGTTGTAAAAATTTAATTAACATTATTATGAAAGTTAATATAGAAAACGTTGATTTTCGGCCCGGACTTCGGTGTGTCTATCACGACGAACTGGAGGCGCTAGAGTGAAAATTCGCTTAAGCCTTAGGCACCGACATCGCTTAACTTTCACCTAAGGAGTACTTAGTCTTGCCACAAACTTCTTACAAGGATTAGGTTTCTCTTCTAGAAAAATATCTCGATTTCTAGAACTCACTCCCGTATCGCGTGAAGTAATATCTTACCCCGTCGATCGATTACTTGGTATAAGTCTCACTCCTGCCTCTTTGCCTTTGAACAATCAACGGAACGGGCTTAAGCGCCAGTGGAGATTCGGCTAAGTGCGATACGCTACTGGCCCCTCTATCCTAACTTGGAAATTGGGAATGCGAAGCGAGAGAAGCGTTTTCACTCTTCTCACGCTTCACTCTTCCTTCTCTTCTCTTGCTTACTGAGTAAGCAGTGAAGTTTTAATCAGCCCTCACTTCTTATCCCTATGCTTCCTATCATGCGTTTAGTGAATTCAAAGTTAAACACGATCGATCATAAAAGTCAACGGAAGCCCCCACGTGCTCGACGTGGGTCCGCCCGAGAGTATGCATTGAGGCTAGCCAGAACGGTTCGTCCGAGCCCACATCCTCGTATTCACCACCCCAACCCTCCCTTTTCGCAACTCGAACTCCCTCCTCCTAAAACTTCTTGAACACCACTTTTGGCCTCTATACGTCTTATTCTAATCACTAATTGGTGCATTGTTATTGCGAGTGTGTGTGTGTTTGCGATCTTACTGTGCCATGTCACGGATGAGGGCTGAATCTCCTCAACCCATCACGCTGCAGCCGATACTTCGAACGCCGAGCAAGCGACGACGACAGGACCGGGGTTCCGATGGTGACAGTAAGCCAGTAAGCGGATCGCCAGTAAAGAAGGCCAGGACACCGAGGAGGGTACCGGCAATACCGTCCCTAGAAGAGCTGGACGCGGCCAACCGCGAGCAAGAGAAAGAATGGGAAGCTGAATGGTATGCCTGGGTGGTTTGCCATCTATGGCGCAAAGACAAGAATTTCAGACATCCTCGCGGCACACACACAATATATTGGAGGAACGGTGAGCCACGCCATAAGATTTTGATTGAATTGAACTGACACGCGACCTTAGCTATGAATTCCTTCTCCGTTAAAGAAGGAGAGTTGGACACTCTCCCGTACCAGGAACTTCCAAATCAATATAATCGAAGCAATCCCATACGTTCATACAAGCGCGAAGATGTTCGGGTCTTGGCCTGTCGTAAGCATGCCATGCTGGCGGGGCTGCACAAGCATGGCCTATCAGAAAGAGAATTACTGAGGAGAGGAGAAATCCTTGCAAAGAAAAGGTAAGTGACAGGCTTCGCACCCCCTTTGTGCGAAGTATATCATCTAACGATTCCATAGACAGCTCACTCGTTGTGAGGAGCACCCCGATTCCAAAGCTCTAGTCCCACCGACGCCCATCACATCTACTCCAACAAGTCCTTCGTTCCCTGTACCGACAACGCATCCCGACACATGGCAGACGCCAATCTGGCAGGGAGATCGCATTGTGGGCAGCCAAACTACGATACAATCCGATCCGGAGGAAGAAGAAGATATTTGCGATTATCATGAGTGGGAACATCAAACCCATAGTTAAAGATGCTCAGTTGTACTTGCAGCCCTTATCTGCTGCTACGTATTGGACTCGAAAATCGTTTTCTGTCTGGTGATGGTTTATTACCGTTGGACTCGGAATGCACTGTTTTATGCGATGGTGTATTGGCGTTGGGGTGAACTCACGATGGTGTAATTACGTTGTCGATGCGGTGTTATCGAAATGGACTCGGGTTGCGATGGTGTACTGGAGTTAGAGCTGAACATTCAATAGTGTAGTGTAATGTAATTACGGAATAGAGTGTCAAAGCCGGTTCTCTGCAGCCTGAGTTCGATTTGGACCTATCCTTCTCAATTCTTTTTCTTTTGTTATCCAATCTCTGTGCCTCTAATCAATTACCCCTGTGGAACGAGGATGTTGAGGATTATTTGACAGACACTGAGGCAACAGAGCCATTTCGTGAAACCTCTCCTCCCCTTTCAAAAATGTACGTACCCTCCTTTCTCCTCGCATCCCATTTCGTCAAACGTCTGTCTCGGGACTTGGACAATCTTACGTAGCATCAGTCGTCTTCGTCTACTCGAAGCCACAAGAGGTGTGCTAGAAACCAGGTCGGGAGAGACTCGTTCAAGAAGTCAGCTTTTCACTTAAGCTAGCAGAACAGATTGACGAGTTCAACCAAGAACATCAAGATAAGCCTGGGATTTTCTCATCATACAAGGAAGAGTGCATTGATATATAAAAGAGAGGAAGGATTAGCTTGTCAGGACATTACTATACCAACACCTTCAACCAAGCTTTCGCAGCAAATGAAAGATCACTTATGTACTATTGACTCACCAACCGCTTAACAATTGCAGGGAAAGTTGACACAGTTTGTTTGTTTGGCCCTTGCCAGATTTACCAATGCCTACCCAATTCCGCAAACAGGCACCGAAAAGACACCAGCTGCCTAAACTTCAATGTCTGCAATATCCCACAATGTAGTGTCGTTTATAAGCCCCGGCGCAGAAATCCCGTTCTTATTGCCGTGTTTGACATATCTATTCACAGCACTGTTTCCATCAATACCCTTTTCGCTCACGTTTATTGAGAAAAAATTTGCCTTATAATCAGATCAGTAACAGCCAATCCACTGAAGTTGTCTCCTACCAGCTTACGTAGTCCGTTCGCTATCCAAACTTGCGTGTACCCCATCTCGTGACAGGTCAAGTCTTTACCTGTAACGGAGCAAGGCTTCTTGCCAAATATGATCCAGCAAGGATTCCCGCCTACACATGCAAGGGGAAGCAGTTTTGGAAGTGTTTGTAAACCAATCACAGGTGTCGCGTGTGGAGATGCAACAGCCTGCGCCAATATTTGCTCCCAGTCCTGCGTTTTGTTGGCCTCTATGAAGTATTGTAACCCATAGGCACATAGGCACAGGTTAAAACTGGTTTGGAAGGAAACAACCCATCCGCAAATGTCCAAAATGTTCTGAACACCGAATGATAGGAAGTGAAAACAAGAGGTGGCGGTAGGAATACTAACATGAGAAATGGCCCATGCTGGCTAAAGTCCTGCTACCACGCGGCGGGAATGCACATGACGACCAGGTCCTTGGTGATAGCTTGGCCATCAAAATATGGATCAGAATCCTGTACTCCTAGCAAATAATCGTGCAATTCACGACTTCGCGAATCAACTCCTCCCACGTCATGTCCAAACATACCACCAGCTCTGAGACCCATGCTCCACAGAAAGCCCTGGCGGATAAACACAGATCTAGCAATCTGAACACATTTCCATTGCATCCCGCACTTGCACCAGCAAGCCTTTCCTGATCTTATTTTTGAACAGTTCATAAACATGACCCTAGAACTCTACTTTCTATTTAAACATAGTATGCCCAGATCCGTTCTCACCTTCCCCACTCGCACTTGCTTCTCGCATTCTCTTGAAACCACTGTGGAGAAGACAGACCAAACCCTCTTCAATGCAACCCCAGGTGCCCTTGCACCAAATAGCACAATACAATTCACAGCTCTCCAAACATGCCAAAAGTCAGCATTACGAATCTGAGAAGCACTTGCTCCTACCCCACGTCCAATGGAAAAAGACCTGGCGGATGAAAGGGTTCAGATATCTTCATTCCTCTTTTCTATAGCACACCAAGATCCAGCCCAGTTAGACATATGTATTGTATACACCCAGCCACGCCAAAGAAACAAATAGCCACAGCTACAGCCACAGCGCCAGTGCCACAAACAAACCACGCTTCTCTCTAGAAATAGCAAACGCTCCACTCAGCAGGGCAAAATTACGCTCAGAAAAGGCACCACCTATACAATATTATAGGTTCGCAAGCTCACAAACTCTCAATAGCCCTCATCAAAACATTCAGCCCTCTATCCTCCACTCCTTCCCCACTCAATGCCTCCTTCAAGATCCAACTAACATCGCTCTGCACCCCAAGGGGGATATAACACCCACTCCTTGCCTTCTCCAGACTCTCCTTCAGACGACTCGTATGCTCCCACTCCCTAGCCGCCACCTCCGCCCTATCAATCACTTTGGAAGGAATCCCACACATAGCCGCGCAGTGCATGCCGAAACTGCCCTCCGCAACGCCATCTTCAAGTTTATACAGGAATGTGACCTGGCGATTATCATCGTCGACATGGATCTGCATCCGCTTGGGCGCGATCTCAGGATGGCCCGCAAACTCGGTGGCCAGGGAGTGGTAGTGCGTTGCGAAGAAACCTGTGCAGCCAATGTGGGTGGCGACGTGGTGGAGGACGGATTGGGCGACGGCGACGCCGTCATAGGAGGAAGTCCCGCGGCCGAGCTCGTCTAGAATGACAAGGGAGCGGGGCGTGGCTTCGGAGAGGATCTTCTTGGTTTCGGAGAGCTCAACGAAGAAAGTGCTTTGGGCTGCGAAGATGTTGTCGTTGGCGCCGAGGCGGGACATAATGCGGTCACAGGGTGTGAGCGTTGCTGAGATGCAAGGGACATAGCAGCCAATTTGAGCCATGATGACGGCGACGCAGGTCTGCGAGACGTTAGATCATGAGATGTGAGGTGTGATGGAGAGCTTACCATTCTCAGGATTGTTGACTTTCCAGCAGCGTTTGCACCTGTCAACAAGTTGATGTTTGCAGCATCACCACCAAGCTTGACGTCGTTTGGGATGAAATCTGTGACGTTGGGAAGCATACAAGGATGACGAAGCTCCTCAAACTCGACAATACTTCGTTCAGACTCGACAAAGTTAGGTCGGCAGCTGGGCTCTCCCAGGGCTGCGGATGCTGCAGCAAGACTGATCAAACAATCAAGCTGTGCGATGACTTTGACAGCTTGGAGCCAAATAGTGTAGTCCTGATCAAAGCGGGCGTAAAATCTGCTGGCGACTTGCTTGACGATCTGACCATGAGTCTCTTGAGCTTCCTGAAGTTGTCGAATGAGAGATTTCAGCTCTGGGAAGTAGTATCGCTTGAAGCCTGAAGCTGACGACATCATCTGCCAATCTTTGGGAACCTTGATGGTGGCAGGGACTTCAAGTTGATACACCTCCTTGCCGATGTTCTTGTAGATAATCTTGGAAGTGTTGCCACCGAGCTCTCTGCGCTTACGTTGCAGAAGGTTGTCCAATTCTCCTTCCAACTCCTCAATTCGGTCTTGACTTTCATCAAAGTCCTCCTCCACTCCACGTTCAGGCACAAGAAGTTTGTTCTCCCTTGCCTTCCCATGATCGAAAGCTGTCTTCCACCACTTCAGTGGCTCCTTGAGATCTGGCATGGCCGCAATGAGACGGTCGACGATACCTTCACCACCACCAAATGCTGATAAAAGGCTCATGGTGTACTCAATCTGCTCGAAGCCGTCAAGAACCTTGACGAAATCTTCGGCTCTGCAAGATCCAGCGTGGATGCGAGAGATGAATCTTTCCAGATCCGGCATCCGTGTCATTGATGTTGTGAACTGATCACTCAAGGTGCGATCCTTGTTCAGCATATCGACGGCATCTAATCTCTCATTGATCCTCTTGGAATCAGCCAGAGGGTGGCAGACCCATTGTTTGAACATGCGCTTTCCGAAAGGTGTGACGCAGCGGTTGATCAGCGTGAAAAGCGTGCCTTCCTGGCTACCGTCGAACGTGTTGGCGAAAATTTCGAGATTGATGAGAGTCTGACCATCGAGTACCAATGTAGTGCCCTTCTGTATTGGATTGTACCAATTGAAGTTGCCTTGGGTTAAGAGGCTGCGCTCCAGCTTGAGGGTTCGCAGATACTGGACAAGAGCACCGAGGGCAGACATCAAATTATCGTTCTGCTTAGCCTCTGCAAGCTTCTCTGGCCATACTTCCCCTCCCCCAGACTCGTCAGAAACGAAGTATCCACTGCAGTCAAGCTCCCGTCTCGTGACATCAGCGGACCAAAACTCCTTCCCAGGTTTCAGGTGATTCCATATTGTTGTAGGATTGGTGTTGTTCTTCAAGATGCGCATGGCCTTTGTGGAAATGTTGGACTTCTCAAGTAACAGTTCCTGTGGTCGAATCTGAGCGATGAGGGTCTCGAATTTAGTCAAGTCCGGGTCGTCGACAAAGTCCGAGAGGAAGAATTGCCCAGTAGCCGTATCGACAAATGCAACGCCGAACGTGGGCAACAAATCATCGTTGATGTCCTCCTTGATGGCAATGCAAAATGTTGCCATGTCATCCTGAAGCATACTGCCCTCAACCAGTGTTCCGCCGGTCAGAACGCAGGCCAGTTCACGTTTAATGATCTTGTCTTCCTTACCACCCTTGGCTTTACCACCTTTCTTTCCTTCTGCCTCACGCATCTCCTTGCCAAGTGCAGACTCGACTTGGTCCACTCTCGCAATCTTGAAGCCCTTGGCCACGAATTGGTTTGCCCAATGATCCAGAGATGACTCCGGGACCCCAACCATCCGCATGTTGACTCGATCAGTGAGCTTAAGATCAAATAGCTGATGGCCAATGGTAGCGTCATTCTCGTAAAGCTCGTAGAATTTTCCCTTCTTGAAGAAGACTACAGTATCCCAAAACTTTTGCTTGATTTCCCAATATTGCTTCTCGAATGCGGTAAACTTTGCCCATGCCATTGGAGGGATAAAGACAGTTCGGTGGTCGTACTCAGGATGACCGATTGGATGACGGTCCATGTCTTGTAGATTGGCAAGCCATTCGTATCGCTTTTCCGGGTCGCTCTTGCAAGCTTTTTCTTTAACCTGTTTCTTGTTTGATACAGGAGTTTTGAGAGCATTATTTGGTCTTGGCTGTAATCGTTCGGTGTTCTCTGGGTCGTATTTCCATTGTTGAGCAGTTGAAGTCTCGGGAATCTCCATGTCTTCATCTTCGTCTACGTCTTCATCGGCAGCAGATTGGCGTGCCGGTGGGGTAACATTGGATCGCTTTCGAGAAGTGGCTGTTGATGTAGGACGCTTTCGTTTCTTAGATGGCTTAGCTGGGGCATCTGAATCGTCATCGACGACAAAATCGTCCATCTCGTCTGCCCAGTATTAGAATTATGTTCTGAACATGAACAGGAGGTACTTTACCATCATCGTCATCTGCAGCTCCATCCAAACCACCGATGAACACGTCCTCGTCGTCATCCTCACTCTCCACCACCTTTGCCTTTCGATGCAGCTTTCGTTTCTGGGTATTGATTCCAGCCGGATCGAAAGCGTCCTCGTCATCTTCGTCATCTGACTCGGCGTAGCTAACTACCTTCTTAGCCTGTTTAGACTTGGAGGTTAGTACCGAACCCAATGACCAAAGTTCCTTTACATACCTTGCGAGAAGGGCTGCTTCCGAAAGCCAAGGAACCGTTGACGACCTGCTGAAAGTTCTTAGCAGGCGTCGATGGCGATGGTAGACCAATATCCTCTACCTCTTCCGGGATTCCTCCGTTCTCGTTCTCTTGCGAGCTTGAAGGGCCCATTGCATCACTGCTGGGGACAGGAGTCATGTTCTTGACGGCCGTTTTCTTGAAGGCGGGTTTCTTGACGGGAACAGCGGGTTTCGCCATGGCATTGACGGCTTTTGAGGTATCGCTGGCCTTTAGGATGCCATTGGTAGAGCTTGGGGTAGTGTTCGAAGGTGCTCTCGAGAAGAAGCTATGTATGGAGCGCTGTCCTGACTGCGGGCCGGAACTGGAGCCTTGCTTCTTCAGAGAAGGTGGTGGCTTCGCTGGAGTGGCATTCGATTCCTCCTTGACTCTCGCCATGATGGCAGGCAGCTAGACTATACTAGCTATGGATACGCGAGTCGGGAAGGACAAAGTCAAGAGTGAATTGGGGTTGGAAGTGATTAGGGATTGAAGAAAGAAGGCGGAGCGAGGAGGTCAAGAATCGACCGGGGGGAGACGCGCTGGATTTCTTAGCGCGTTTTCGCAGCGCGTTGAGCGCTTTGACCCCCCGTCTTCTTTCCTCCCTCTTCTTCGCTGTCAACAAACCTCACCCGAACAACTCCATCTCCATTAAGCACAAACTTCTCTCGCATATTATTGTTTGTGAATCTCAGATGGAGGAGAAAAGAATCCCTTGACATTTAGGTTTCTACGAAGTATCCTCGCTGAATTTACCCCCACTAGAACTATCTCCAGACATGCCACTACCTTCTTGTAGCAGGTTTCATTTTCATTCTTTCTTGTCCATCCCTCTTTACCCAGTCTACAGCGAATTTGTGAACCATTGTAATAGCCTCCTCATTCTCCGTTTCCTTCGCACATTGAACAAGCTGCTCAAGTTGATCGCTGTTCCGCACCCGACCATACCGCAACAAGGTTTGCAGAATTTCCAGCCGTTCTTTCTGAATAGTAGTTGAAATAATGCTAAGCCTCATTTCTCTTCCGTTTTGCACTATCCTCTCAAATAATCTCCCGTGGTTGTGAGCCAAACAATGCTGCATACAGAGCTCCACCACCGAGCCGGCCATCGTTCATGTCAGCATCGTTGTCTAATAGAACACGCAGTACGTGGACGATCTTTTCTGGTGGCCGCGCACAAGCGTCTGTAATGAAGCATCGCATTCCGTAGCCGATGGAGGTGCTGGCGAAGCGTGGGTCGTGAGTGCAAAGCACCCGAAGTGTGTCCGCATCAGGGTTGTCTAGGATAGATTGGATGATCCCAACCTCCTCGTAGAAGGAGTAAATCGGGTATTTCTGGAGTAGGAATTCGACGATCGTTGTTTATTTGGAGGCTACAGCCGCTGCGAGAAGCTTGCGGATGTCTGGTTGATAATTTGCAGGCAGCTGTCCAGTGTCATCCAAAAGTCTTTGGAGCGTGGCCAGGTCGTTGGATGAGCATGCCTCCAGTGTCGTGTTCTCATCATTTTCGATACCCTTTTCATTAGGGTTTCTGCTCACTCGCTATAATCTCAAATAATTTAACATCATAGACAAATGATACTCCCACCGTTTCTGGGATATTGCATTTGAGTGTGGCTTGGGTTTACGGTGAATGATTCTATATTTTCTGCTTTCTACCTCACAAATCCCGTGCAAAGGTGATCCATTGATGAACCATCACTTCGGACTCCAGTACTTCGCTCTTTCCTCCTGGCGATACTTTTCATTTGGTGACTTCTTGGCTGGCAACTGCCCCTTCTTGATCCGTCTTTCCCAAGCAGCTCCAGAAGCAACCGGTTCTTCCTCGACATTGAAACCCCTCTGTCCTTCACCCTCGTGCCCCTTCTTCTGTCCAGCAGAAGCACCCGAACTCCTCGCGACCTTCCTCGCGACCTTCTTCTGTCCACCTGAAATCATTCCACCTGCCGACCCAACCTCCATGGCTCGACCAGCTGAGTGCCTCTCCGCCCGTCTCCTCTCCCGATTCCTAGTGAAGACGTCCATTTGCTCGTCAAGAACCCCCGTCTGACCTTCAGCACGACCAAACTCTCCTGTGCCACCAAAAACCCGATCAGGTCCTCTTCTCTCTCGATTGGTCGCAAAAGCTTGAATACCTTGTCCCGTAACCCCTGGAATCGCCACCTTTCCCCTCGCGAACTCGCCTGGCTCTCGAATTGGCAAAGCTGACTTGTTTCTAATGGCCGAGCTGAGGATCAATGGTGAAGCTTTCCTGTCAACCGGCTCGGGTGTGACGGGTCTGAAGTCCTCGACTGATGGCTTTCGTCGCAGTGGAATTGAGGCCCAAGATCGAACCCGTTCTGTTTGGATTGGTCGAGGAGTACTTGGCTTGAAAGGGAAAGGCGAGGGCGCTCGATCCATCCCGGGCCCGAGTCTTTCTCGCTCTTCCAGTTCCCTCTGGGACATCGGTTGCTCCATGGTGGAGCCGATGTTGAAGCTGGATTCCCGGCTGAGAGGTGGTGAAGACATGGTTGATGTCGAGGTTGAGGTTGTCTTGTGTTTTTGTCTTGTGTGAAAGACGATCTGATGAGTGATGTTGTCTCTGCTATGTGATTGTCGAGGACCGCTTTCAAACATGGAGCTGCGTTCACTCTTATCTCTGCCATTCGAATGTTCGAAAGGATGTTTGGACACCGAGCTAGGTTTGCTCTTGGCCCTAATGTAAGAATGTCCGACATCGCTATCTAACAGCGAGCATTGCCTGCTTTTTTCTTCACAAAGACGGTAGTTGACATCACTTTCGGATACGGAGCTTGGCTTGGTACTTCTTTCCTCACCCAGCCGGACAATTGCTTCGAGTGAAGCACTCAACCCCAGGCTTCGACCCTCAATCACGAAAAGCTCCGAGTCCTCATACACTCCGTCCTCAGAATGGCTTTCTCGAGGCAGACCCGAATTTGTCCCTTTTTCATCCTTACTTGCACCCTTCTTTCCACAAAAAAGCTTTCGGAAGCTCCCAAATCTCAGTCCCTTGCCAGACGCGCTTTTGTTCAGATGCTCCACCGATTCCTTGTTCAAAGCCTGACAAGGCTTGTCATACAAACAATCTCGTAACTTCGGCTGCTCAAAAGGAGCTCCAGAGCGAGAGGATCTTGGTTTCAGGGAAGACTTGATGTTGAACTTTGACGTCTGGGTTGTGTTGGTCTTCGGCTTGTACGCGTTGACATCGAGCCTAGGGCGGTCAACGATCCCTCCCCCAATGAAGGAAACCATAGATCGTGTTTCCGGGCTCTCGAAGTCAACAGCTATGGCTTCCTCGCAGCCCAGGAGCCATGCCTTAACAAGCCTGACAGAACGCTGGATTAGGAAGTCCGGAGGGTTGAGGTCGCTGCCGGAGAGATCTGGTCCAGGCTCGGAGGCAGTGGTAGCTTTCTTTGTCTTGGACGCGGTGTTGTTCTTGCTGCGATCACGTTTCTTCTTCCACTTCCTCCTCTTTCCCCTCCGACTCGCGCTCTCACTAACCCCCACGCTCCCCGACTCCTCCCATCTTTCCTTACTATTTCTCGACATGGATAGGGAAAGAGGGTGTATGCCATCTGCTGGCAACAGGAGCGGAACAGATGGAGTGAGGAGTTCTACAAAGAAGTGCTGCGCACTTTCAATCTCTTCATGGCTGTTTGAATAATAGCTTGGTTTTGTCTTTTATAGGTTGGTAGTCACAATAGCAGAGGGACAATGATGGCCGAATGATTCACGAGACGAAATAAAGTTAGGATGGGAACCACTACTCACTCAGATTGTGACAGAAATTTATTTCAAAAATCTCAGTAGATAGAGAGGATCGCTTTTATAAATTTAGCATTTATTTCGAAGTCGAGGCTCGGAGTTGGAGATAATACACGCGATTTCCAGCTTGTATCAACGCTTTATGCTCGTAAAGAGTGTGTCAAAAGATTAATCAATTAATGTGATTAGATTATAATTAACGTAATTCAGATCTTTTTGATTAGGTTAGAATAATTAATCAGATTAATTATAATTGATCCAATTAATCCGTCACGTCGCTATAATGAATTAACGTTTACTTAATAATTATTAAATAACTAGGTCATTTATTAAGTAGCCCTAGTTAAACTAAGATAGGGCTTATATTATAGTAGCCAAATATTAATTTTCAATTATAAAAACCGCAACAAATACACATTTTACTTGAATCATTTTGTTCAGAGGCTAAAATTTTCAGTAGCAGTTTTAAAGATGTCGTTGTCACTGGATGCTGATGGCTGATAACTAGACATACTCTATATATAAAGTCCCCAACCACAAAATATGGCGAGTGTTTCACTCACAGAACTCTTGAAATGGGTCTTGAATCTGGATGCCGAGGCCCCGGAGGTTATTCATGAAATGCTCCAATCCCTAGATTCAACCCAAATTTGACGTCAGTTGCGGCTTTCAGGATCGAAATTTGTGCTGGACATGGAATTCGAGTGGTTTAGATGCGGATACTGATCTCTGCACCTTTTTTGTGACATAGAATCTTCTGATTTTAGGGAAGGAGAAGTTCTCCGGTTGTTGCTGGTAAGAGGCGTGGGTTCGATATGGGTTTGGAAGCAGACAGTCCCCAACAACAGCTTGCATTTTTCTACTTAGCTCTCTTTTCTTCTTGTGATACTGTTTTCCTCCTCGAATGTGAACGACTGCAATCTACTTCTCTCTCTATTTTCCCAGTCTCATATCTTCTGGTGACGTCTCTTCAAAAGCCGCCCATCCAAGAACTCTTCACCCATCCAGACTTCCCTCCAAAAACTTCCAGATGGACGCCTTCACTCCCCAACAAACTGTGGGGCTGGCCAGTCGAATTGGCACAAAACAAGCACACTTTCGACTCGACAAACTCTTCGACTCCATGATGGCCGGTCCTCTCCTCGGATTCGGGTTCTTTAACCTCCCTCCCCCCTTTCAATCCTATCACTAACAAATTTCCCATCCAGTTGCGCAGTCCTGCTCTCAACCAACACAGCCCCATGGTACCAAGAGCACGCCCCAGGCCTAATCCGCACAGCAGGCGCTCTCATGTTCCCCATCGGCCTCGTCATGATTGTCCTCACCGGTGCCGACCTCTTCACCTCCAACATAATGTTCAAGACAACCGCCTACCTGCACCAACACATCCCTATCCTCGACGTCTTGACCTCCTGGTTTGTTTCCTTCTTCGGCAGCCTCGCCAGAATGCTCTTCTTCGGGAGCATAATCATCGGCTACGGCGACGTGCTTTCCTCCGAAGACGTGTATCGCCTAGAAGCGGTGACTTTCGCATCATGAAGGCACAGAATCTAGGCTGGCATCAGATCTTCCTGCGTGCGATTGGTGCGAATTGATTAGTGTTCATGGCTGTATTCCTCTCGATTTCGGCAAGGGAGGTAGGGAGTAAGATTATGGCGATCTGGTTTCCTACCGCGACGTTCGTGGGGTTGGCGCTGGATCATGTGGTTGCGAATATGTTCCTTGTGCCGATGGGGATTTGGAATGGGGCGCCGTTGGGGTAAGGTATTATGCTTGGAAGAGTCTGGTTCTGGGGAATATGTTTGGTGGGGGGTTGTTTGTGGGCGCTGTTTATTGGTATTTGTATCTCAGCGGGGAGGGGGATGTTGGCGCGAGTTTTGAGGTGGGGACTGTGCAGAGTGCCATTCGGGAAGCGAGAGGCCCAATGGGAAGGGAGAGGGGCCTCAAGGGAAGTACTATTATTGGTGTGCCGAGTGGTCGCGAGGGCGAGGCAAATGAGGACGAGCTGAAGATTGCTAGTCTGAGTAGGGGAGGGAAATGAATGGGGACAATTTGCCCCATTCATGGAGTCCCCTGTAGAGTTCCGTGGGTGAGGAGCTGTCGGAGAAGTATGCGAAGAGGAAGGGTAGTGATGAAAGTGAGAAGACCGCTGTGTAGGATATTTTGTTGCATATTGAGAGGGAAAAGCTTGTGGTGTCTGGCGTCCTTGGTATTGGCATACACAGAAACAACCACAGCAGACCTGCTGAATCTTCAGGTACTACAAGATTGTCCCATATCACATCGCACTGTTGTAAAACTCGTAGAGGTGTCTTGATCTTATTTTATTCTCAAATCTAAGTGATATCACTTCTAAATTGTAACTGTAAGCTGGAGACCACATGATTAGAGCGGAACCAACTTACAGTTCATCTTTCTTTGCAGGTTGGACTCCATCTGCAGCTAGACTCTTATGTGGAAAGTATCCCTCAAGATCCATCCATTCACCCACAAACGCGGTGAGCATCCTAGCCCAGTCCTCCACGGTCGGAAGATCCAAATGTGACCCGTCATCATCCATTGTATGCCATTCGTGGGGGAATGGCGTAGGTATGATGTGTAGAACTTCCACTCCACGCGCCATGAATGGAACATGGTCATCCTGGACTCCCCATGCGTTGTTAAATTGGTTCGCGGCTTTCTCGGATTCGGTGAGGAAAGGGTGGTCTGGTTTGGACATTAGGACGCCGAGAGACCGCAACCGCATTTCTAGTCCAGCAAGATTTTGGTATGCCCAATGTGTGGTTTTAAAATATGATGGGACCTTCGGTTTCGCCGTTCCGAGCAGGTCGAGAAGTAGGAAGAGGGTTATGGCACTGATTGGTGTGTGGTAGGTAGACATGGCTACGTGAGGAGTAGCTTCCCACTCTTCTGCCAATGATCTGGAAGAGTCAGCAACAAGATTCAGAATACTCTAAAACGATCCTACCTAGCACCGTAAAGGGAGTCAGTGTTTGTCCAGCTTACAAACGCTTCTTCCCCATCCAAAAATATGATCTGAACGCCTTTCTCCTCCTCAAGACCATGGGAGCCGTCTTCCTCCATAGCAGCCCATTTCCGAGCCAGCGCTTCATCCACACTCCGCGCTGCGTGCATTATCATCGCACAAGGTGCTGCACTGTCTGTTGCGCCGATAAATCCAGCTGGTGTGAGCTTGCTGTCATAATGCGCGACCAAAGCCAGCCTTCCCACATCACCACGTTGTGTCCATGGCGGATCGCGAGTAATTATTATATTCGCAAAGGGAACCTCCCTGCTTCCAGTTGCAGGAGTCGTCGAAGTCGAGTTCTGGAACTCGACTGTCCAACTCGGTAGGTTTGTCTTGAACCATTCCACAAAATGCTGCTGTACAGCTGCCGAGCCTGGCGTTCCTGGCACTCGAGGTATGAGTATGGGAGCAAGTATTGATCCCATTTTGATATCGAAGTCTGGTCCCGCGGCCGGGAGGTTCTGCAGTGTCTCATCTGATAAAGGAGTGTATGCCGTAACGCCGAGGAGGATGCAAACTAGGAGCAGAGCTCGCAATAGTCGGTCTATTGTGTACATTCTGAGGCAGGCGCCTGATGACCTGTCACCGAGAGTCCCGTAGAATCATGATCAGTGTAGTCGAACGAGTGAGAGTTCCGTGTCCCGAGGTTGGTGTTGTTTGAAGATCTGTCAACACCAGGCTAAAAACGATTCGCCAATCGCGTCTAGCGCGTCTAATTCGGGTGTATCTGGCTACCAAGCTTCAGGAATCTCTTTCAAACCGTGGGAAATCATAACCGTCTCAATTCACCGTCAAATCATCTGGACTATCGAAGTCTGGTACCGTGCGAATGCCCTGATGGAACTGGCTTGGTTCTGACGAGGCGAAATCTGCACACCCTCGCTGTTTGAGGTCACCGAAAGCACGTACCGACTCCTCTTACCTTACCCCTGAGGACGGCAAGAGGCTTGAGCTGCAGCGAAATGATCTTCTTGCAACGTGCTGTCTGGAGAACGGCATTTCCAATATCTCGGTCTTCCCAAGTGTATCGAAGGCCACCGCAAATTAAGTCTCTGGTCCGGCGAGTTCGCTGCAGTAGCACCAGGGGGAGCACTCCCAAGAACACTCCAGCTTCCTCTAAAATTGCCCTCAAGAAGACCTGTAAGTAGGTACCTCCGCCCTTTAACACTCTTCTAAAATTCCATAGCGTATCCTGAACGATTACTTGTCTATCATGCCGGAACTGGCCGAACCGTCTTCCTGGGATGTATGAAAGTCACAACGATTTTCATCTTCTCATTCTTCACCCTGGTCGTAGCACCCTCTCACTTCTATGCTGAAGCAGAGCCACCATGGGTTGCCATCGGAGGTGGGTTGCTCATCTTGCCCCTTCTCAAAACGAATCACGTGACGACGATCTCCCTGAACCTCTGCTGATTTTTCGAAGTCCTGCTGTCTGGCATCATTCCAATGGTCTTCGTGGCATATATCACTGGCCCCTTCGTAACATATATCCACCTCCGACTGCCAGCATACGCTCGGCACTCACGAGAGATGCTGATGCGATATACCAAGAGTCTCCCAAACGACGCCTTGCTGGACATCACAACCATGAACTTCATCGGCAAACCACGAGTCACTCGTGTCAAAGTCGCAGACCTGTATCCCATAAAGGAGCGTTTCGGGATGGCAAACTATGCACGAGACACAGATCTCATCAACTCGAACATACCATGGTATTTCCCGAAGGCCGTTAGGCAATTCGGGGTTCACAGCAACACAAGCAAGATCATGGGAGGAGACGTATGGCACAATATCGCGAACAGAATTTCAAAGAAATAAATCAAATTACAATCTGAGGATCTCATGTTGCCAAATAGTGAAGTGCGTCAGCTCCTTGAGTCGTCTCATTCTTGCCGACCAATCTAGCGGTACCACTGTTAAAGCAAAACAGAGACAAACCTTTTGAACCCTCGGCACCGCGCAACAAGTGTTGTCCAAGAACAAGTATCCCTCAATTTATCATTCCCTAATGATGTCTACACGGAGATGCGTTGATGGAATGAAAGAGTGCGGGGGCAGGAAAAGTCAAATTATGATTATGAAATGTCTCTTATTTCAGGGATATCAATTGTCCTTGAATTCCGACGGCTTTCCAACCCAAGGCAGTCCTCTGGAGTTATGGCTACAATGGTAGAATAGAGTTGGGGATCTGGCCAGACGATATTGGATCTATTCGCGTTAGCATCGCTTCCTCAATTTGCTAGATGAAAGAAATCTTACGAATTGTCGGGTAGCCGGGAGCACCCCGATACTTGCACAATTCCGGTCGAATTATCATGTTCCCAACAAATTAAAATGTTCTTTCCTGCCCCCTCTGAAACATAGTTCTCCACAAGTGCTGCTATACAATCCGCATCGTCTCGGTTACATGAAGTGCCCACAGGCTGAACAGCCATAAGAGGTCGAGTGTGTTGCCGCCTTGTAAATGTTAGATCTGCTTCTTGGTCTTGAGTTTGAATGAAAGGGTGATCGGCGAGGCTCACTTGACTTTGGCTGCCCGGCAATAATGTACCCGATATTGTATTGAGATGAGGCACCGAAACCAGTTCACAAACACTGTGCACGCTGCATCCCCTCTAGATTGAGTCCATCGCCACCATTAGCAAGTTTCTCCCCATGACGGATGAGATAAACTGTCTGAGCAGAAGCCGTTATGGCTAAGAATGGAAGAAGTAGAGTTGCAGGTAGTATTTTCAGATCGAGGAAATTGACAGAGTAATTTTTAATGGTCTTCAAATCCTAGTTCCCCTTCGAGGCTTCCTTCTTCAAATGTACAATAGCTTGGCTATATAGTTGAGAGCCTTTTGAAGATGGCGATCCGATTCGCCCCATCGGTCATCTTACTGTGGATATATTGTAGTCAGCTTTAGTAGATGAGATATGTGTACGAGAGTGAGCTTTGGGGCATACATACAGAGGATTGCTGGATTCGCCCTGGTGATTCTTTCCAGAGCGCCGAGCGCCGGAATGGCATGGCGAGCTAGGTAAGTATTTGGCAATGATTTCCTCCATCTCCGCTCCTGCGGCAACTCAATTGCCGTCAAAGGACAGTCGTGCCCTTAAAGCAGCGGATTTGCAGGTTCAATAAACTTAAGCAGAGAACGAGTAACTCCCAATCATTGCATACAAAGACCACGGGTTGATTTTCTCTCTTCCCTTCAAGTAACCCGCAGCAACCGCTGCCTCTTTGATACCCACGATATTTTTCAGGAAAGCTAATGTGGTGAGGATCCACTCTTGCATCGAGTCTGAGCAGACTTCTAAGCTGCCAACAACATATAGAGGGAATACCAAGGAGTAGCATCTCGAGGTTTCGAAGAGTGTGAAGTCCTGTGGACCAAGTTTAACTTTGGCCTGAATGGAATTTGAACTTGATATTCGGGGAAGGTGGGACAAGGGGTTTTTTCTAGGAATTAATGGATAATGGGTAGAATACTCTATTGACGAAGGTTCAGACATAGATCCATTAACATGTCGTGGGAGTTGAGTATATTGTGGCACCGACGCGACAATTTCAGTCGACAGGGTCAGGATACAGTCGGAGACATGAGCATAATCGTCATGGTGAGACTCGGGAGAAAATATCGAGGATAGTTCAGCAGGATCGGCCTGACTTAAATAATGCTCTCTGATAAGTTCGTTAAGAAGTATTCGAATGATCCGGATATTGTTCCAGGTATGTGTCATATGATAATCCATATAAAGGTGGAAATATTCTCCATAAACCTCCTCGACGGGTGATGGAACCATGACAATATTATACTTCCACTCGGGCGGAACAGTCTCTGCGACGACTTTCAGTTCAGCATCAAGGCGTCTTGCAGTATCTAGAAGTTCTTTGCTTTTAAAGCGTCCTTCACGAGTCTCCGCCCGAAGCGCAACGAATCGAAGAACGATTTCTGAGAAATTCCACTTTGGATCTTTCGAATCTATATATTGGCTAGCTTCACGACGAAGCTCAATAAGATGGCAAGGAACTCTGGCATTGTGTTGCAGGCAGCCAATCAGAAGGGTAGAGTGGAACTGCAGGAACAATCTCAGGCCAAGGACGCTCCGGAACTGAGCATCACCACGGAGCTTGACAAGCTCGATTGCTCCCTTCATGTGCTTGGTCCATGAATCTGAAGATCGATGAGTCCGGGTCAACTTCTCGAAGAGATCTAGAAGTAGTACAGACACCAAGGTTGGGTCCTTCGTTGCCTGGTCACGGGACTGTAGAGCTTCGCCGACCAGTCGAAGAGCAAGAACGTAATTCTCCCTTGCATATTTTAGGACGACAGGGGAAGAGTTTTGGGTCGAGAAATATGCCAAACTCGCAGCGTCCACCGCGGCAGATAGACAAGAAACCCAATCCGTCTTTGGGATGAACGATGCAATGTAGTCGTAGGTCTTTGCGTTTCCGTTGACATACCGGTTGAAGAATAAAGCTTTGGCTTGTTCGAGGGTAGTTGCAATAATACTCTTGGGGATGATGGACCGCGAGCTTTTCGTGGTTACTTTCCGACTGACTTCCTGGCTTTGATCCCTAAATACTAGTTCATTTGAATCTCGAGGGCCTGGGTATTGCAAACCCGCTCTTCTGCATTGCCCACACTCCTGCTTCCTGTCACACTGTAACATTGTTAGCAAGGTTCTAGATGAAACACCTGAGCTGATTGAGTGAAATTTCAATACCTTGGCTTGACGTGACCTGCAGTTGCTGCAAGCTCTTGATGGTTTTCCGCAATAGACCATATTCTAATCAAGTATCAAGTTCAATGTGGAATGCAGTGAATTACTCCGGTCAGCAGATTCGGAGCTCGAGAAGGTGTTGAGATGATGTTAGTCCACATCAGCCATTTGTCAGCGCGGGTGGCGTTAAACTATCCGCTGCATACCTGTCCAAGCCTAGCTTACCACACTCCTCCCACCAATGAGATTCAAGATGAGAGCGACCTTTCGCTTCATCGTGAAAGAAATCTGGCGTCAATCTGTGGATGAGATATATCGGGGATTATGAACGATAATCCCGATACTTCCGACAATGCCGGTGACACTCGCTGCTTGGGGCGCAATATGTAGCCAAGCATTGGGGCAAAAATCTTCGAAACTCTCTGCTGCATGCCACTTTCGGTGAGATTCATGATCTCACTATAGCCAACGCTGTGAAAGTACAACTCCAAGATGGCAAAATTGAGTGGTCCCTAGCCAGCAGAACAGGTATATAGTGTTCATCCCCCTACTGCTTCAAAATTCCCATCGCTAAGGACTCAGACTTTTCCTCTACCTCTCCTCAATCCTTCCAAAGATGTCTATCAAACAAACAGTGCTCATCATTGGAGCCACTTCTGGCATCGGAGCAGGCCTCGCACGACGTATCCATGCCCAAGGAAAGAAAGTCATCGCCACAGGACGTCGACAAGAACGGCTCTCCTCCCTTACAGCCGAGCTTTCAGGCTTAGAGACTGCCAACTTCGACATCAGCGATCTCTCAACACTAGCAGGGAACATCGCGGGACTCACCAAGAAATACCAGGACATCGACACTGTGATTGTGAACGCGAGCATCCAGAGCATGTTCTCATTCACGGACCCTACTTCCTCGTCACCGGAAGACATCACAAAAGAAGTCAACACAAACCTCACTGCTCAAATGATCATATGCCAAACACTCGTCCCGCATTTCTTGGCATTGGAAAAACCTTGCAGCATCATTTTCATCTCTTCAGCTTTCGCCTACATCCCCGTGCAGTTCTTCCCAATTTACGGTCCCACGAAGGCAGGACTTCATTCCTTCGGGGTTTCACTTCGTGCTCAGTTGGCTGGGACTAACGTCACGGTCACTGACCTGGCGCCGGCGTACGTGGACACTGAGCTGGATGTGATGCACAAGGAGCGAATGACCGAGATGCTTGGAGGGTCAGACAGAGTACCAAAGCCTACCCCACTTGGGGATTTCTTGGACGATGCTATGAAGGAATTGGACACACTCGTAGACGGCAAGCCGAAGAGAGAAATTGCCATTGGGCACTTCCCTGAGATGGCGCGGGAGGCTTGGAGGAAAGCCATCGGGCCCTTGTTGGAGATCTTCCATGTTGATGGGTAGCTGGGGGAAAGGGCTGTAGGACTGTAGGGTTGTGATATTCTTTTGAGAATGGTAGAGGTACAAACGACTGATCGAAATGAGTCAACCTTCAAAAATGAACTGTTGACTCCGTGTACTTCGCGTTTGAGGTATCCAAGCGAAAATGAAGCAACCCGGTTCGAAAGGTAAAAGTCTAATTACTGCAAATGACTCCCGGCTCCTCTTCTCAGGATGCACCATAGGTATGCAAAACATTGAATCCCCAAATACGCGACTTGGTTGTCTCTCCACGGCAAGCTTTTGCCGGGAGCTGGAGCCTTCTTCTTCTAACAATTTTCTCGAGGAGCCTCCTGCTTGCATAGCAGCCCACAGCACGCCTTATGATATCGAGTCACCTGTCCGGTCTTCATTGAATCTCGCTCGTGGTGGGCTCGACGAGGTCCCAGCAGTTGTTCTCGATGAGTTGGAGGCTGGACGCAGATTTCGACAGTGCCAATCAATTCGAAAACGTTTCGAAGATCTGAGAACTATGGCTCATATACCATAAATTGGCCTGATATTCTTTTCGCACGCGTAGTATTCCGAGTTTTCGGGAAATGTGGGGTTGTTGATCGTGCATTGAAATGCGCCGTCAAACGCGTCGAAAACCTTTAGCCTGCTTTGAAAATGGTCCACTTCCGCTAGCGTAAGGAACACCAAAGTCTCTCGGGTCTGAAAATTCCGCATCGCAGCACCATCACCTCCGATATTTCATAATTAAGCTTCATGCGATAGAGAAGAAGCTCAAGTTCCTTTTGCTTGTGTTGCGACGGTCAAAAATCTCTAGGTGGTTTTGTTGCGTCTTTTTTAATACGGCGGACGATTTTCAAGGAGTTTGCTTAGCGAAATGTGACGGTTCGTAGCGCATCTCGCTTAAATAACCCCTATTTCGACCCCCAACGCGCTGTCACGTCCTCTCTCCAACTTGAGCAGCATCAAAAGTTCACCAACTTGAGGCTTTTTAGCCTTTGTGCCAAAGGGTTTCTTAGACCTGCATTGTATGAATTTGATCCCATCCTCTCAAAAGCCGTCTTAGCATACAAACTATATTGCTTTCAAACTCACTTTAATGTCCAAATTGAGGAATATTTCTCGAGGTAAATTGTGTTCCAAACCTAAACAGACTGTTTCCGTGCCCAGAATACGTCAGTTCCGTTGGCATGTCTTGATTATCCAGATATTTTCTGTGATTGCGGGAGAGTCAGCCTTACTTTGCCCTCGATTCTTGGATCTCCTGATGCGGGGTTGATAGTGAAATTGAGGAATCTGGGACCCTGCTGTTAACGCAAACCTCCTCGCAATGAGCTTTAACCGTTTTAAGATGATGGGCAAACTGGAGATTAAAGCCGTGCGTCCCGCTCTCAGAAGGGTCTTAAGCTCAACTTTCTCTCCGTTCTTGGAGAAAACAAGACGTCTAATCAGGAAACAGATACTTGAAACTACGGTACTACCTTCACTCTTATACTTTGGTTCGCTCGAATTTTTAGTATTGATATCCCCTTCGAGCTCTAGCAGGCCGAATCGCTTGAGGCGACGGCGACAACGAAAAGCTGCCAAGAAAGCCGAAATGTGGAGATATTCTCCTTCGAAATTGGAGGCATCGCTTAAAAATACCCTTTTCCCATTTCTCGCCATTCACTGCTCCAAGCCCCACCCTCATCATCTCAACCAACAATCTAACCATTGGCAGGATTAAACATACAATAATCCAAATTCTTCCCATTCCCCACACCCCCATTATTACCGCCCCAAGTCGGGAAATCATGTGCCACTCCACCGCCGCCAAACACCGCAAAACTCAAGATGAAAACAATGACCTGTGTTCCGCCATCCAAAGCGGCGGAGACGAGGTAGTTGTACTTCACGAAGAGTGCGGGCCGGTACTTGCGAAGGTAAAATTGAGCGAAGAAGCCGATGGCGAAGTAGGACAGGATTGAGGAGTTGATGCCGACGAAGAGCCAGCCTGTTTACGTCAGTACGGGTGGAAGAGAGGGGATTCTCGCAGGCGCGCAGACGTACCCATATACCAGAGTATGATACTTAGATTAATGTAATTGAAGAATCGGATCTTCGTATATCTATAAATCAACCAGAATGGGACAGGCACAATAAACCCAATGAGGTACGCGATAGTGACCCATTGATACCGTGCTCCAATACTGAACATATCGCCTGCGATGCTCCAGGCGATCGCTAAAGTGTTGTACTGCTGCACGTTCTGCCCAGACCAAATATTTGAGCCTTCGATCGAGGTCAAGATCTCGAACTGGTTTGTTACAATGGTCTTCATCATTACGTAGTTGAAGATCGCGCCGATGACCGCACCGGTCATCTGTGCTGTGAATGTTGACTTGGGTGATAGATGCACCAATTGTGCGACTTTCAGGTCGCGGCAGAGCCATTGGCCCTGTTGTACGCCGTTGAAGCCGAAGACGGTGAAGTACATGTTCGCGAGCGGCTTCCCAGGATGAATGTAGCCTGCTACCATCTGGATGATGGGCTGTTGGTTGAACTGAAAGCCGGTCAATCCCATCTGAGCACCGAAGAATAAGATGAAGAGCAATGCGAAGAGATTCGAGATTATGTAGCCCCACCACGGGAGCGTTGATTGGATGCCGTAAAGAGTGCCGAGTCCCACGACAAAGGAGGTGAAGAGGACGAGACCGTACCACCAGTCTGGAACTTCGGAGTAACCTGATTGCACCATCATTTTGTAATGTGGGTCCATATTTGGGTCCTCAAGGACTTGACGTTTGTGTTCTTCAAGGGATTTGCCGCCTTGCCAGAATTTCCAAAACGAGGGTTGCAGGAGTTTGCGGAGGTTAGAGGGGGCAAGGAACGCCCAACCGGCTTTGATGTCGTCAAAGTTCCAGAGGAACATGTGTACAATCGTTGCTGTGAGGCCCATGTTCGTGGTGATGAGGTAGCCAATGTAAGTCCCGGTGAGATAAGGAACTCCGTTCTGCTCGAGACCTGCGCGATTGATTTCGTTGTCGGGGGTGAGGATCAGGCTGAGGTTGTAGGGGGAGAAGGAAGTCGAGTTGGAGGAGTTGTCGTACAGTAGTTGGGAGAGGAAAGGGAAATTTTGTGACTCCCAAACGTTGCCGTAGTAGAGGCCCATAAATAGGACGATGCAGAGCAAATAGCCGATGGTGCTGTTGGTCAGTGTGTAAAGGGGCAACCACATTGGTGAACCCAAACTGGCGATATATTGCCAATCGAAGCAGACGGAGAGGAAACCGAGACCTTCGTTTCCGGAGGACCCACCAAAGAGGTTAGTGAAGAGTAGGCTGTTTTGCTTGGCGAGACAGAAGATAGAGACACCTTGCAGGACAGGGAAGATCCATTCGGGAATGATTTCCCAGACGAAGAGGATGCCGAAGACGATCCAGAAGACTTTTAGGCGGAATCGAGTCTCTCGCTTGTCGCGGTGCAGCGTCTCGATGAGAGTGACGATTGGGATATTGATTGGCCACAACATCCTGGTCTGGGTTAACTGGGCACAATAACTTTTGAAAGTGCATGCTTACCTCGTAGGTTGCACAAGGACAGAGCGAAGGAGGCCAGCAATACCGAATCCAAGAAGCTGTGAAGAAATGACCAGGAAGATGGCTGCGCCAGCATTCGGATCCATGTTGTAGTACAACCTTTGAGCAGCCAAAATCTCCGTTGAGACTGCATTGGTGGCTGCTGCGGAAGCCATAATAACGATAAAGGCATGCTCCTTCGAGTTGAATGGAAAAGGATTCAGAAATTTGCCGACAGGCCCAATTCTAGGGATAAAGGACATGAATTCCCCGAGTGCATAGCCGATGACGGTCATGAAAACGATGGAGACGTAGATAGCTTGAGGCTTGAAATAGTAGATCTCTTGGAGAACGGAGGCGAAAATTGCCAATCCAATCCCTGTATTACACTGTTAGCCGGTTCTTGCCTGGGAAGAAAGTTGAGACATACCCAGAAAGAAAGCACGAAAAGTCCAGGGGCTCAAAGATGGATCATCATCCACGTGAATAACATGAGTAAGAACATCTTTGGCATCGGTAAGGACAGCAGTCTCTCCAAAATGATCTTCCTTCGAAGCATCGAAGAGCGGAGATTCATCCCCGAGATACGCGATGTCTGGGGTCCTGTCGAATGCTTTCTCAGAATCGAGAGCAGAGGTCGGTGCTACGTTTTCATCCTCGGGCGATACCTTGTCGGTATCGGTCCTGGCAAAACCAGATCTTTGGTGAAGTTGACTTGCCATGATGAGGGAAAGAACAGCGTACGCAATACCGCGCAAGGGAGGGAAATAATTTCAACGGGGGAGCAACACCCTATGTTATTTACGTTCGAAAGTAGACATCCCTTGTGACACCTGCCGTTAATGTCCAGGTTGCTGTCAGGGTTAATGGAAAGATAGATTGGGAAATAGCCGATTCCCACCATCCATTGGCGTCACAGTTGTCACAGGCGTTGCACAACTTCGGCGTCGATGCGCCCTCGGTCGACTGCGATCGGCGACACTGATAAGTGGTCGGCATGTTCATTGGTCGGCAAAATCAACAGGCCTTGCGTTATTGATCTTCAAGTGATGCGAGCTGCCTAACAGAGTCTAGAGCCGGCCGCCGCTAGCCCGAAGCCCCAAAGCTTAGCAGAAAGCTTGATCCGCCACCTCTCAATGTCAAGTTTCCAGTGTGTCAAATGATTAGATTAGATTAATAGCTATTAATCTAGTCTAGTCAGAAATATACTCATTAATTAGATTAAATCATGAATATTCATAATTAATTTGATAAATGCAACACGTGACTAACATGCAACAAACTAGCCGAATCCGGTGAAGATCCTGCCCTAGCGCCTCTCTAGCGCCACCTCGCTATCCAATGAGAAAGGACGGAGGTAGCGAGGCTCGATAATGCTGTCTGATGCATCACGTGCTAGTTTCAGTGACTCTAAGTCATATAAGTGCTAATAACGGCCAAGAACGCGGTTCTTGATCACATATAAATTACCTTTTGTCGGGCTATAGTATAACTGTAATTATTAGCGCCGAAAACAATACTAAGTTTTCTATCTAGTCACATGACCTGGAAATAACTAGTCTTCATAAATGTTCATGAATATATATTCTAATTTAATTAAAGTACATAAGCGTCATGTTACTCAAATTATAAGCGATATATTACTGCAATGAGACGTAACCGAGCACTGGGACCAAATGACATTGGGGAAATATAGTGATAGAATTGTTCTTCTCTCACAAGCTGTCATTGATCATAACTCCTACATAGTATCACTCCAAACTCCCCAATGCCATCCTGACACTATCCGAGAACCCATGCTTTCCCAAACTCCTCGTGTTCCACATCAAAACATCAATGTCAAAATTATTTACGTCCTCGCGCAAGCAGCTTCTCCGCCAACTCAGCGACAGCAGCACCCCAAGACGACTTCGTGCCCGCACCCTTCTCCTCCACAGCATCACCACACCTGTTCAATAAGAACTCTCCCATCTTCGGTTCATTGAAGCGTTCTCCATACACAACCGTGGCGCTTGGGGAAACCTCCACATCGATGCCATTCTCGCCGCTACGACTGGTCAAGTGGAACGCAATCTCGACTTTTGTCGTCAAGGGTCCAATCAAGAGCGCCGACTTGATCATAATTGACTCGTCTGATGTTTTGCTGATTTCGGTAGGGGAGCTGACATTCAGCAGGCGGATATCATCCACAACGGTGGTAGCTTTGTTCCATGACACGCTGACGGCAGCGAGAAGATCCTTAACGGGTGTCTGGGCTTGAGGTAGTCCTCGAATGTAATCTCGGATACTTTGAAGGAAGAACTCCTTCTCTGCGGTCAATGGACGAGGATTCAGCTCTCGGTTGGCACCGATGTACCAGAGATCGATGCGAGAATTTTGAGATCGCTTGCCAGCAGCATTCGATTTGGCTGATAAGAATGAGGATGCATCGAAGACAAGTTCGATCTCTTTTCGATAGGTCATAGAAGTCGTTGTGCCGGACACACCAGTGATAGTCCAGCCATGCTCCCTCTCGATCGCATCAACTCTCGCTATATGGAATTAGTCAAGTCTGGCAATTGAATGAGTAGTGAGACGTACATTTCAGAACGCTGATCTCGCTTGAAGTCCAGCCTCTGCACTCCTCTCTGATCTTCTCAGCGTCACGAATTTCTTCCATGTATGCTTGTTTCTTCTCGTTGCCAGCTTCGATTTCAGCTTCCTTCCCTTGTAACTGCTTTCTCAACTCAGCAATTAGACGCTTCTTGGCATCAATATCTGCATCGGCAGTGATGAGCTTTTGGCGAGCGTCGCTGAGTTCCTCGTGGTCACAATTGGCGATTTCCTCGGCCGCCAACCGAAGGTCTGCTTCTTGTTGCTGGAGTTGATCGGCTTGTTGGATAAGCTGAGGCAATACAGACTCGAGAAATGCTTGTTGTTGGTCAAGAAGCTCTTCATCTGAGATCATTCCCTCGGCAGTTTTGAAGAGACCTTCCTTCAAAGTCCCAAGAAGAGTCATTCTCCAGTCGTACCAGAGTCCTTTGCTCAAGAGTCTGGAGTGAGTCTTGACATTTTTCAATTGATTATCCATTACAATCTTAATGTCAGGCGTAGCCGAGATGTACTCGCGAAAGAGAGGAGGGTTCTCCTCAAAGGTTTTGGTCTCAATCTCGCGAACGGTCTTGCGGCCTTCAGAGATGGAGCGCTTGAGTTCATGGCATGCCTGTGGGTGTCAGTGGGTAGCTCCGCGTCATAAATAGGCCGTCTGAACTTACATGCTGGAAAAGCTCGAGCATTGGGATGGTGGCAGCACCTGCGGCAACACAGTCTTCCAGCGACACCGGCTTTCCATCCCCAGGCTCCTTCTCTGAAGCCTTTGGTGCCACAGTGTGTCTGCGCTTGGTGGTCGTCAATTCCATGAAGCGAATGCTTGTCATATTCAGGAAGTCTTGCAGCTGGATGCGATCATCACCAAAGCTCTCCTCGTCGACCTCCGGGTTTTCGATGGGTTCTTTCTCGACTGGAGGGCCAATATGCTTAGTTGGAGGCTGTGCTTCTGCATCCTTGAAGCGGCCTTGATGACGAGGTGTTGTGATTTTGGCCTTTTCTGGAGAAGTACTTGTGGTCGGGGTTGTGGAAGAGTTGATGGTTTCATCCAAGCTCTTTCGAGCCGCTCGAGTCGTGCGTCCAGTAGTTGTCCCGGTCTTGGTTGGTGGCGCTTGAAGCTTGACATTCTTGACAGGGCTACCTTGGTGATTCTTCAGACGCTTAACCCCCGAGTTGTCCTCTTCATCATCATCCTCATCGAGCTCGGCAGGCCGCTTGCCAAGAATGCCTTTAGCAGCACCAACATGCAAGCTTTTCCGGCCTCTCAACGGCTTCTTCTTTGGGGTCATGGTCTGGATCAATTCCTTAAGATTGAGAGTTGCATTCTCTTCTTCGCCCTGGTCAGCTTCACGTTCCATGATCTTGCGACCGTTTTCTCGATCTTCGTCCAGCTCGCGTTCTCTGTCGATTTCGTCCTCCATGGCACGAGGATCATCGAAACGTACGCCATGAGCAGCCTGATCAAGCTGGCTGGGAACGAATGATCGTGCTTGATCTCCAATTGAACCTCTGCGATCGAGCAGAGCAGCGACATAAGGAGAACCAAGTCCAGTCTTGTCGAGACCAATACCAGAGGGTCGTCTTGGTTGAGGGGTGAGCACAAAACTCGGGGTCGCAAGCCCGGTGGTTTTGTCCTTCTGGAATAATTTATTGGGAGTGGCAGCCTTCTTGGTTGCTGATGAGGCTTTGATCTCTTCTGTGAAAAGTCGCTTTGGTGAAGATGTACGCACGGCAACGTTTTTAGAAGGTGGAGTCTTTCCTGGTGTTGTTGGGCGAGGAGGTTGTGGAGTAAGTGGCTTCGATGGTGTTGCTGGCTTCTTGACGGGTGTCCCGCCAGCGCTAAGTCTTGACTTTGGAGTCGTTGAAGGTCGAGCATCTCCACTACGGCGAAGTCCTTTTCCACGGAATGCTGCAAGACTTGGGCTGCCAGTTTCCGAAGCGATTGTATGAGTGGGGGCGGTAACCTTTGGCGGTGAGTTTGCGAGAACTTCCGCTTGGAATGGTGAGCTGCCAAGATCCGTCTCCATCTCCATGATCTTCTTTGCTTGGGATCTGCTTCCAGTGCTTCGTTGAGGAGGTAATATGCTACCAAGAGCTGTGGTCATATCCATACCCACAGTTGCGTCTTGTTCAGCAGTGTATGCTTCGGTGATTGATGGCATGATTCCACCAATGGCAAGCGTCATGTCCATTGTATCGTCTCCAGCGCTGGACTCCATACTTTCTCGACTTCGTTTGCTCTGTTTTGCCACAGATGGTCTCCTGCCTGGCTTAGCCGGTTGATTGAATTGCGACAGCACTCCACCAACAACAGATGTGAATTCCATGGTCACGTCTTCATCATCCTTGGAGACTGTCTCATCTTGGGAAGGCTGGATTCCTCCGATTGCCATTGTGAGATCCATAGTAGCGTCTTCTAATGCTGTTGTTTCGTCTGAAGCTCTCCGGCGCGTGCTTTGTCGACGATTTGATGCCATTGACTTTCTTCGTGTAGGTTTCGAGGCTTCGTTCGTGATGATGCCTCCAAATGCGCGAGTAACATCCATTGACATTTCATCATCTTCGGGTTGTTGAGCAGGAAGGATGCCGCCCACTGCATGGGTCATGTCCATTGTCATCTCCTCGTCTTCCTCTTCTGGTGGAGCGCCTGCCTTGAAGGCTGGAGAGTAAGGATTCAGGTTCTCCTGATCCTGTTCAGATTCCAGATTTTGGATGGCGCTCTTCTTTGCCCAAGGTGCAAAAGAGGCGACAACCTCTTCTTCCTCTTCTGCCACTTCGCCTCCGTGTTCATCAAATTCAATGCCTTGTGTGCCGGCTTGACGTGCTGCTAATCTCAGCGCTTCTTCCAACCGCGTGCTTGAGCCAGTACTCGAACCAGAATTAACCGATGCCATTGACATATTTGTGGTTTCTCCTCCATCAAGGCTCATCATTGTTCCATCATCATCTCCAGAGTCGCTGTTCGAATTAGCTGAGTCGTCTTCGATTACTTCATCGGCATCACCAGCAGAACTTCCACTAAAAGGACTCGAAGAGAAACCTTCATCATCGGGGTTATTGAAATTCATGGGAGGGATGCCTGAGCTTCTCCGGCGCTTCTTCTGATGCATCTTGCGCTGATCGGCGGGGCTTGCAGTGATCGTATCCTCTTCAACCTGCTCAGGTGGGGTCGACGGTGGTTCCGAAGGATCAGAGTTCGGTGCATCAGATGATTTTGGGTGAGGTGATCCTGCAGATCCACCAGATGCCGATGAAGCTCGTCGGGTAGAATTCGAGGATGTTGTAGAATCTTGATATTCGACCACAACATCCCAAGTATGCAGTGTGGCTTCAGGTGCAAACGATACTCGACGATTAGCGAGGGATTTTCTTCGCGCATCCCGGCGTGAAATGACCTCTTTCTCCAATTCTTCTCTTTCCTTCTCCTCGCGTGCTCTTGCAGCGGCTTGTTGATCCTCCTCTGTCCTCAATGCAACGCGCGTTTCGTTGACGGCAACACTGCTATCGATTTCAAAGGGATTTGGGAGACTGTCTGAGCCAGTGATCTTTGGGGCAATGTCGAAGTCAATGAGTTTCTCGGTGGTCTGAGGCAGGGTAGCTTTCTTCGGACTTCCTTTGCGCGTCGAAATATGTGCTGGAATCTCTCGAAGAGGAGGCATTGTCGGTTTGAGGATTGATTTCGGAGGAGGGTGGGGAACAGAAGCTACGGACTTGATGTCTGTTAGCTGTGTAGCTTAATTGTTGATCTTGAGACCTACTTTGCGCCTGTTTCCAGATGTATCCTTCAGCGCATCCAATCCTCCAGGTCCAATACTCTTGCTCCGTGATTTCTTACTTAGTTTCTCTATTGGCATTGATTTCTTCCCTGATGCCAAAGCTCCAAGGTCTGCCGTCGCATTTTCTTGATCCATCTCGCTGGTAGACGGGATATGGCCCAATGATTTTCGAGATTTGGGGCGTGTCGCAGGAAGGGTGACTTCTTCTCGGGAAGACATGATTGCGAGAGAGTTTGACGCTCGAATGTTCGTCAGTCGTGGATTTTATCAGATGTTCATGAAGTTGGTGGACCGAGCCGTGATCCTTGGAAGTCTTTCGATGTGGTTGCTGCGCGTAAACAAAACAAAGAAGGCGCGTTCGAGGGTGGGCAGGTTACATTGTTTTGATTGGCTCGGCAAGACCCAATCAGGCTAGTGTCTCAAGTGGCTTAGCTTCATCGCATTGCGGCCTCACTTAATGCCTTAGTGCCTCACGCACAAATGCAAAATTGCCCAAGCGAATCTTTTCAAAATCGAACCTCCCGACTCAAACATCTCCACGACTGCGACTTCGACCAAGCACCGCAATCATGGCCACCGAACTTACCGTGCAATCGGAGCGCGCGTTCCAGAAGCAACCTCACATCTTCTTGAACTCCAAGTCGAAGGCGAAGTCCCGCGTCGGAAAGGGTGGACGAAGATGGTACAAGGACGTTGGATTGGGCTTCCGGACACCAAAGACTGCGATTGAGGGTCACTACATTGGTATGTGCACATTGGGAGTTTGAGAGCGTTGCGCCGATCCTGCGAGTCTAGATCGATGAGTTGGCTGTGTGTTGAGAGATGGGGAATTGGAATACTTTGCGCGCACGATGGACGAGCAATACTGACTTAATCGTCACAGACAAGAAGTGCCCTTTCACCGGTCTCGTCTCCATCCGTGGCCGTATCTTGACTGGCACCGTCGTTTCCACGAAGATGCACCGAACCCTCATCATCCGCCGAGAATACCTTCACTTCATCCCAAAGTACGCCCGTTACGAGAAGAGACACAAGAACCTCGCTGCGCACGTCTCGCCAGCTTTCCGTGTTGAGGAGGGTGATCAAGTTACCGTTGGACAATGCAGACCTTTGAGCAAGACCGTATGTTTCAGGTGGATTTCTGCTGGATCCTAGAGAAGTGCTGACAGTCAATCTTGCAGGTCCGATTCAATGTCCTCCGCGTGCTCCCCCGAACTGGCAAGGCTGTCAAGCAGTTCAACAAATTCTAAATGGTTTTCTGGGATTTTCTCGACTGGTTGCATGGGGTTTGAGAATCATAGCAAGGGATTTGTGATGTCATGGGCTTCGCGAGCTGGCATGGAAAAGATGTGCATTAGCTACAGAAAGTACTGAATGCATCAGTGATCCTCTGATCTTGGAATTTGTGGAAGCGGTGACTGAGTGATGCAGTATGAAGTGGGGGGTTCGGGGTGATTTGATGCCGTCTCACTAACAGCAGCAGATCTACAGATGCTCAGATTCGACAGACGATTCCCCAGACGATGGAGTTCACGGACCCGAGATAGAAGAAGATTTCCGAATTGACTACATATCACATTCTGGGAAACGCCTTATGGGTACAGAAGCTTGGGGGCATCTTGGTGGAAGAGTTCAAAGGTCCAATATGATTGGTACATTGGTTCCCATGCTGCAAGCTGCAGTCGAACTCCAACAATTTCCATTTCTGGAAGCCCCACACGAGCCTTCCACCAAACGCCACTCCGCCCTCCCCGACTCCTCAATAACAGACTCGGGCCCGAAAGTCATGACAGCCACTCCGCAATAATCTGCACCCCGACTTGCAGCCCATTTTCCTTTGTTCATTGCCAATCACTACGACGATCGACATCGATTGGTGCTGCCTAGCCGAGGCAGCAATGCACAACAGCCCTCCTGTTCCCTTCTCGTGACTGTAACTCCTCCACATATATATAACTTCAACTCCTTCACACTTAATCTAGTTCTACACCTCTCAGTCCTCAACAACACCGGTCACACTCAAAATGACATCACCAACCTCTCCCCCAAAGCTAGACAAGTACTCCAAAGAAAACCCCTGGTACTACAAAGACCTAACAAGCCACCTCGCTCACGACTCCCGCAAGCTACTCGAAGAATACAGCCACATTCCACCTGAAGATATCGATGCTCACGTCTACAAGATGGTTACTCCTCTCCCTTCCCCAACCAGGCATGTCAGCTAACAATCCCAGCGCAACGTCCTCTGGACCCACGCTCCCTACCCCTGCATTGGCGAGTTTAAATTCCTCACTCTAAACCTGCCAAAACACCCAAAATACACCCATCTGCTATCCCTCTTGCAACCGTCTCCTGCGGCCCTGGGACCTTACCTCCTCGACCTAGGCTGCTGCGTAGCACAAGAACTCCGGTCCCTCGCCCATGCCGGAATCCCCTCCACCAACCTCTTTGGCAGCGACCTGAATCCCTCCTACCTCACTACTTCCTATCAACTCTTCAATGACGCATCTACCTTCCACGGTACTTTGGTACCTGCAAACATCTTCTCTCCGACTCTCTTTGACTCTGCATTCAAAGGCTGGGAGAAGAAATTCAAGGTCGTACATGCGGGATTGTTTTTGCATTTGTTTAACAGGGAGCAACAGGTCGACGTTTGTGAGAGAATTGTGAAGTTGTTGAGGGAGGAGGTGGGAAGTTTGTTTCTTGGGGAGATGGTCGGTTGTGCAGGAGGAGGGGAACGTGGACCGAAGGCCAGCAAGTTTTGGGGGAAAGGGGAGGAGAGGAGGCAATTCTTGCATGATGAAGACAGTTTTGCGAAGTTGTGGGAACACGTGGCGGAGGTTACGGGCACGAAGGGAAAGTGGAAGGTAGAGAGTAGATTTAAGGAGAGGGCGAATGGAGAAGGTGATGGAAATGGAGGGAGTAAGGGCTGTGCTTTCTTCACTGGGGAGGGAATTGGCTGGATTACGTTCAGTGCTGAAAGAGTTGAATGAGTCAATGCCATTTTTGGGGAGCTTTCGTAGTTGATGACTATTGCTGGACTGCTTCTACCCATCGGAACTTTGGGATATCCCATAACAAAGCTTGCCAATACCCGTCCTCATAATCATGCTCGTCCAACTCAGCGTCGTCCAAGGCGGTGAGGTCTACGCCAAATATAAGCACGTGCGTTAGTTATCTCTGTTTCTGGAGTATCAGACTTCTGGCGTAACCGACCTGCTAGAAACTCACATCTCTTTTCTTGATGCGACCGCCGAATTCTCTCCGATAAACATTTCATATTTCTCGCAAAGTGCACCCAAGTTCCAGGGACCTCATCGTCATCGCCACCTTTCATTCCCCGCGCCTCCTCCACAGTAAACACATCCCAAAGAATCTTTTTCGGCTTCTTGAATACAATTTCATTGTTCTGTGAGAGAGTGTTAACAGTGTTGACCACGAGCATGAGCTCGGTGACACCACACGCGCATTTCCCTCATTGCGAAAGACAGACTCAGTTCACGAGAGCATTTACTCTGCCACCACTCATAAGGAAGTGCGAGTCTTGGTGTACTCGGCAGAGCACACTGCTCAGGAGTCAGGTGATTCAACGGCATCGCGGGGAGATTTATGGGGAAAAAGGCATTCCCTGAAAGTACCCAATAAGGTCCGATGGCCGAAGTTGAAGCCCTGCGTCTTGTAAGTTGCAAATGTTCACCAACCAGACCACATCCCTCTTAAGGTTCACATAAAACATCGGCTCACGCTCGCCCTCGTTTGGGTTCTATACTTCCATGACATCCAATGCCTCGTGCTGAACTTTTCGGTTTACATGACGTAATCATGACTGTTGTCCGTAAAGAATCTTGCGAGAGCGGTGATTTGCATCAGGCACTACTTCGATTGCTATAACTCGTGGGATGTCGAGGTAATGCTGCGAAATTAAAAGACGGATTTCGATGGGAAGATAGAGGAAGCGGCCGTTTGGATATAGTTCTTCCAGCCTTTGACTGCTGGGCCTAGTTGCAACCAGGTCAGGAGGAGAGACCGACATCTTCGACGCATTGAGTGGCCCACTGGAACTAGCCGTAGATTTTGCTGTCCACTTGTGGAGATGTCGAAAGTTGCAAAACAATGGATCGTATAGCTCTTGTAGAGGACTCATTGAGGAACCTTGGAGAGGTTTCTGAGATCATGGGGCTTTTGCCGGAGTCCGGAGGATTTTAGCCTGAAAGAAGACGTTGAATGGCATGGACGATATTTACGGTGGAGTGGCACATGAGTACTAGAACCGTGCGAGCGTCCACTGTGCCCCGCTGCAGACCCTGAAAAGCTTCGAAGACAGACCCAAAAGTGAGAAGCTCGAAGTGCCGGTATTATATCTGCACTGCTTCTACTCATCTTACCTCCGGGATCTTCCACGTTGCAGCCCCGACATAGAAGTCTTCCTCTTCCCGCTCGTCCTGGGTCAAATCTTCCGGGTTTCTCCAGACTACAAGAGCACGAGTCAGTTCTGTTACACCGGTTTCTAGCGCTGAATTTACCTCCAACCTTGGCTATGTGGTGTTAGTGCATGCGATCCATTATCTCCTTGGCCTTTTGCCCAAACTCTTCCCAACTTGGGCACGGTTATTTCCAGAAGGAAAGAGCCGTAGTCTCACCAGGTAAAGGTATATCGAGGACTCTTGCTTGGCTCCCTAAACACTATTTCCCTATTTTAGAGAGAAACGTAAAGCTGTTGACCACGAGAAGGAGCTGAGTGACACACACCATTGTCATGCCATTCCTTCAATCCCCAGCCAAAATCCACGCGGTTCAATGATTTCTTATGCCACCACTCCCAAGCAACAGCGAGTCTCGGTATCCGCTGCGAGATATACTGAACTACCTCCCCTTCAGGTTGCGGTTTCAGTAGCGGATATCTGATAGGAAGGGACCCGTCAAAACCGCGCGGACCGTAGCGCGAAAGCCCTATTCGAAGGCCATTCTGAGGGGCAGTGAATCAACCAGACCACAAGTCGTCCAAAATTGAAGTAAAAAAGAGGTTCATTGCCAAAATTCGGGTTATACACCTCCTGCACACGCAATGCTTTACATCGGACTCATCTGTTCATATGATGCAACCAAGAGTGTTCTCCGTACAATGCTTTGCCATACTGCCAATTCTTACCCACGGCCTCGAGCGCGATAATGTGAGAAATCGTAAGGTAATAGCACTATATTAGACGGCGAATCTCGATCGGAGGATTGCAGAAGTTCGCCATTTCATCCTCGTGCTCGATGATGGGAGATCGGGCATGGACTTCTCTGTCCACTTGTGAGATTTTAGGCAGTCAAGCTGGCGAAAGAGTTGGAGAACTGCTGCTGCGAAGAGCAGTGAAGAACTTGGTGGACTCGTCATGATTAGAAGTCTGCTGGTGAAGGATGAGGACGGGGAGCGAAGTTGAGGGGGCATGTGGGGAGGATCACGTGTTAGCATAATCCTTGCAAGCGAACCCCCTTTTTTTCTGGGTGGGTCCGAGAACAACCCTGAATAGAAAAAGTAGATTTTTATTCTCAAATCTGAAGTTCTCCTAGTTTATTTCTGGGGTTCCTCGAAAAGCCATGATAGGCAAGCTGCTCCTGTGTTCGAGAATGGGAGGAGCATGATGGAGCTTGGCGATACGGCTGCCATCTTGGGGTGAACCGTGGCGTGAAGATGGATGCGAGATAAGTGAAGGGTTTGCGAGGAAGTGTTCCTTCCTGCTGAAGGGTTGTGTTGACTTGATCGAGTCTGCAAATAAATAGAGGGATGCAAGGCGCGAATAAAGACTTTGGTGTAGAGGTAAGGAGCCAAGCTCCTTTCTGCTAATATTAGATAACACTCTTATCTATTGTACTAGGGAAACCGAAATTTTGAGGTCTCTTATATAAATATTATTCAGATTGGAATTATTTTAGCATGGGGTTTGATCCTTTTATTAACTCATAAGAGCGAGCCAGGATACCGCACCATGACTACAATCGGATCGATTTACTAGGCACCTATTATGTGACTCCATCCCAAGTCTCTCACTGTAGAGTTTTGTCGTTGCCCCGAATAAGTCCCACTATGTTCCTTGTAGAGGATAGGGTAAGCCTCTGTTGAAAACATGTTCCTCCCACATGGCAATGCCGTGAAAGCATCCTAACTTAACGATCTAACCCCTAAATGCCCTAATAGACATTAATTTGGCACAACCAATGAGAATAAATATACTCAATACCGCTCCTGCAACCACGTCTATTGCCTCCCTTATGGATATACCTCATTTGGAGAGCTGGGAGAAGACTTCGTCGTTGAGTGCTGGCACGATGATGCTCTCCGTACTTCGAACCTTGCGCTACAACGCAGTTACGATTAAATACTATCCCGAAAGCTCCGGAATCCCAATGCAATCTCAGTTTGTGTGTATTATATGGTGCCCAACCCTCTGCAAGACACTTGACTCTGTTGAAAACGAGATTCAGGAAATGTGCAGGGGCTTCCCTGAGAGCTTCGAGGTTGATGTAGGGCAATATTTTGAAGTTCCTGAAGTTCCGCATTCCTGACCCGATGTCTCGACTGACACTCTACCTGATATTGGCCTCCTTCCCATCGATACTGATACGTTGTTGGATCACCTCGAGTAAAAGTGTTTCGCGCTCGGATAATGACTTTGCAGTCCAAAGGTCTAGAATCGCATTGCTATACAACTTACAATTTGTAATGAGAAAACTTTTGTCTTACTGATTGCTACTCATGAAGTCCCTCAATATCTCGCTGGCCTCGGTCATGGTGGCCTCTCTTGTACGTTGAATGGTTGTGGTACTTTACCTGTTGGGCAGTGCAATATATTGTTTGTGGCATATAGCGCAAGCACATTGAGGGTCGTATACTGGTAGGAGGATCTCTGACTCACTCACACTGTTAGGAGGCATTTCCCTCGCAGAGTGGTGACTGATCGATGGATACATGCTGCGAAAAATTGATTAACAGTTGGATCGGAAGGCATATTAATTGCAGGTGACAACTTACCTGGCAGGAGCCTAGAAAGCTGTCTGATTATCCCAGAACGCTCGAAACATTAAAGGAGGAGTCTTTATTCTGCACCAACAAGGAAGGCTGCGTGATTCACGCGAGATATTCTGTTTGAAAGCCACATCATCGCCCCGAAACCCCAAGCATTGGACCAAAATCTCCACCTATCACGCTCAAAGGGCGGTTCCAACTCATGTCATATTCCATGGCTGTGAGGACCTTGAGAATTTTCCGGATCATTCAGTCATGCTACCAATGTGGGCGGCAGGCTGCATATTCCCAGACAAACAGGCGAAGAAAACTAACCACATGACAACCAGTAAGGCTTAACGCGAGGAAATAAATAAACAAGGGGAAAACTCCTGGACTTGGATGTAGGGATATCTCGGGAAGAAGCGGGTACTTTGGATCCCCTTGAGTAGTAAGGAATAATGAAGGAAGTAAGGGGAAGCTTTTAAGTAGAGAGGAGTCTCATGCTATTGTACTTGGGTTAGTAATTTTTAACGAATTAATTATTAAATAATAGGCTTACCATAATTCCTTGCATTATTTTATACGTATTTTATGATTTTTAATAAAAATAGCAGTCACATGGCACGGCAAAAGGACTAAAGATATATTTTTATTCCTCTTTTCACCCATAAATATCCTCCGATGCCAATATCTAGTTAACAAAAGCACTGGTATCTGACCCGATGTGTATGGAGGATCGTTCTCCAGGAAGAGAGAAGTATGTCACGTGCATCAATTTCTAGCCCTTGATTGGCTGGATCCAACACCTCCTGCTAAACCACATAATAAACCGCATATTCAGTTCAAAAGCGTTATATTTAATTATATCTTAATCAAGTAGTCACTAAATTTAATTATACACACTTACATTGTAGCACCTCCGCATTATTCATGTATAATCCATGATCGAGCCATTACACCGTCAGTATAGCGAACCTAACAGCCACTCATTCCACCCCACTGCAAGCCCCAAGTATAGAACAATCCATCCTCAGCTCAAGCGGCGCAGGTATCCTGAGTCGGCGCGTTCTGGCACCAGAGCGCGAGGCTCAGAACATCGTTGATGACGGGCGGCTGCACACATTATTAGCCCATTCCAATGCCAATCGAGGGGAGGGGGAGAAGTACATTCACGACCGAGTCAACTTGGCAGCAAAGCTTGGTTCCGGGGTTGCAGGTTGTGAAGTCCTTCTTGCAGTAGAGCCCATTGATGCTATTCGGATTGAGCTTGAATTGTCCAGCCAGCTGTGCGAGCTCCACGACGAGTGGCATATCGCCGTTGATGGTTGAGGAGCAGCAGAGGAGGGTACCTGTCTCGAGTCAGTGTTCTCCTTGCGGAGGAGAGCGGGCGGGCCGGAGGGCGGGCGGCATACCGTTGTTAACGTTCTTGCATACTGGAGAGGGGTCCGTGGTCAAGAGGAAGGAAGGAGGAGCTGCGTAGAGGACGCCGAGCATGTTGAGCACGTTGCCAAGGTATCCAGTGATGGCCCCAACGACTGGAATGCCATTGAGGAGGCCGCCAATGACGGAGACGAGTTGGGGAGCTGCTGTGGCCGAGGAGAGAAGGGTGATGAGCAGGATGACGAAGATGGATGGGGAACGCATTTTGCTTGATCGCGAGGGCTCTCAAAGAAGCGTAGAGACGCGTTTTTTTATTGAATGGAAAGGAGAGGAGTGTGCTGGGTTCTAGGCACTGGGTCTGGAAGGAGGGCAGAGGGTTGAAGGGTTGCAGGCAGAGAGCCAAGGACAACTGCAGAGACTTCTCGGCCTTGAAGTACTGAAGGAGAGGACGAGGCCGAGCCGGTGGGCAGGAGAGTAAACAGGACGGAAGCATCCCTCTTATCGACAATCGCGGAGTGGGGCCCGCTCTCACGTGCCCCTGCGCCCCTGAACCCAATGGCAGCGGCTGAGCAGCAGTGCAGCAGTGCAGCACCTCTCAGCTGTCAGCCTGTCACAATTTCACAAAGCTGAGAGCTCGTTCGTATTTCCGCATAAAAGAAAGGCTGTCACACCCACGTTGTTCAAACAGGACAACGGTGGACACGCACGCACGTCAAAGGAAGGACGAGACGTGCCGTGTCTGTCAAAATGACGGTCGGAGATCGGGGGTCGGAATAAGGTAGTGATCAGCGTACCGGGGCGGGAATGATAGGCTGCTCTTCCCTGTGCTCTGTCTGCCGCGGATCCGGGCCTGGTCCTTGCCCTGGCAGTTGCAGCCACCAATATTGGCCACGACAGACGAGGCTTGGAGGAGGATTGCTATCATCGCCGATGGGATATCATCCGTGCAATCAAGCAAGCAGCAAGCAGCAAGCAAGCCAGCCAGCAATCAAGCAAGCAATCAATTAAAGAAGAGAGAATGAATGGAAGAATAGAAATCCCGAGGAATGCATTTGATAGAGAGTTCGGACGAAGCGCAGCTGCGCAGGGTTCCCTCGACCCTGTCTCTGTTACACGGTCGTTGCTTTCCCCTTCTCGTGCTACCGCAGCACAGCACGCCTCGAGTACACCTGCAGCAGCCCTTGCAAAAGAGCCCCCCTCCCCCCCCTACGGTAAGTAAATGTACTCCCCCTCCCTCCCCCCTAAATAAATGTATAACCAGCCTTGCAGGTCCAGTTGCCATACAAAAAAACCGCACTTTGACCCACTGTTACTGTACTGTGGTACATTTAGTTAGGGGTGAGAAGAATACTCCGTACTTACTGTCCAGTACATGTACAACTCGAAGGAAGCAATCCGCATCCCCCAGCTCCACTTGCAAGGCCCCCATCCCCTTCCCCCCCCCCGTCAACGAGATATCTGATATCCCATGAAGTCGACGCTGCCGATCTCGATGCGCGACGCACGGTCGTTGCCCTAGTATTCCTCCATTCTTGGCCTTCGGGGACCTGATTTGTGGGGATGCTTTCAGGCTTCAACAACGGGAAACGGGCCGGGGCCTGCTTTTCCACAAGCATGCTGGCATGCTGCGCCGCAGGGGAGGATCGGCATCGTACATAGCTGCATTCATCTCTACCTCCGCCAAGATCTGAGACTACTTTCCGGCGTGGCTTTCTGGGCGGCGAGCGGTAGCAGCGGTTGGCCGCCATGAAAGGGCCCGGGCCCAGGTATCGCTTTTGGCAGGTGAAGCCATAGATGCTATTTGTGGAGAAATGGGAGGATAAGACATCATGGCTCCCGTCTCAGCTGAGCTCATGGCCGGTTGGGAGAAAGAGGAGCGAAGCATTCGGATGGAGTGACGAGATGCCTGCCGACCCGGTCCGAGACAGCATCCCGAGTACGTGCCTCCCTTTTTTCCCACTGTATGCATAGTAACGTGACCCTCTGGAATGGACTGGCCTCGATTTGACTGGCCTCGATGTCGATGTTGATGTCATTGAGGCCGGAGATGCCATCCGCGACTTGGAGTAGTGCTGCTGTGCCATGGAAGGCATGCTGAAGCTGCCACTGGGTTGGTCGCACTGCAGCCAAAAGCACTGGTCTTTTCCCATGACATGAAATCCCATCCCGGATGAGAGCTCCTGACCAGCAACCTCAAGTGCTGGTTGTTTTTTCTTTGATGTTTGCACTTCAATCTGCACATAAAGTGAGGTTTGGGAGCAGGTTGGCTTGCAGTCAAGCTAAGTCGGTGAATCGGTCTTTGTTGATTTAAGCTTGAATTTGCCTGCTGTGTTTTTGCTCCGCTTGCGGAGGCTCCTTTGGCTCACCTGCTCCTCTTTTAGATCGCGACCTCACCAGTCTAGATCTTCAATACCACCCAGACCGAATCATCGTCACAACGACAGCGCGCAACAGTGTCAATGCACCTCTCGTCGGCCCTCGTGGCCGCCTTGCTGGTCGCTTTCCTGGTTACTTCTACCGTCCGTTACATTTACACCCGCTACTTCTCGCGGCACGCACTCCCCTCGAGCCTGCCATGGATCGGGGTCGAAGGTGGCAGTTGCTTCTCGCGTGCTCGTGCAACTCTCCGGAGCTTCTGGCACACACGGGAGCTTGTGTTCGAAGGTTATGAGAAGGTACGTTCCTCCTGGGCTCGTAGAACGCATCACTGACTTCGTGGCAGTACTCAAAGAAAGGCCTCCCGTTTGTTCTCCCCAACATCACTACCGGCCCTGAAGTCATACTTCCAATGTCCCAAATGGAATGGCTGCTAAAACAAAAAGAGACTGTCCTCGATCAAAACGAAGTCAACCGGAGCTTTTTACAGGCTGACTACACCATGCTCCATCCAAAGGTCGTCACTGATACCGTACACGAGGATGTCATCCGAAAGGAGTTGACTAAGATGCTTGGTGACTACACTGCCGACGTCATTGACGAGATTGACTATGCCTTCAGGAAGAATTGGGGTGTTGATACCAAAGAGTGGACTGAGATCACCTCGTACTACTCCATGCTGGATATCATCGCTCGGATTTCGAACCGTGTCATCGTTGGCTTTCCACTCTGTAGGTTTCTTCCCATTTTGCTTCGCTTTTGACTAATGGTTTCAAGGCCGTGATGAAGGATACCTCAGCCATGCAAAGCAGTTTGCTCGTTGGGTTGTCGTCGAAGCTGCTTTCATTGCCATGGTTCCCAAGACTCTCAAAGGGTAAGCGATCCATCTTTGTCCAATTCCAAGCTCTAAATTTCCAAGCATCCTTGCACCACTCATCCGAATCCTCGACGTCAACTACTTCCGTCAAAACTCTAAGGTCGTCGTTCCTCTGATCAAGAAACGCCTCTCGTCTCCCTCGATCGAAGAGAAGAAGAAGGTGCCTCAAAAGTTCTCCCATCTCGGCCCCACAAACAGCTGACAAATCCACAGGACGATTACATTCAATGGTCAATTGATCACTCCTACGACCGCAAGGATCCCTCTCTCCGCACCGTCGATATAATCAACAAACGCCTCTCTGTCATCCAATTCGCCGTCATCCAATCGTCAACCATAACTCTCGCGAACTTGGCTTTGGACCTCGCTTCCTACCCCGAGCTGTCCTCTATGTTCGCCCATATCCGCTTCGAAGTCCTCAACGAACTCCAAGCCACTGGTGGAGAATGGACCAAGGACGCTCTTGCCCGCATGGTCTCTCTCGACAGCGTCCTGCGCGAAAGCATGAGGATGTGGGGCTTCGTCAGTCGCGGCGTCATGAAAGAGGTCGTCGCCAAAAAAGGAGTCACCCTTCCATCTGGCCATCACCTTCCTCACGGTACGAAAGTCGGGGTTCATGCTTCTCCGGTACATAGGGATGATGACATCTACCCCGATGCCTTGGAGTTCAAGCCCTTCCGGTTCTGTTCAAATGGTGGCTTGAGAATGGTCGATGATTATTCGGAGAAGGTTGTTGGAAACGGCATCCCGCTCGTCACCACCAGCTCAAACTTCATGGCTTTCTCTCATGGTCGTCATGCATGGTATATCTCCCTCCCTTCCCCTCCCCTTTTGTCTTTCACCTCCGAGCTTCACCACACCTTCCAGGGTATATAGTTGTCAACCAAGACTAACACCTCTGATCACAGCCCAGGTCGTTTCTTCGCCTCCCAACAGCTGAAACTGGTCCTCGCATACATCGCCCTCAACTACGACATCAAGCCAATCCCCTTCCGCCCGACCAATCTCTGGTTCGTCAACACACAAGGTCCACCTCTCGACTCCAAGATCTCCGTTCGCCGTCGCGAGGGCACGGTCTGACTTCCACATTGAAGCAGCCGTCATTCTTGACCTGTTTTCACTTGCATCCTTTTCCTTTGTTGTCGATAATGATTTCTCCGCTCTACTTGCATGAGAAGGACGGCGCACTGGCGCTTGATATTTTTCGTGCTGGGATGTAATAAATGCATGCAAGTACGATCGGAGCGGAGTATTGCTTCACACATAGATGCATGAATGTCTAATCGTAATGCATTAGAGACACGCGAGGATAGAAGATAGTCGCAATACAATACCATAGCTTTACAAAGATCAAATGAATCTCATGGCCGTGAAAATTGGATTGGTATGCGCGCTGGAGGCATTGAAAGGATGGTCCGAATTCATCTTGGGCTTCGCACCGAGGAGAACAAAGAAAGGCTCCGGAATCGGCTTCACTCACCACCGCTCGGAATTTTGAAGTACTCGATTCATTATGAGGAATTCCATCTGGCAGCCGATAAGTGACACAACGCGAGATCGAACGCGGAACACGCTTCCGCAGGATCGTCCCCTTCATCATCATCATCACCCTCCTCCTCTCCCTCTTCTGCTTGCCCCTCCACGTCCTCTCCTCCGCAACCTCTCCTGCCTCGCCACTTCCTCCAACCCCCCACAAAACTGGGGCTTCTCGGATACCCGTGCATGTAGGACAGCTGATGGCCGCGGAGGAAGACGCGATGAGATATGTCACGAGTCATACGACCAGTGTGGATTTTAAGGATGCTTGGCAGGAGAAACTTGCTGGAAAATAGGGGGACGAGGAGATGGATGTGGAGGTTGTCTGAGCTGGTGGGGTGGAATTGGGATCTGAATTGTTGCTTGGAGAGAGTTGGTCTTCACGAATCGGAACTGTATATTCTATTTTAGGGTACGGTTTTAGGATTCGATGATCGACTTCGCTTTCCCCCACCCGTATTGAAATAGTTTTCTGGCCTTAACCGTGTCTTTGAGACTTTTGGTCTGGTATCCGCAATCATATTCTCAGAACATTCAACCCGAACTGCTTCTTCCTTGTTCTCAGGGGAAGGATCCAGCATTATTCCACTGGCTAGTCCGTGCTCGTTGGAACGTAAACTCGTTTGGCAATAGAAACCTTCGTATCTGAGCTCCTATATCACTACCTCTCCTCCCTCGGTTCTACTCCTGCAAGGCTCTTGCCCCGGCTCTGGCGCCGAGCACCACCGGCTCCGCAACCTGGCTTGCTCGCTCAGATTGCTTCACTCTCTTTTCAAAACATCCCCCAATCAGACTATCTCGTACTTGTTTTCTTCCCTTTTCCACTACTCCCCTTCGCTCTCAATTTGCTCTGAAACCCCGAAAGCACCCCTCCCAATCGCCTCGACCTTTGCCCCCGCTCTCCCCCGTCTTTCGACATCCCTGAACCGCCTTCATTCGAAGTCTCATCGACCACCACAAACTCCTTCGGGAAGAATCCAAACTTTCCCTTTGGATTTCGTCCCGACCAGCACCAAAAGTCCGCAAAGGGATACTCGATATGCGTAATTTTCTCCTTTCGAGGAAACACAAGCCAGCCAGCTGATGTGTCTTTTGGGTTATGATCCCACCTTGCTGTTGCCGTCAATGAAGACTTGGAGTTAATGATGATGTCGTTTTTAGATGGCGGATTAAGCTGCATGGTCTCGGATGGGAAGAGTCCCTTTGAGCAGTCGTGGTATCCGGAACACCATTGGCCATTGAACTCTACCGGGAAAGTGATGCCGGCTATTTGAGCCCCAATGGCGAATTGCAATGTTGGTCTGCCGTCCGGAGATTGCGGGTGGAACTTGCTGCCGCTCTTTGGGTGATGTGCCTGGGTTGCGTGCGCGGTAGGTAGCGAGTTGATATAGGGGCATAATTTGTTGATGGGATCGGGTTGGGCTTCCTGGTTTTTGAAGTAGAGGTCAAAGTCTTGGTTGGTATGCGTACCATAGCCAACCTTGATGCTGTCAACTTGGTGTGTTGGCTTGTGACGCATGGCGATATGACGCATCAATTGTGCTGTGGAGAAGAAGATGGTGGCATCGTGGACTTCGGGTGTTTTCTTGTCATCGACGCAGAACACGCACTTTGTAAGCTTAGCTAATTTCATGTTGGTTGGGATGCAAAGGTGGTTCCTTACCGCATATACACTATCCTTCATGCTCTTAACTTTTAGATGGCATTTCGAGAGGAATGATTGCTTGTATCTTAAGCCAAGGTGATCATATTCTAACCGCCGTTAGCGCCGTGCTATGTATGGATCAGGTCAATAGTTTTCCTACCGTCGCATAGATTATTCTTTCTGAATGTGGCCCAGTCAGCTTCGTACGAGCACTTGAGACATCTTGCTGTAACTCTGGCGATGTATGCACCCACATATTGTACCGCAGGTGCATCTTCCGCGATTTCCTCGTAAACAGGATTCAACTTGCTACCCTGTGTACAATTAGAAGGTTCCTATCAATGAATTCCTGCACCGCTCTTACTTCGGGACGTTTGACCACCTTGTAGAACTTTTGGCCTTTCGAAGCCAATTTTGCTCCTTCGCAAAAACTACCATATCTGTAAAATGAACTGTCGTGGCTAATGACGCAATGTGCGGAGAAGGTACTCGTCGACGGTGTCAGTCCGTTGGATTCGTTTACGAGCATCAGGCCATCTGCCACGCTTGTGCTGGTTGACTCCCTTTTCATCGCTTCGATCCCATCAGTAACGTTCATGCCAAAGCCTGGTAGCTTCAATGTTGAAGCTAAACCCAAAACGTCATTATTGCCCTCCCCATCAGATGATGGACGAGGACTCCAAGCTGAAGAGAGTGCCTGGAGTTCTTCCTGGAATGCCACTTTCGACTGACGGCGGCGTGCAAGAAACCTCTCATTTTTCTCGAGATGTCGTCGTACTTCTTCTGTTGCAATCAGTCGTTGGGAGGGTGTCGTTTGCATCAGATCGTTACTCGGGGATTCGGAAAGTCCAGAGACGACCGAGAAACGGCTGTCTTCTGTCTGGGAGGCGGATATGTGCCTGGAGCTTGATGGACTTCCGTCACTGAACTGGTGTGGGCTTCGGGGAGATCGTGGTTGATCCATTGGTGAGACAGGGCTCCCGATTTGACTCTGCCAACTCAGTGACCGAGGAGTACCTGATTTTGGAGAAAATTGAGGATTTGCCTTGGTAGCATCAATGGAATAGATCCCATTCGGATGGTCTCTAATCTTTTCCATCTGTAACTCGAGCAGAAGTCTGTCGAAGAAGTCAAGTATTGTGGTACAGCATCTGTCCATTTCGCTTCTTAACACTTGAATTGACTCCGAGCTGAGTGTGTATGGCTCATCCAGGCTTTCTTGTAGATTCATGACTTGATTCATAAGACCTAGCGAGAAGCTTTGGATTCTGTTTATCATCGCTTCTGTTCATGGGGTTAGCTACATATCGTAGCTTTAAAGACTAGGAAATCAAGCTTCTACAACTCACGGTCGTCAGCAAGAGCTTCTATAAAGGCTTTACCGCAATCGCTCAAGCCCTGATCGTAGGACTTGTTGATTCTCATCACACTCTGAGCTAGATGACGCTCGAGACGTCGCGCCGCTGTAACTGTCTCTTCTAGGAACATCGTGTCTGGCGTCCTTGGTGGCTTGCATATTTTCTGTAATAATTTCCTTGCTCTTTCAAATGCAATCAAAGCTGCTTGAATCGAGCTGTTCACATCGTCGTCGACGGCCATGGCCTTGCACGGAGCAGCCGCTTCTGCATCCGATCGCCGCTCCTCGATGGAAAGGGTAATCCGACTTTCATGCGTGGCTTGGGCCGTTCTCTGACTGATGACAAGTGATAGGTGACAGGTTACAGGTGACAAGCATTCATGCAACAGATCAGCACAAAAAGGTGAAAAGTTGCGAAGACCGATCGAGAGCGCGATAACGTCACGGGCTCTGTGTGACAGTGAATGGCTCCCTCGTTGTCCCGATAGTCGAAACGAGTCCGTGGCGTTGGAATTCGCTGTGGTGGCTGGCAGGGCGAGCGAGGCTGATTGACCGCGAGCAAATGGGATGCCTTTCCAGCACAGCCAGAAATGATAACGAGTGAGGCAACGGCACACTCTGCGCAAAAATCGCGCATACTCCAAAACTTGCCCACTTGCTGAGCAAAGCTCCAAGTATGATTGCATGGCGGACTCTTCCCATGTCTCGTGACTTTCGACAGTCGTTTTGATCCTTCGCCATTTGATAGAAGCGTGAGCACTGAAGGGTGACGATAGGGGCGAATTACGTGACCAGCGCAATTGCTTTCTGCGTTATGACTCCCATATTGTTTGTCGACACCTTCGCTCCGAGATGTGGGCATAACAGTACATTCTTTCAGATAGTACTGCCGAGACGCCGGAAGCAAACTTAAATTTAAGATTTCGCGACAGAAATGTTCTTGAAGCTCTTCGTGATCCGCGTAATTGCCTCCTCAACCGGCAATCGCTCCATCGAGCTTGCACCATAAAACCCATGCAAGCCATTGACACGACCCAGAATAAACTCCGCATCCTCAGGGGCCGCAATAGGTCCCCCATGACACAATATAATGGTCTCCTTCTTAATCCTCACTACCGTATCAACAATCTCCTGAACGTCTTTAACGCACTGCTCCAAGCTCTTCCCAGTCTTCGCTCCAATCGTCCCCGAAGTAGTCAACCCCATATGCGCGACAACAACATCCGCACCCGCATTGGCCATCATCTCTGCCTCTTGGACATTAAAGACATACGGCGTCGTCAGAATTCCAATCTCGCTCGCCATTCTTATCATCTCGACCTCCTTCCCAAATCCCATCCCTGTCTCCTCAAGACTAGTCCTAAAATTCCCATCAATCAACCCAACAGTAGGGAAGTTCTGCACACCCGCAAAGCCCATATCCTTCAGTTGCTTCAAGAATCTCGGCACATCTTTGAACGGATCAGTACCACAAACCCCCGCGATGACTGGGGTGTGCTTGACGGCAGCGAGAATCTCGGGAGCCATATCGACGACGACATCATTGGCGTTGCTGTAAGGCATAAGACCGGCGAGTGAGCCGTGCCCTGCCATACGGAAACGTCCTGAGTTGTAGATTATTATCAGGTCGCTGCCGCCTGCTTCGGCGCATTTTGCAGAGAGGCCGATTCCTGTTTCTCGTGTCAGAACGGTTGAAATCACGAGTGACGATAGATACCTGCTCCTGCCCCAACAATTGGTTTCCCTTGCTTTACTTGGTTCCAGAAGCGGGAGAGGATTTCATCTCGGTTTGTTGGTGGTGCCATGTTTAGGATCTTGAGAGTGAGAGACGGTTGCAATGACAAGGTTGGATGAGGTTAAGATGAATCAACTTGGGTATTGCTGAACAGAGTCTCTGTGGGGCCTAGAGTTCAATCGAATTCTGCTGAGTTATCAATTTGAACATGTTAATATACGTTCTAGTTGAGAATTGAGGCTGAGGGAGTTTGATGATCACGAAGACGTCAGCAAAAATGGGTCGACGTCGGCAGCCCCTATTTCCGATTCGCTTAAGCATCAAAAGCGGGGTAATGGTGGGGCAACATGCTAGATGATTAGGTATTTTATCCTAGGCGATCTAGAAAGTTTGATGACTTGAGTTGAAAGCATCTCCCTTTCTTCATCGTCTTATCGAAACCCACCTGCTCATATCCTTTCTCTCATAAGCTTTACCCCGGTCAAGGTGAACACACAATGCCGCATCTAATCCTCATCGGTACTCTGGACACGAAGCTGCAGGAATTCCTCTACCTGCGATCACAATTACAAGAATTATCTCAGAATGCGTCGACGCCTCTTAAAATCACCCTCATCGACTGCGGTCGCACGCCAATCCATCACGAAGCAATCACAATCTCACAACCGGACCTGGTGAAAAGTTACGGCCCAGCAGATGCATTCGACTTCAAATCCCCACCACGGGGAGAGATCATAAAGTACATGACTCGCTGCACTTCGGCATACGTGGAACATCTCATACGAAAAGGAGACGTGGACGGGATTTTGAGCGCGGGAGGTTCAGGTGGGACCTCACTCGTCTCAGCAGTCATGAGAGAAGTCGCACCTCTCGGGATGCCAAAGCTTATTGTGAGTACGGTGGCATCCGGGGACACAGGTCCTATTGTGGGAGAAACAGACATCACAATGATGTATTCTGTCGTTGACATCGCGGGGACAAATGCGATGCTTAGGGATGTGTTGGGGAATGCTGCTGCTGCTATGTTGGGCATGAGTACTGCCTATGAGAAGCGCATGTTGGCCCAAAAAGACCTCAAACCCGAATCAGAAAGGAAGTTGCGAGTCGGTGTCACGATGTTTGGAGTTACGACGCCTTGTGTAGATACCATCCGAGAATATCTTACGTCCAAATATCCAGTGGAGGTATTCGTCTTTCACGCCACAGGTCACGGCGGGAAAGCAATGGAACGTATGGTCTCTGAAGGTACCTTGGACGCAGTATTGGACGTCACAACAACGGAGATTTGCGACTGCCTTTGTGGTGGAAATATGAGTGCAGGCTCCTCTCGACTCGAAGCGGCGCTGAAACAGGGAGTTCCGAACATCATCTCGGTTGGAGCTACGGATATGGTGAACTTTGGGCCAAAAGGCACTGTCCCAGGAAGCTATAAGGCGAGGAAGCTGTTGGAGCATAATCCGACCGTCACATTGATGAGGACTACAAGGGAGGAATGTAGGATGATTGGAAATTTTATAGTTGAGAAGATTAAGGGGTTTGCGGGGGAGCGGGAGAAAGTGGAGGTTTGGATTCCGAGAAGAGGGGTCAGTATGATTGCTACCCCTGGACAGGTGTTTGAGGATCAAGATGCAGATGCAGTGCTTGCAGAGACGCTCAAGGAAGGGTTGAGGGGGACTGGTGTAAAAGTTGTGGAGGACATGAGGGATATTAACGACCCCGGCTTTGCAGTTGATATGGCGGAAACTCTGATGAAAATTGTTTATAGAACGAAGTAAAGAACGTTAAAGAAGACGAGAGATCTTTCCGAGATCTAAACACGAAATTCAAGCGAGATGAAAAGGGGTTCAGGAGTGGTGAGGTGAAGTGGGCCAGCTTAGTCATCCCATCGGCTTCCAGCGGAAACCTTCCGAGGACGACTTGTACTTTGTCAGACCTGTCTGACCTGAACCTCAATTGAACATCATCCACATCAGCACAATGCCTCTCCCTTTTTGGACACTCGGCTGCATCTACGGGGCCTCCTCCGTCACCCTCGGTGCGTTCGGCGCCCATGGCCTAAAGAAGAAGATCGCAGACCCAGCGCGGATTGCGGACTGGAACACAGCAGCTCACTACCAAGTACATCCCTTCTCCCCCTCTCTCTCAAACTCTTGTCTTTCCTCTTCTAGTCAGACATCTTATGCTCACAATTGTTCCTTCCACAGCTCGTTCACTCCGGCGTCCTCCTCCTCTCCAGCGCCGTTGCCCCGAAAAACACACTCGCAGCCAGTTTGTTCGTAGCAGGCATGACTATGTTCAGTGGTGGCATATACTTGCTTGTGCTTGACCCGCAGAGGTTCAAAGCATTGGGGCCGGTTACACCCTTGGGAGGGCTGTGTTTGATTGGAGGATGGGTGGCATTGGCTTTCGGGAAGAGGATTCCATTCCCTAGATGAGCGTTGACGGGGGAAACCGTATTTGATGGGCAGTCAATTGGCGTTTCCGGTGTTATGGGCTTTGGCAGACTCTGCTCCGAATGGGGAACGCTAATTGTACGATATGAGTCGACGTACATATGGGACATAAATGGAGTTGGAATGATGCACTGTTCTCGAACGAAAAGTGCCCATAAAGCCTTTGATGTACATCGATGAAGTTGGAGAGCTGAAATTTGAGTGAGCAGACCCTGGCAGGCTTATCGAAATTCTCTTTTCACCAAGGATACTCAAGAAAGCTATATCAACTGTTGTTTTTAGGGCCGTCGCCTGCACCAATCGCCAAGACCCCTCGGCCTGTGGACTTTGCGTCGCGAGCTTCAAGGCCACAAGTAGCCACTTCGACACCTTTTGTTTGTCAGCTCGACCATACGGAGTTCCATTGATTGAATATCCTTGGCTTTCATGGATCAGCTGCCTTTCTCTTGTATCAGATTTGTCAGAATCGCGCACTGTGCTGGCTATGACTGTGGGGTTTCGAGGTCACGGACTTTGCTACACCTTAAATGCCGTTGAAAGAATAAACTAGGTACTACTACTATCCCTTCGTCCGGTGAGACATTGGCAGGGCTAGCGACCGCATAAATGCGGATGCTTGATTGGAGGGAGACGGTTGTAAGGGGATATTCGCATGCGGCCGCTAGCGAGCTAATGTCTCACCGGATGAAGGGATAGTCGGTCCGATACTACAAGAACAACAAAAAAGAAAATCTCCTACTATAATACTAATTAGTATAAATCGTATTAATTAAAATTGTCCTTTATCTTTATATAATTAATTCATTATTCTCTAATATTTAATATTATTATTATTACGAGAGAACTAGTTTATATACTTTAAAATTCAATTATAAATTAACTTCCAGTATATAAAAAATCGAGTTAATACGTTTTATTCGCCTTATACTACTCTATAATCGCACTACTTAATATTAGTTTATCGGGATTATAGTTGAAAAATTGTTGTGGGCGTAAAAGGCCGACTATTTTGTTATTATTATGTCGGACCGACTGCAGACTGGCTCAATACGTCGGCACGGACACCATGTCATGGATGTTCTTAAGCGGACCATTTGAAACCTGAGTTTTGCGAAGCTGTCTATAAGCAGTCTTTACCTCAGTTGCGACCCAGCATTCGTACGTCATTATTTATGGTCGTATCTGCCACCATCTTCAAACTTTCCATCGAATCCACCAGATCCAACCATCAAGTTAATTATGTCAATCACCACTTTCCATAACATTGCTCTCTTAGGAGTAATTCGGTTCATCTATCTCATAATGTCTGGGCTAACATCATAACCAGGCAACAGGCAACCTTGGGTCCAAGATCCTCATTGCCCTCAACAATGCCGGCTTCACTGTAACGGCCGTCCAGAGGAAGGACTCCACAAATATCCCCAACGGAGCAGCAAAAAGCCTCAAAGTCGATCTGAGCAGCGAGCTAGACCTCACTTCCGCATTCAAAGGCCAAGATGTCGTCGTCTCCGCCATGCCAAACCCCCGCCTTGCAACTGACAAGATCTGGATAAACGCCGCCATCTCCGCAGGCGTCAAACGCATCGTGCCTTCTGAATTCAGTACGAATCTTGAAAATGAGCTCTCCCGTGCCTTGCCGATTGTCACAAACAAGATTGAGATTCGCAAATATGTTGAGGACATTGCGAAGGAGGGCATGATCGAGTGGACGAGCATCAACAACGGTCCCTTCTTTCTTTCGGTGATTTGGCTCTCGGGCTGGATGGGGCCGGGTGTTAAATCGAAAGTCACGGTACTTCATGATAATGGCGAGAAGATTGTCTGCACGACTACCCTTGAGAGGATTGGGGAAGGTGTAGCGAAGAGTCTGCTGCCTGAGTATGCTGTGAAGACGAGGAATAAGGCCGTTTATGTCTACTCAGCTGCAATGAGCGAGCGAAAGATGACAAGGTTAGCCGAGAAGTTTTCGGGTCTCAACTTCGAGGAGAAAAAGAGCAATATTGAGACTGTGACGAGGGAGGCATTTGAATCATTGGAGAAGGGAGATAAGAGCAAGATGATGAATTTTTATATTCCATTTTGTCTTGGGGAGAGGTATGGTGGAGATTTCAGGTATATGGCGGCGAACGAGATGTTGGGGCTGAAAGAATTGACGGATACAGAGCAGGAGGAAATAGTTAAGATGTGGTTGAAGGAGATGAAGACAAGCAAGTCATGAGTGTGGCTCATCGAATCGTCCGGACTATCTCATTCAAAAATTCAAAAAGAAGCTGGAAAGCTGTCGAGCGACTACCCTCAGGTCATAAAGCTGAGACGAAATTGCGGCACATGTATACCTGATACGGAAAGAACCATCCTAAATTGCAGATTGGGCTTTTTCAGCCTTGTAGGTACGTAACAATCCTTGAATCGCCGGGAAGTCTTGTTGGTCCCTTTACGAGCAAATGACTTCCAGGGGCTCGATAAGCTCAGTAAGCCGCGCCTCAAGTAAAGATCCGCATGAAGTTTCCCAAGCCAGCAGAATTCTAGGGAACAATCTCTTGCGATTGTCACGGATGAGCATTGAGTCGTATTTGTGTTTCAAACTTTTCTGCCGAATGTCTCGATATTGGTTTCTATATAGACATTTCCTGTTTTGAGTTTTCTCGTTTGCGCGAGCTCGTTCTCGTTGTGTCATATGGAACCTCGCCAGGTGCGGCTACGGTCCAAGTGGTGGCGTGCTTTCACTCCAATGTGTGTGTGCTGTAAGGCGGCTGCTCAGCTTCGGGCAAAGCTTTGTTGATCTTGTTGAAATTAATGTCGCTCCAGCTCATTCCTGCTACCACTGACGACAGATAAGAGACGTTTATGACTCGCGTTGCACCTCTCGGGCTGGTTTCTGCAACTTTGAAGAGCTTGGGAATGATGAGGCAGGTGAAGAGCAAGTTTCCGACGTGGTTGGTTGCAAATTGCGTCTCGATTCCATCTTCGTTGAGCATGCGTTCTGGGAGGTTCATCACGGCGGCGTTGTTCACGAGGATGTCCATGGTGGGAACATCTTTCCAGGTGAGAACCTTTGCCGCCGCTTCACGGACTGATTTCTGGTTGGAGAGGTCGAGCTCGAGGCACCTTAGTTCTACTTTTGGAAAGTTGACTTTGAGCGCATCGATACTTCCTTGGATTCTAGTTGGGTTGCGGCCCGCTACGATGAGATGGGATGGAGATTGTGTGGCCTTGTTGAGGCACCAATTGGTATTGAATGTTCTAATGCCGGGGCTTACTACTTACAAATGCCTTCACGGTTGAAAATCCGATGCCTCCACCAGGCTTGGCAGAAATACCTAATTTCCGGTATTAATACGTATCAATGCCAGAATCGTAAGGTATCGATACTATCGATACCGAATCGATTCTTAGTAATACTTTGCCCTATTTCTAAGGCCCCAGCTAATTTTGGTGCCATCGTCTGAACTATACCAAATAACTACGTAAATTATAGCTTTATATAATATAATATAGCTTAATCTGAGTCATTTATACTCCCATTTTTAATTTTCGATAATCCAGATACCTTTAAAATAAGCTCTCAGCTCCCAACCCTCTCTCCAATTTACAAATACTTTCCACATACCCTCCATTCTACCTACCCCTATATATACATACATATACACATATATACACATATACTGGTCAAGATAGTAGCTCAAGCTCAGCAAGATCTAGTAATCTGGACTCGTCTTAATAGCTATAATAACGTATATTACTTCCTTTATATAGAAGGTAATAAACTAGAGCCATCTATTATTACTAGTAGCCCTTAATAGCAAAATACCTTTAATATCGCTAATCCTGCCCCTTTAGATATTATAATTAAGGATCCCTATACTCCTAATATCTTTAATATCCCGCTTTTTCCTGAGATTATTAATATAATCTTGATTTAATAAGTATAAGTTACTTCTTTATACTTTATATAATTTATACTAAATAATATAATAGCTAAGTTAATATCCGTACTTCTTATACTGCTTACTAAAATAGTTAAGGCATTTTTGAGGAGTGCTTAAGGGTTCCTGGAGAAGAGTAGTATAGAGCATATAGTAATTGTATTTATTATAGTTATATGACCTATTATAGTATACGAGATATTAATAATAATAGAGGAGAAAGTAATAGTAGAGGATAACCTAAACCCCCTCAAATTATATAAAGTGGCCGGGTTTTAAAGCCTGGATATTATCCTGGCTAGAGTATTTCTTCTATTATAAATAAATAGATAGAACTACTTTCTTTATATTATATAATTGCCTGGCTTTTATATAATACCTAATAGACTATATTAAGCTCTTAATATTTGCTCTTTTTTGATTTTTCCCTAGCTAGTTTTAAGGAAAATATTTAGAATTTTATTCTTTTTTTAATACTTTAAATATTCTTATATCTTAATAGTTTCTGCCTCTATTTTTGCCCTATTCTAGCCTATTATATATTAATTTCCTAAAAATACTTTCTCTGGCTCATTACTTATTAGTGGAATAAAGAGGATATTAATAATTATAAAAGAGAGCCTTGGCTAGTATTGCCTCTATATATCCTAATACTACTAAGTAAGGGCTCCCTATTTACTAGGATTATATAATACTAGTAAGTTATAGTCCTTAAACTTATCTTAACTTATAGGCCGAGCTATTATCCGGAAAGATATAGAAATTTGATTAAAAGTATCTAGTTCTAATATCTTATAAGACGAGCTATTATACGAAAAAGCTAGAAAAGTAGGTATAATTATAGCCCTTTCCTTATACTTCTCCCAGAGCTTTTTAATCTTAACTAGAACTGGTTTAGACTATTTCTTTAGCTAATATATCTTAATATATCTTATATAATTACAAGGATTTAAAATTAATATAATAGTATAAACTAGAGACATATTAGTCTTTATATAATAATTATTTAGAACCTTATATATTGCCTTAATTTAGTAAAGAAAGTCTTTTTTCTCTGGATCTCTATTCTTCTAATATTTGGCCTATTAGAATTAGTATAATTATATAATAGAAAAAGAAAACTTATATTTTTTTCTTAAAGGTATTTAATTAAAATATCTATTATAAAAAGGGTAGAATTAAGAGAAGTCGAGCCCTTAGTAGTAAAAGTAGCTTATATAAAAGAAGTAAGGAACTTCTTAATTATATAAAGCTTTTTCTAATTTTTGGGAATCAAGATATTTTTCTTAAGCTTTTTCTTATAGTCTTAATAATACCTTTTTATTATAGGCCATAAGTTAAGTAATATAAGAAGTATCTTATACTAGCTATTTTATCTTATATGATTATTTATTAGAATTAGCCTTCCTATAAATATATGGAACTTCTTTATTCTTCTAGCTAATTTATAAATATAAACTATAATATTATATATTTAGCTAAAGGAACCTATTAGCCTGAATTGGGCCCTTATTGCCTCTATTATATTAAAGGCTTTAGCTTGCTCTTACTTATTATACGAATTAAGCTTCTTTAAGCTAACCTGATTTATAAATAAGAAGGCTTATATAATCAGATTAATAATATAGCCTAGATAGCAAATATACTAGTAATCTGCTTTCTAATTTAAGCCAAGTATATTCTTTAGCTCTTTTTGAATTATATAATAAAGAATATTATTTATAGAACTATTATTACTTATAATAGCTCTAAGCTTATTAATAATATCGTAATTTTGAAGAACTAGCCAAAAAACTGCTATTTGAGCCTCTGAGCTATGGCCAGAAACTTTCTTTAAAGTGAGAAGGGCCTTTTATTACTTTCTATTATATGTAGTAAAGTAGTTATAGATCGCAAGTAAAAGCTATTAATTTAGAGAAGTCCAGATATTAAGAGAGATATAGATAAGTAAGAGTATAGCCTGGAGTACTTGTTATATGGTATTCTAATATTTTCCCCAAGCTTCTTTAATTGAACTAGTAATTCCTGAATGAGAAGTCGTAATTTTGCCCGTAATAGCTCGGTTTAGTAGTTAGTAAAAGGTATAGAACTCTGGCTATTTAATGAGAGTATAAGACAAATTCCGTATAATAATAAGAGAAATCAAAGCTTTAGTAATAATTAAGCTATTGAGATGGGCTTCCAGGATCTCGGTATTAAGCTCCTCTCTCTCGCTCGTTCTAGTAACTTGTTAGTAATATTGCTTTAATTGCAAATTAACCGCTACTTGGTTCTTGCTCAAAACCTTCTCAATAATAATCTGGTAATGGCCTTTCAAGTACTTCTTTATATTCTGAGTAATAGAAGTACTATATGGCGATTTTTCTGAATTAGTATAATAAGTGTAATAAAGATAAGCTTGGTTCTCCTCCTTAGTGGGAGAACGATAGTACTTCTAAGCAGGAGACCTCCATTTTGTATGATTCTGGGAAGTCGAAATTAATTCTACTGAAGCGGAAGCTAAAAAGGAAGAGTCTAGTTTAGATGGAGAAGACATTTTGAGAGTATAATCTGAATGGAATCGTAATGTGAGGTGAGAGAAGTAAAGAGAGTAAAAATTGAAGGGTGCGGGGTAGAAAGCGGTATAAGAATCGATTCGGTATCGATATTAGTAATACCTGAGTAATACCATCCAGTATCGATACCGAATCGATGCCTCAGGTATCGTTGCCAAGCCTGGCCTCCACGATATCACACCTGTGACGAGAATTGTCTTACCACGAATTTGCTCAGCAAACTTCTCAGCCGCTTCCAAACTTTCTGTCTTTTCACCGAGCTCCGGATATGTAGTAGCAATCATTTTGTCTGCGTAGTTGTGAAGATTGTTGAAACTCGAGAAGAAGTTTGTATATAAATTTGATAGAATGGAAAGTAGTGAAGTCGAAAACAGCCTGGGGCAGATCATTGAGAATCACGACTTAAAAGTGCAGTAGGTGCTGCAAGAAGCATAAAAGATCCGCGGTGAAAATATCATGTTTCGCTTTGCGATAGGTTATCCATTTTAACAAACGAGCGTTGTAGACGTCACGTCCGTTAGGTCCGCTTTACTCCGGAGTTGCATCTAGACTTGGCATGCTGGAGAATTATCGAGTGCGGGCAGAGGATGAGGTGGAACTGAGGACTCTTTCCTAACCAGGTCACTTTGTGAGAAACATGGCAGCGGGCGGGGAAGTGGAGCTTAGCATCCTAGAGAAAAACAAGGGCGCAACACGTGATCTTCACGTGACACATTTTCCAAATGCGGTGTGGAGCTTAATAAGAGTTGACTGCTTAGTACTCTTGCTTGCAGATTATGCTATGTGATCTGTCGCTCTTTGAACCTGGTAGTGTCCAGAACTATGGTTCTTCGAGAGCAGCACTTTCAAAGGTTCTTGACCTTTTCGATCGACGCCAATTTCCCCTGGGGGCTGGAGTCCGTCTGACTGCCTTATCCGATACGCAGATCCGACTCGTTTCATTCGCCAGATCGCTCTGCGAAAAGCAATGGAGCGAAGGCGTCTTTCGACGGTGGCCATAGGGCTGTACAGTTCCTGCGGCCGTGGCTCTGTGTTTCGAGTGTGGGGATTCAGGGGGTATTGCTCAACCTTCACGCCAAGGATGGCCACAGATTAGGTTGAGCATAACCGTTCTCATTGGCTCAATTCCGAATAACATTGCTGCCAATTTGCGCCATGCGCCTCATTAGCGCATTTTCGCACTTATGCAAGGATTCGGCGAGGCTGACTGGAAGGATTCAGTGGATTCAGGAATAGATCTTCGTTAGCGGGCTGCTTCGCCTGACCGTGCCGCAGGGCGTAGGAAACGATCATCCCCAAGCCGAATCGTTTAAAGATCTCGCTCTCCGCATGTTACTTTCTCACCTTCTTCATAACAACAATTCATTGCCAACCACATGCCTCTCTGACCAGCAATTTCTCCAATACCTCACACACACACACACACACACACACACACTCTCTCTCTCTCTCTCTCGTCGCTCAATACCCACAACACCGCCAAAATGACATACCAACAAGAGATCGTCCAGAAGCAGGGATTTCGCAAGCGGTGGCCCATCCTCTGCTTCTGCCTCGCAGCCATGTTCTTCATTATCGGCGGCGGTCTCCTCGGTGCCTGGGTAAACAGCGCAGCAAATGACCAATGCACCGTCTCCACCAACGATTCCAACAGCTTCAACGACTCCGTCGCCTATTCAGACTGCCGTCCCAAGGGCGCGCTTTGGGATGCTGGTATCGCTTGTTTAGCTCTCGGCGTCATCTTCAAGATCGCCTTCTGGATTACCCTGATCATCTGGTGCGTCAAACGCCGCAGTGCGAGAACGGTCGTCTACGTCAATGCTCCTTCTGGACCTCAGCAGTATGAGCCATACCGCGGTGCTGCTTAGAGAGGCGATTGAGTGGTGGATTAATGGGTGAGGCTTTGTTTTGGAGGGGGAGCAAGATATCCGGGTGTTGGGAATTTGGATGCGGGTTTGCATCGAATCATGTATATGTACAAGGCCACGTGATGGTTGGGGGGGGGGGGGGGGAACGGAAATGAATCAATACTTTCATACCCTCACCGCCCGTTTTTGTCAATCCGACGTGCATGCTTCAAAAGTCCATTTCTTCATCCAAACGCTTTATGATGACAGCCGATAGAAGACAAACAGAATTCAATCCAGAATGAGCCCAACAAAAGCGCCATAAGATATCAAACTTCGACGCGGGGGCTGAGGTCCAGCAAAGTGTTAGTTGCAATGCCGGAGTGGGTCAATGTTGTGCATCGAGTTCCTGAATGTTCTCAAGATACTGAATGCTGGCCATCGTCGAAACAGTAGAGTATCCGAGGCAAGGAAATCCAATTCGGCATGAATCTCTTGAGTAAATCGTGAAAGAACCAGAATCGTGGCGCCAAGATTATAAAACATCTTAAAATATGGAACTAATACTAAGGATGCGGTCATAAGTTGGGTGAGGCTATTTAATCTTGACTTGAATGTTTTGGGTGCCGTGTGTCAAATGAATAGAGTAAAATAGAATAATGGCCGTTACTCATATTCTATTCAAGTATAAACCCCGTTACTCATATTTTATTCATATATTACTCAAGTTATTCATGAATATTCATGAATAACTTGATATTTTATTCAAGTTATTCATGAATATTCATGAATAACTTGAATAACACACGTGATTATTATACGTGATATGGCTAGCCTAGTCAGGTAAGGCTCCAGGGGGGGGGGCCGCACCTAGTGCCACCTCACTACCTAATCAGGTGGTAGTAGCACTTAGTAAGTAAATTGAACCTTAGTAACACTTCAAGTTTATTATTATAGAAAATCAGTATTTAAGTGCCCTTATATAAGCTTGCTTAATAAGTACCTTATTTATTTTTTTAAAATTAAAATATGTGTTAATTTATAATAATCCCGTGACTTACACGTGACTATTCATGGTTATTCGTGTTATTCATGAATAATTATTCTATTTTACTCAAGTTTTTTAAGCTGCTCGTTATTTATATTTTATTCAAGTTATTTATATTTTATTCAAGTTATTCATGAATATTCATGAATAACTTGAATAACTTGAATAATCCTTTGACACACTGTTTGGGTGCTACCTTTGCCCACGAACGGGCTTTGAAATGTGGGCATTGTGGACACTGCAGGCAGTGTGGGGGAATTGCAATTAAATTTCCCAATGACTTTCCCCACTTTCTCCCTTCTTTCGTACTGTACGACCGAGAAAGTTCTTCGGTCGTCCTGTCCTATTTCATAGGACTTGTGACCTAATTGTTAGCAGCTTCAGTTTTATAGTTAGTTACCCTCTCTTGCTACCTATTCAGAGTGTAAGGATAGCCAGCGGCACTTGCTAGAATTCGTTCTGCCACGTGCATGGTGCTATTGCTTGAGTGGAAATGAGGTTATTTCCCCTACTTTAATAGCTAGGTAAATCGAGTAACTTTTATGATATAAATAGCTTTCTAGGGACGATCTCAGGGAGAAACCGTCGAAACATTCTCCGGCTATTTTAAATGTACTTAAATAGGGTTTGCACACGAATCTCTAGTCTAAGACTCTAAGATAATGGATATAAAGTCCTCCCTGCAAAACTTGTTCTGTGTTGCGCAATAGCTACGAGAGAGAGAAACAATCAAACCATATAATATATTTACTCCTATACAACAAATTTTCGAACCCCAAATTCGAACTGAACGCCATGACTCCTCTGCTAACGCGCGATTCACCCCCAACGCAGCCTCGAACAGAGCTCATTCTCAATTGAAGCAACTATCTAAGCCAATGTAGGTGGATTTGGGCACACCAGTGGTCCAGTCGGAGTATCTTGTGGCCCCAGGTCATTGTCTCCCGCAGCGGCATTAAACAATATCCCTATTTGCGGCAAAACAGTAGCACATCTAAATAAGTGACGCTCATGTTAGCCTTCATCAACTCTTGTCTTTCCTCGTCTTCCGCTTCTTTTGACATTTCTACGGCAAAAGGAATTGACTAACCTAACTGAATTGATAATGTTGACCTGGGTTGAGATAACGCCCTGATCTCCACCACTATTTGCAATAGCCATGAATGCTGCGGGTACCATCGGAAAAACTTGCATAAGTATTCCCACGGCATTCAAACCTGCCGTGTCAGTGGGAAGGAGAAAACTGTTCAGAGCTGCAAGTTGGTTGGGTTCGTCGTTGGCGAAAGTGAAGGCCATCGCTCCGTCTGCCACGGCATTGGGGTCGTTATTGGCAAGTGTGTTAAGGAAAGCGTTCACTCTCTAGGGATTAAAATATAGAGTTAGCACTTGTTGAATTGTAAGAGGAAAGCTAAAAGTAAAAGGAGGAAGACTTACAGAAATGTCATTCAACCACTGGTTTATTGTTGCTAGAACTGCATCCGCATTTGAAGCACGTTTGGCGAGGGACACTGGAGATGCAGTAATGAGAGTACTGGCGAGAACGAGAATGATGCTAGTGCAGAACTTCATGGTAACTAGGGAGGAATGGGTAGTTGAGCGAGGCTTGATTGTGAAACTTGTTTGCAAATAGAGAATAAGATGAGAGAGGATGAGAAGAGTTGATGATGTTGATACTTTCAGAGACCTGGGATGTTTATATACCACCCTCCTACTAGAGAGACTCTCGGAATTATAAATCACTTTCTTGATTATAGTGATTTGGAAGGGGCTGTGTTCAGGATTACAACTCTATTTTCATTTTATTGATCCAAGTTTTTGAGGAGAGGCACCGTGTAGGAGCTTGAAAGTATGTTCTCGGAAACCTTGTGCAAACTCCTCCTGTCTTATAGTTAAGCTTATTGTGCATGGTTAAACTCATTTTTTAGAAAGAAGGATCGATCACAAAGCTTGTTGTTGTTGTAAGATAAGCGAGGCTCGGTACGAAAAGTACAGTGAACAGCCTGCTCACCCTCTTAAGCAATCTGTTTCACAAAAACGGGGATGATAGCCAACAACTAGCACGAATACAACAAAACTCCCACCATCTATTTAAGGCTTGCAAGAAGGATTCGTTGTATGCTGAAAGAAAGGATTTGCGGAACAAAAATAGACGCCATAGCTCTAGTCCATTGCCTGGGGGAGAAGCGAGTTTCATAATTCCTCCTAAGGTGGTCAGCTTACCTAGAGTATCGGCAGTATCTATTCGCGCGTATTTCCAGACCCTTACCGAATGCGAGTTAGGCTCAAAATCTGGGGACAGTTTCCGGAAGACGCTGAGAAATCTTGTGAGGAAAGTACAGAAAGACATCCAGAGCTTGCTGCGGTCTCAAGATCACCCATGCTAATTTTAAGCTATCCCTTCGTCCGGTGAGATAGCTTAAAATATAGAACAGAAGATGTTTAGAGGCAGGGTACCTAGATAATTGCTGTGGCATGCGGGGCAGTGACTACAGTCAGAGGAATAGTCCCTTTCGCGTAGCCAGTAGAGGAATGCAGACAGTTTGCTGCAATGTTGACATGCTAGAAGGTGGGATGACTGAATTAAAGGGGGGCGGTACAGCCCCGGCCAATTTCCTGAAGGGCTGCTTCATGAGTCAGCATCGCTTATTTTCCGGCCTTCTCACCCACACCATCTGGACCACCAACAAACCTTATTATCATGGTGCCCAGTGATATGTTGTTTCCGGCGCTGATAATAGCCGTTACACCATTGCCTGACAAAAGGTTACATAACCAAGAACTGCGTTCTTAGCGTTACCAGTACTTATCCCTTCGTCTGAACATTCATAGTCACGTGAAATATTTCACGTGACCACAAAAGGACCTAAACATTGAAGATCCACAGAAGAAATAGGCAGAAGCGAACCAAGTGCCAGGTTAACAAATTACCGGGTAAAACACACGTCACGTAATACGAGAGAGATTTCAAGAATTCCGATAAATCCCTGAGGAGAAGCGTGAAAGCTCGTACTGTAGAAGCTGGGGAGCGAGGCTAAATACTCCTTAGCGCCATAATTAAGCGAAGTGTGTGCCTGAGGCTTAAGCGAATTTTTCCCCTTACAACATCACAGGTCCAAGAGTGCGTTCACGTGACTATAATTCACGAAGGGGCTCGCAGATCAGTTAGCCTTATTTGTACGACCTTTCAACCCATCAACTCTTTTCAGATGTATAGGGACTTCGTGCAGCTGCCTTGTGTCAACTCTAAGCGACGACTTGTTTATCGAAACTACTTACCGGGTAGAAAAGGGGGGGAAAGTGGAGAAAGCAGATCTGGTGGATGGGAGGTGCTGACTCATCAGCCGAAGCGAGTTTGGCTTTTCTGTTCCAACTTTTGACGTCAGAAAAGCCTTTCCATCTTTCCAGCTCCAATTTTCGGGCACTTTTCACAGACACCACGCGCTCGTACAATGTTCGAGCAGACGGTTATTCCTTTCGCATCGTGAACCCTCAAGCTGGCTCCAAGCTGGACCGGCAAATGATGGGAAATTATCGTGTCAATCGTCTTTTTGGGCTGCGCGTCTTGGCAATGAATTCCACTTGGAAATTTCCAAAATTCGAGGGGGTTTTCTGCCAAAGCGAGACCGACGCGGGCAAGCAACTTGCGTGCCCACACATACTTTTGTTCGGACAAGTGTTCCTCTCCTCATACTTGTTGAATTTGATCGCTTCATGAATCTTTTATATTGCATTTTTCTGAATTTATCACAATGTCTTTCTACTAACTCTAGCGGGGGTCGAACTGCTAACCCTGCAACACAGGCTGGCACCGCCTCCTTCAGAAGAAACGGCGCACTGCATAGTCAACAAAATAATATCGACGGTCTTGAGGTCTGGCTAGAATTATCCTTCTGCGGTCTGATATCCTCGCCTAGTCGATCGTGGTTCGAGATCGCGATCGAGACTCATTGTGCTGGAAGCGGGGAACATCATGGCGAGGTTGTCGCACCTTGGAAATCGGACTGCGTACTGAGAGCACTCGATAAGGATGGGCAAATTTGCGTCACCAAGTCGCCCAACGCGAGAAGACTCTGCTTTGATCGAGGCTGGTCAGTGGAGCTTTGTGAACCGGATTCTGGGGATCTCTAAACTCACCCACGGCCCAAATTTCCATTGAAACCAAGGTTTCCATATGAAATTGATGTGCGAACATTGTGCAATGTGGGATCTCGCCTTCTCCCTCTCCGTTGAGTGACGACCGTTCTCAAGTACCTCCAGATGTCATGAAGTCGTTTCCAAAAGGTTCCGTTATATGCAGGCAGCAATTGCCGACCCTTTGTTCCTGGCAAGCCATGGATGGCAGCCTAATGCGATGGAAGGGCAAGTTATCTGCGGTCTGCCAGTATCAGCTTCTATAGGTCTCTGCCTAAATTTTGTGAGGTGGTACTTCGTATGAATGTGCGATCCCTGGTCCATCAACAGATGGCCCCGTTGTTGTATCTGCTGGAGCCCAGCCTTGACGTTTTTCGACGATTGAATGTCACCGTCGGGCTTCGCAGCTGCACCTGGGTCGCTGAGGGTGCTTTCTCCCCCATTTCGATGGCACAGGTTTTGCGCGTTTGTTGTGCCCACCGGCATAGGCGCTGCCAAGACCGTCGATTCGACTGCTGGTGCCGTTGCCGATAGGGAGGTGTTCGAAATGCGGGTGGGTGGATCGACTATCTGGTTTTTGTTGTAGCCAGTTGGGGATATGCTTCCGCCGTTCTGCGAGGAGATTCGTTCAGCGCAAGATGCAGAGCCCAGACTCTCATTCTTCCACATCGGGCCAAGACGATCTATGTGTAACTGTCGGCCATGGCCTTGGCAGCGATTTTGCGAGCAAGATATCGCCTGTGGAGGCACGCCTGTTGGCGGAATGACTGGCGGGAGCTTCAATGAGGCTTGTTGTGTGAGTTGCTGAACCGATTGTGGGGACCTTGGAACTCTTGGTGGAGGTCTGGGGATCTGCTTGGTTTTGTCCTCCACGGATTATGGGGCTTCAATCGTACCTCTGGCTCAGCGATATTTGGATTCGTCGACGGTGCTTGTGGGCCTCGCTGCGCTGGGCGGGGCCATACGATGGACAGGATGGGTTCGCGCCTCGCAAGAGTCGGTGCCTATGATTTGGTTGTCAGCATTTAGACAGCTGGACTTGGCACTGATGGAGAGCTGGGATTCTACTCTCCTTGTGCTCCTTTTCGCAGAGTTGCATTCGATCCATTGTTTGCGCTCTCTATCGTTGATGGAGTACTTTCGTAGACTTTGATGCAGTGCAGAGCGAGGCGTGTGCTTGTCCCCCAGCAAAGTCGTCCAGCGCAACATACAAACCCCACTTCTATATCTGCTGTGCGTGGAGAGGAGCGAGTTGAGTGGAAGATTTCTCTTCTGGATGTGCACAGGCGAAAAGAGTTGAAGTGGATTGACAGCGATGGATTCAATAGGGTGGAAGTGCTGCAACTTCTACAGGCTCACCGATTCAGTGGGTTTCAGCGCTAAGGTCACTATTCACGGTCGCATGGCAAGAACGAACCACCACAACATTGTCACGGTCGCGACGCAGGGAGATCAAGATTGGTGAAAAAAGAATAATGATATTGCGCTGTGGTAGAAAAAACGCTGGTCGTGGTGCCCAACTCGTACATTGGCCGGCCCTTAAGGGTCGCGGTCGACGAAGTTGTTTGCAGCAACCACTCATCCGTACAGGCAGTACGGGCGGCAAAGCCTGGTGTATCCTACCAAATTCCTTCCTGAACGAAAACACCGCCAAATTCCCGAAAGCACAACAAGTTCCATCCTGAACAGAAAGCCCAGCCAAGTCCCAAACAGAATGAAGTCCCAAAAGCCCCAAACGCCGTATCCCTATCAAGAGAACCCAGAACGCCATGTCCCAAACTCTGTTTCCAAGTCAGTCGAGATTCATCAGGAAGTCACGACGAAACTTACCGAAAGTCAAGCTCGTTCAAGCTCCTATCCCAGCAATTCCCATCCTGAACGAAAACCCAGCCAAGTCCCAAAAGACACAAACAAACAAACACACACACACACAAGAGGTCAACAGCGCGAAGGCAGCTGGACAGAGAGGTCTGCGTTTCGAAGTCAGCCGCGATGTTCCAGAACAATAACGAACGAATTTCCCGATTGTTCGAGGGTCAAATGGGGCAATGGAGTACTCACAAGATGTTCAACGGCTTCAGAACATGCCGGACGGAAGACGGGGTCGAGCGCGAGGCTTCGACGATTCTACGGTGGAGAATTGGGAGAATGGGATGGACTCCAGTTCCTTGATATAGTCTTCGGCGCAGAGGACTATTTCAGCGCACTGTGATCGTACGGTTGGGAACTGTTCTCGTATCGATGGGTACTTTGATGGTACGGATGAGTAAACCGAGGACGAGAAACGATACACCGGCTTCTTCCGGGGAGCGGCGGTGATGAACGTTTCTGTCGAGTACCTCTTTGGACGAGGAGGAGCGGCCGCAGCGACGGTTGTTCGGCTGGGCGGAGGAGGAGGAGGAGGGAGGAGAGGGGCCCGCGCAAGGGTGACTGGGCGCGGCGGAGGAAGAGGGGCATCGTCTGAAGTTGACTGACATGCGCAAGAAGAGAAGAGCTTTCGGATGAAAGTGAGAAGACCCATTGTGATTGTACAAATGGTACTTGGGAGAATGAGAATGAGAATGTGTGGTTTGTGGTTTGTGGTTTGTGGTGTGTGGTGTGTGTGAATGTTGTATGACAAGTGTCTGGCAGTAGAAGTTATGAGTGCGCGGGTCTTTGTGATGGCAGAAGACTCTCAATGTACTACTGTGTGATGTGGAAGAAGAGAAGAAATTCTCAGGATAGAGGGAGCAAGGCGGGCCTTATGTATCCAGAGGGAAGCCAGAGTTTGCACCAGATGCAAACAGGTTTGCTCGAGATGCAAACTGTCTCTTCAAGCAACTCAGGTTTAGTTCCTTTGCAAGTTTTTTCAAGTTCTATATACTTGGCTCAGAAGGGACCTGGTGCAGTGCGCGGACGGCTGGAACTTGGATGGCGTTGCTAGGGGCGATCTTGGTGCAGTGTGCGGACGGCGGTAACTTGGATGGCGTTGCTAGGGGCGATCTTGGCGCAGTTAACATGCCTATCAGTGACGAGCTGTTGGTGTCGCTGAAAGAGGCGAGCATTAAGGGGGGACGATTCCCTTCCGTTTCGGACGCTTGAAACGGGGCGCATTTATCTCTCCGATTTGCATGGCAATAACCATTTCCTCCTTTGCGATTTGTAACTACCTGCCTTGTGTTCTTCCTTGTGTTTGATGGCGCTCGAAATACAACTTCGTTGCTCTTGCCTCATGGCCAAAGTTTGGTTCAAAATTTTCACCTTGTTGTCGTCACTTCACTTAAGGAAAGAACATGGCTGGGAGTCAGGCCACCTTGCACGCTCTTTCCATCACACTAAAGCATAGCTCATGAAGATCAAAGCTTTTCGTGGCCAAAGTTTATTTCAAAATTTTCACCTCGTTGTCGTCACTTCACTTAAGGAAAAGAACTTGGCTGGGAGTCAGGCCACCTCGCACGCTCTTTCCATCGCACTAAAGTATAGCCTCATGAAAGTTGAAACTTTTCGCGCTTTCCAGTCGCTATGCCTATTCCGTGATTTCGTTCGTTGTCATGGTGTGACATTCCGTGTACTGGTTGAGTTGTTCACCACACCCGACGGCAGTTGGAATTCCTGGAACACCCGCCTGCGAACCTTCATCTGGCCGGGTCCGTTTTCTCGGCGTCACGAGTGATTGCGGTGTTTGATTCCCGAAGGCTGTATTGGCATCACCACCAAGTTGAGTTGTGGCAGGCTATCGCAGCAGTTCCTTCCCTCCTGGGACACTCCACGCACCCTGGAACTTCGAGAAGGTCTGCCGACACAGCTCTGAGCTCCTCCACGCCCACGCCCACGCCCACGCACACCCGCTGGGACCGCGCAAAAACCGCATCAAGTGCAATGCCTCGGTGGCGACAGCCATGCTTCGCAATCCCCTGTCGCGAGTCAATCTACCTCAATATTCTGGCATCGCCAACTGTTGCAGAGCGAACCCTGGCCGCGCCAACCCAACCGGCGCCGTTCCTGCTTCGGCGGTCTCACAGAAGCCTTGGACGAAATATGGAGGATGTGCGGTTGCCTCCCAAGAATTCGATAACAATTGATTGACTAACAACAGAGCTGTTCTGCGCTTACAATCCCGTCATTTCCCAGCATCTCCAACCTGGAATCGATATATTCTATTCCAGCCTCGCAATCCGATTGCCGCCAACGTTAGATTTCTGTGCACTCCACCCGAACTCTTTTCTGCTGCGAAGCTCTATCTCTTGTGGTTTGCGTACTTCCATACCCAGGCCGGCTTGCGAATCTTCTTGCTCGACGCTTTGCTCTGCTGGTTCCACAGTATGTGTCCCCTTCGTCCTTGAATACTACCCTCGAACGCACCACGACTGCAACATTTCGAATATTCGACGCCCACAAGTCTATTCGAGAGCCCAATACACATGCAACACCTTGTGCCATTCCCGCCCAAAAACGCCCATGCACGCAGCACGATGTTCGATCCCCAGCAGCCACTTGCAAGACGAAGACACAATGGCGTGGCAGTGTTTCCGGTATTGATTGACTTCTGGATTACAATTCTCAGAACTGCGTGTTTCAAAGGAGGTAGCCGCTTCTCCGAACGTTGGCGTGAACACGCTGGTAGCGCTTGATTGAAGGATAAAAGGTGAGGCCAGGTTCGTTCTCGACGACTTTCTTGAACACTTCCGAACTCGTCTCATGCGCTCAGGCAACGATAGTCCTCCATCTCTATGCTTCTGCCTCCTTCGCCGCCACTTGCCAAGTACCTTTTTGATAGATATAATAAACCTCGGGGGATCAATACCCTTGTTCCAACAACTCCTTTTCCTGCCAATGTTGCTTTTCGCTGTCACCAGTGATTCCGATCATCAATCTGCAGCCCCATTAAACAAAGCATGCCTTGGGTCTTTACTCCATGATGGATATCTTCACCGAGGAGGGGGAGATGTATTTACCTACGGGCAGTATGATTTGGGCTTAGCAGTAATGAGACCGGCGAGCATGGTAGGGTCAGACTTGCCTAGAGAAAGAGCAGAACTATAAGGCGTGCTTGATGTTCTTTTGCAGCGCGATGACAACCCTAACCTGCCAGGTGTTGGGACTGAGGTGATCAATCGCAAGCGGTCCCTTCCTACCGCCGATGAATACGTCAAACCTTATGCCCAAACTTAAATGGGATATCTTCATAAAGCTGCCTCCCAAACAGTAGTATATCAACCCCCCCCGTGTTGGACGCATACCCGTATTCTTACATCTCAACGGCCCTCGCACTCACAACCACCTCGGCACCCTCCAAAGGTCTTCCGCCTCAAAAGATCTTCACTACTAATGCGCATTCTGCGAACTGGGGACCAAACCAATACCGTATATTTCTTCTCGTTATAGTCGGGGTTAATTTTGCTGCCACCTTTCGTTCGATGTCACGGTCTGTTGCCTTCGACAGTGAGGAGACACAAGAGGAGACATGTCCTGGTACCCTCTTTTCAAACCTCCAAAACCAGCTTGGGAGTATCCAAATATCTATTACAACTTAAACACATACAGCCATTCTGCGCCCCCGTTAATCACCCACCTGTTCCCAAAGGTGTCTGCGGAGAATATAGACGGCAGCTTCCTGCACCCAAGCCACGAGTACATGATGTTGAAGGCGTAAGTTGAAGGAAAACCTCCTGTCCCAGCCTCGAAAGCGAGGCATGAATCTCTGCAACCGCCTCAGGCCATACAAACACCCATACGAACAAAAAGAGCATCCATGTTCGCCACCCATATGTCGAATCGTCGTTGATCCGAGCGATGCCGTCAAGCCACCGCCAAGGTACGCAAAATCGGATCGTAGACTCGAGGAGGGTCGCGCAGATTCTCGTCCGCTTCCATGCCCGCGACCGACGTATGGAGTACGTGGTAATCTGATGTTTGAGGCTGCAGAATGGTGGGTTGGATGTCGTGAAAATCGAGGACGAGACTGATTGATGAGAATGGTTATCGTTGACGACGCTGAGGACGGGCGCTAGAACTGATTTAGCAACCACTAAACTTTATCGCAACGACACCACAATAACACCTCACCTCAACACGGCCCAAGTGGTTTCTGCTCTGGTATATGAGTAGATATGGTTTTTTTTCTCGGAATTCAGTGGAATAATCAATGAGTCGAAGCATCCTGATTTCGTGTTCGGTTCTCTTCCCACATTTGATCGCGAAGTCTGGGGTCTTTAAGAACTTCTCCATTCAAATTTCAAACTGTCAAGACTTCTTTCGCTGCTCCTATAATCCCAACTCTCTTTCGTAATGTCCAAATGCGGCCTTGAACATTGATTCCGTTCCAATCGACAAAGATCTCAATCGCGGCAATCGCCACACAAAGGTCAATTGCTCCCTCTTCCACTTTCCCTGAACAAAGGACCTTCGAGCTTCACGCCTGCATCGCAAATTCGATTTCATGCCTACTAACTATTCTCGGGATAGCTGTACCCCAATTTACCCCTTATGCAAGTATTTATACCAATCTCGATAGGCCAGATCATCGAGTGATAGCAAGAATCGCGCCATATAAAAGTTGCCTTATCCTAATCTTTTTCCTTTTACACATTAGCTCTCTTCTAATCCAGCAATCGCTTGGGGTGGAGGAACACCCAACTTCAGGAACTCAAAGGTAAGTCAAAATTAAACTGCTTTGCGTATTAGTGCTAATGACTCTGCAGGGTTCACGCCCGACAGACCTCGCTTACACGAGACATTTGCAGTCACATACCAGTCAAGAGATTTCGCTGATGACTGAAAGTGAGTTTTCTATGGAAAAAGGCAGTGTGTTCAAGTTCAATGACGATCATCCCGAAGACTGGCGTTGAAGTTAGGCTTTTGGAGGCACGTCTGTTCCATTCTAGAGATCAACGGGCGAACAAGCCCCAGGTATTCTGGAAATAGGAACCAGCTATATTTCATAGACGACTGGGTGCCCTTGCTTCAATGAAATCTGGGATTTTCCCTTCTCTAACCGACAAGAACTTGCTCTCGATAGTCTTTATTTTGGTATTCCTGAGCATGTGCTATTGGCGTATATTCTTTGACTTGGCCATAAGATCGAGGCTTCCTCCTCGAATGTGAGAGGAGAGGGGAATTATTCAAGTCCGCCCATCCCACCTTCTCAAAAATCACTAACCTTCAGCAAAACCAGAGCACTCGGCGCCCCACCAACGTCAACGACCTTAATGGTATCCAGACACGACATCGGCTGGCCAACAACCCGCCTCCCAGCACGAAATCTTTCACCGACCAAATTACATGAAACGGCCACATTCCATCATCAAGGTCTCCAATTTCGCCACCCGCAAAGCGATGGAAGATAATGAAAACGTTGTTGATGAAAGAGTCGATTCGACAAGAACTGCTTTCGGGCTATGGTGAATGCAGCGCTGGAGAAGTATGTGCCGGAGTGCGGACGTTTCTCAACGAAGGAGTTCGATGCTTATATTGATTGCTATAAGCGAGGGACCAGAAGTGGCTGTGTGTATCCATTTTATAGGAAAGGGAGGGAATTTGCTAATAAAGTAGATTTGGACCATAGGGTATTATTCGGAAGAGTGAGAATGGGTGGGATGACTCGGATGCTGCGACTCCATCATCCTTAGTCTACGCTCGCCCACCTTCGAACTCTCCTTCTCATTTGTCTTCGTTGTCTTCGATCGATCTTGCTGCAAGTTAGCATTTATGCATTTCCCGTTCCGGGTTTCTTGCAGAATCTAGAATTTGAGAAAGTAACATCAAAGTAGTTCTTGAATGGAAGTCTGAATTTGAAGTTTATTCGGGAGCTTGATCTCTACAATGGGGCTTAAGTTTGATGTGGCTTTGGATTCGATATATATATATATATATATATATATATACATATATTCAGCAAGTCTTTCGAGCTCTAGTTCTGGGAGCTTTGTAGAGGGTTTTCTAAGCGCAAGGAGTCAATTGCCCCGCTATTTTGGCTCCAACCTACCCCACCGTCAGGCAACCTCGGACGATCCGTTAACATCGGATTAAAGCCGAAAATAGATGATATAAATGAAAGTGGAGTATACTGTATAAGGAACAAAGTCAGCCTTCTCAGCGCGAAGGCCGGCAGTCATACGGCGAAAGGGATGTTTGTCAAGCTCGGGAAAGGAAGCATCGAAGCTGCGGCGTTGAGAGTTCAACTACTGCAAGATCCTTCAGGCCTCTTAACAGACCTACGTAGAAACAACAGCATATCTAATCAACCCCATAACAGCTCCAAGTACAATGGCCACCGGTGCACTAACTCCAAACCACATTCCACCGACATAACTCGTCACGCCGACAACAACCCACCACGGATCATCGCCCAAACTCTTCCCCGCCTCAAACCCCTCATCCACATAACCAATCTGCCACAGTCGATACACGGCCGTGTAAATCAGGCCGACAGCAGCGGCATTCACACCCCTCAATCCACTCTTCACCCATCGCTTCCCCCGAATCGCACTCCAGATCCCCATCGTCCCATGCACAGTCACAATCCCGGGCAGGAAAATCCCAATATAGCCCAACAAGGCACCAACAGCAGCATTATACCTGCCGAAAACAGCCGTCAAGCCTCCCAGAAAGACAGCAAAGTTGAAATTTGGCCCGGGAAAAGCTTGGATGATGGCGAGACCAAGCAAGAAGTCACGGGGTGAGACCCATCCTTCAGTGACAACGTATTCTCGTAGAAGCGGAATCACGACAGGCCCACCGCCAAAAATGATGGTTCCAGCGAGGAACATATTGGAGAAGAGGGAGAAGAGGAGGGGTTTGTGTGGGAGAACGCCGCGCAGAACCATGAGGATGATGAAAATTAGCATGAACACAACGAGGATCGCGGTTCCGAATCGCCAGGAGATGTTCAGGGTGCGTGCTGCGGGGATAATACGGGGTTCGGGAACTTCTTCTGCGGGTTGGGTTGAGGACTCTTTTGTTGACCCAGGACGATCTGAAGACCTGTTTGCCCTCTCGTCTTCGGATTTTTGGGCTTCTGTGGGTCGCACGGTTGGTAGCTCGACATTCTGATCTTCTGGGCTTTGTTGCTTCTTCTTCTGGAAGAAGCTAAAAACCCATTTGACGGTATGATGGAGTACGCGGAAGTCATAGATTACTGAGGCACATCCGGCAAGGAACATGAGCAGCGGGAAGTACCAGAGTGCATTGTAAAGAAGTCCAGCACACGCGCCGAGGAAGACAAGAATCCTGGTCATCTTGTCTGTGATGGCTTTCTGAGCAAGTTGGACCGCGGCCAGGGCGATAATACCGACGACGGCGGCGTTGAGACCAGAGAGGAGAGCATATGCTTGTCGAGGTAGCGACTGGCCAATATGAGAGACGCCCACAGCGAAACCATACATTCCAATCGCACCTGGGAGACTGACATGTATCAGCAGGTTGACAATTATAAATATGAATTGAATCTCACCTCCAAATAAGGAGCGCAACGACGGCAGGGAGGAAGCCGAAGTGTATCAGGTTTAGGCAGTAATACATCTTCGTACTCCCTGGCCCAGAGAATGCCTGACAGACCGCAAACAGCTCTTGATACTGCAGAAGTATCAGCGCAAAATGTTATTCGGCATACCGGAGAAAAGCATACCATTTGCTCATCAACCCAGCCTAGCTTGTCAACATACTTATCGTGGAACTGTCTAAGTCAGCACGTGATCTTCCCCCTTCCCCTCCCCTCCCCTTTCCGTTAACACCCTTCAAATCGCGGTCATGCAATGAGAAATCGCGATCCTTACAATCTTGAAATGTACCGGCGGTCCTCCAAATGCCGTGAAACCAAGATACCACCCCTGCGACAGAACATCCCAGAACGACTTCGCGGCGTGCTGGAGACTCCATCTCGAGGCGATCGCCATCGCACTAACCTCCAATTGACGGGATTAAGATGAAATTCAGAAAGAGAGGATGCGCGTGCGCATGCGGAAGTCGGATGTTTCGATAATTTTTTGGGATGGCCACCGGGATGGCATTTGCGGATGTCCGGGCGCCGGGCGCATGTCACTGGGAAATTGTGATTGGAAGCCGCGAACACGTGGGGCGGCCGATGGGAACGTTGGCACGTGACTGGATTTGCCCTCTTTCTCTTGGTGAGTCCTCATCTTGTACAGTTGAGCAAGTTTGAATATTATGTTGTCCAAACGCTTATGCTTTTACTAATGATATTTCGGACCGAAATATCATCAGAAGTTCAGAATCACAGCAGTCGAGTCTTCCACCGTGAGATTCAACATCCCTCCCTGTGCTCTCAGGCACTCCCCAACAGTCACATTATGCAATTTAATCGGCTTCCCATGATCCAACTCCCAATTGTAACTCCACCCATCCCACGTAATCCCACTGATCGCATCACTCCCATTAGCATACAACCTCTTCACCTCAACCTCAGACCCTTCTGGCACCTCAAATGAATACTCCTGACTGGGTCTTTTGACCGGATTCAACACCGAAGATGTTCCATTGACAGTATAATTATAAGCTCGCATATTAATCACTGCAATTCTCGCCAACTTCTCATCCACATAAGCCGCATATGCAGCCTCAAACTCGCTCTCCAGCGGTAGATTCGCAATCCGGACAGCACCAGCAGTCAACTTTCCAAGCATAGCTGCGACAGCGATATTCCCATAATATGGAGGCTTTGTACCGATCGTTGTTTTGCTGGTCAGAATGGGCTGCCAGCTGGCGTAGCGGTAGTCGGTTCCTTGATGCATGTGCACGCGACGGATGCCGACGGAGGCACACCAGAGATTGAAATCCAGACCCCAGAGGGCGGCACCAAAGGAGTTTGAGAGGCTGGGTGCGCCTTCATTGTACAGAGAGTTCGTCTCACCCAGAATGAAGGGAATGCCGGTATACGCTAGGTAGTTGGATTCGTTGATTTGTGAGGAGATGGAGTGTACGGTTGAGGTGTGGTTCATTAATGTGCCTTGCAATGTTACGCCAGGTTGTGTTGCGCCGCCGATGTAGCTGTCGCTGTTAGCCGGTGGCATGGGTAGAAGAGGGTGAGAATACTTGTGTGACGAAATGAGCTTGATGTTTCGGTCCTGATCGAGACCTTCTTGCCAGGTAAGAAGCGGTTTCAAATGATTATTTGTGCCGGCAAAAGAAGGCGCCATATATCCGTACGTGTCGTTTGAGACCATATCAGGGCAGTATTTCTGAAGCTGAGCCTTGATTGCACGAGTTCCGTTCAGCCATTGTGCCACATATTCGGATTCGTGCCACGATGGAAGTCTCACGGGACCTTGAGAAGATGTCGAATAGAGGTCTGGCTCGTTTCCGTACTCCCACATAAGGAGTCTTCCGTTGCTCAAGGCTTTGCAGGCTAAGGGTACTGTGTCGAGCAAGGTTTCCCATCCGGCTGAGTTGTTGCCTTCAAGTCCCAGATTGAAGCCGTGAGTGAACTTTGTGTCTGGCCAAGTGCTGTAGGATTCAAAATAGGAGGGGCCGATGAAGATGGTGGTCGGGTAATCCGCGGATCTCTTGAGATTGTAGGTCCCATTGATGGCTGTCTCTAGGCTTGCATTGTAGAGAGCATAGTCTTGGGTATTGCCTCCTACTCGTATGTGTGGCTTCGTCCCCGTGAGCTTTCCGAGATTGCTCAGAAGATTGTTGGAAAATTTGTTTGGGGAGGAATTGTTCCCTAAGCCTATCAGTATTGGCTAGCTAGACATGATTTTAAATGACATACCTGCGAAGTCTGGAAAGGAGGAGAACTCAATTGAGTAACTGACAAATGCCTCTGGTGTTGGGGCACTGGCACTTGCAGGCGGGGTTCCGCTAACCTTTATAGGGGTATTACCCCCCTGAGAAATTCCAAACAATTGTCCAAAACTGGCAAATACCAGAAATGTGCGAATTCTACGCATGATGGATGTTTTAAGAAAGGAGGATTTCTACTATATCACGGACAAGTTTTGAAAGTGGAAACTCGAATTTATAAGTAATCCCATCTTGTACCTCGCAGATCATTCATGTTCATCACACGGACACTTGCCGATCGGCCGGGAAATCTTGCGCACGATAGATACTCCGCAATATCGCCGATACTCTCCCCCCCGAAGAATAATTGCTAGTGGCCTCCACTGCTCCAGTTTTAGATGAGACACGATTTCTGAGTGGTTCGAGTCCTAGTCAGCCATCTTGCACGCGGCAAAAATTGGTCTGTGTATCAGAGGAACATCGAAAACAAATCGACATGTAGTCCAGAACCTCTAAAGGATGCACGCCAGTGGACATCTAAAGACGAATGAACTCTTTGAAAAATCAAAAACAAGCCCGGAGTGTGTCCCCTCTATCAAAATTCAGGTGCCAATTTCCAACCAATAGGAACAGTTTCGCTTCCCTCGTAAATCGACCTTCTAATTTTCCCCATTGTCCATCGGCAATGCTGGATCCTTGGATATGCGGGTCCAGTTGCAGCTGCTCCGATTCTCAACCTGTCAGATGGATAAGATTCGGACTGACAAGTATTATGTGGTGAGGTGCTGAAGGGTTTCCGCATGCGGAGTACGACCAGTAGAAGTCCATGATATGGATTGCCTATAGCCACGACGCTGTAGAGAATATGAGCTCAACAAGCCTTTGGATTTGCAGGACAGCACTTACTGTGTTGTCTTTGCAGTTCACCTTGCCCACCTCCTTCGGCTCCCAAGTGCTTCACAAACATGCTGGCCCGGCAAGACTCAAGTCAACATCTAGTTGAAGCGCATTATATTCCTGCAAAACCAATTGTCCGATAGCGACAGGACCAGCAATAAGTGGCATGAAAGGGAGGACGTCGAAGAAAAACATGATGGTGGTAAGGTAATAGAGTGAGGTAGTAGATTTTGGACTGATTAAAAGGGAAGTTATTGGATGAATAAAGACTGCGCATCATGGAGCAGGGCATTGATTTATAGAAGAAAACATGGGAAATATTTTTAGTCGGCGTTCATGGCCACGTTCAGCTGCCTCACTCATCAGGCCTCGGGTACCCAGCTTACTGTACCACTGTTGAAAAGATCTCGCGCGACTGGTACAGTACAATGTGCGCTGAGAAAGAGAGAGAGAGAGGATTCGGACGAAAAGAATCCGTTTCGAGGGCCTTTCCACTAGTCCATTTCCAGAATGGTTCTTCCCACAAATCATGCCTCGAAGTCCAGTCCGCGCCAGGCATCAACTTTCCCCAATGACGTCCCACCTTAGCCACCTTAGCCACCTCACCCCACTCCTGGAAAACTCGCACCGGCAATTCTCGTTTCGATGATTCGAGCTTCCCCCCTAGCCAATTGCATCATTCTCCCCCCTTTCCCCATTCTCGATGTCATTGCCGCGGTGACGGTACCCAGAGGCTAGAAGAGGACTCCGACCTCGGGTTTGGACACCACCTTCAACATGAAGCCCCTCTTCAGGACAACAGCTTCCGCAGCACGAACCCTTTCACGACCACGATTCCAACCTTCCACTTTACCATCTCTGTGTATACGACCAACTTCCACGATGTCACACAGTGTGCCAAAGCTCAATGATCCGTCTCTGTTGAAGACGGATGCCGCATACGTCAATGGAGAATGGGTGAAGGCGAAGTCAGGCAAGACCTTTGAAGTTCACGGTATCGTCTGATTCCCGTCATGTTTAAGAATTATACCTGACTTGTATACATTCAGACCCCTCTTCTGGCAAATTAATTGGAAGTGCCCCCGAATTCGATGCCGCGGATACACAGAAAGCAATCGATGCTGCCGCTGTCGCGTTCCCCTCATTCAAAGCCAAGACCGGTCGTGAACGGTCGAAGCTTCTCCGAAAGTGGTACGATTTGATGGTATGATATAAGGGATGGGATATCAGGAAAATATTGACAAGGGAATAGGTCGAGAATGCTGAGGACATCGCGAAGTTGATCACTTGGGAGAACGGGAAGCCTTTGGCGGATGCAAAGGGAGAGGCCGCCTATGCTGCCAGTTTCTTTGAGTGGTTCAGCGAGGAGGCACCCAGAGTTTATGGAGATACTATTCCAGCATCAGTTGCAGGAAACAGAGTGGTCACGATTAAGGAGCCAGTTGGTGTTTGTGGTCTCATTACACCGTAAGTAGATGTGATACACGGTCTGGCAAAGTCTAACAATTTTCAGATGGAATTTCCCCGCCGCGATGATCACACGAAAGATTGGTCCTGCTCTTGCTGCCGGTTGCACAGTTGTAGCCAAGTCGCCGGGAGAGACACCGTTCACATCCCTTGCCCTCGCTGCGCTGGCGCACCGAGCTGGTATCCCTAAAGGGGTTGTCAACATTGTCAGCGCTCTGAAGAATACTGCTGAGGTTGGAGAGCTCCTCACTACATCACCAATCATCAAGAAGGTCTCGTTCACAGGCTCGACAGGTGTGGGGAAGCTTCTCATGAAGCAATCCTCATCCACCCTCAAGAAACTCTCTTTCGAGCTCGGAGGTAACGCGCCGTTTATCGTCTTCGACGATGCAGACCTCGATGTAGCGGTGGCTGGCGCTATTGCAAGCAAATTCCGCTCTTCCGGTCAGACTTGCGTCTGCGCAAATAGACTCTTCATCCAAGCCGGAATCTACGACAAATTTGCTCAGGCGTTCGCCGCCAAAGTCAAGGATTTCAAAGTTGGTGGCGGATACACAGAGGGCGTGACTCATGGGCCTCTCATTCATGACCGAGCTATTAGCAAGGTTGATGCCCATGTCAGGGATGCGGAGAAGAAGGGTGGGAAGGTCATTCAAGGTGGTCAAAAGATGCCTGAGCTAGGTCCGAACTTCTTTCAGCCTACTGTCATCACAGGCATGACCACCGAAATGGCTCTGGCCTCAGAAGAAACCTTTGGGCCCGTTGCGGGACTTTTCAAATTCTCAACCGAGGAAGAGGTTGTCAAGATTGCAAACTCGGCCGAAGTGGGTTTGGCGGGATACTTCTTCTCGAAGGATATTCAAAGGGTATTCCGCGTTGCTGAGGCATTGGAAGTTGGCATGGTTGGCGTCAACACTGGACTCATTAGTGACGCTGCGGCGCCATTTGGTGGGGTGAAGAAGTCTGGTTTTGGACGAGAGGGGAGCAAGTACGGGATTGCTGAATACCAGGTGACGAAGATGATTACATATGGCGGTATGGGGCAGCCGCTACAGAAGTAAAAGCAGTGAAAATTGAAATATAAATGACTCCTACTATTTAAGGCGAGCGAATGGTATCGTTAATTCAGTTACACTTGGCCTGGCGTACGGGAAATCCAATATGAAGGAGTGGAGTGAAAAGTTTCGCTTTTTGGGGCAACTTTGGTGCCGAATATCGTGCTCGGACCTAAATTAATTAAGCTATCGTGTTATTGTTTGTTCATAAATATTGCTCCCAGGAGAGTCGCTTGAGTAATTGGAGTGGTTGGAAGACGTGACTCGTGGTTTACTGCGATTTAGCGCATCTCGCAGACTTCGAGAACCACGTCACCGGAACACTACAGCAACAGACCCTTCAGCCCATGGGCCCGCGGAGGCTACTTCGCCCCAATCAATCCGCTACTACTCATTCGATATATGATACAGAGGGAGGTACACTTGGCATCATTGGAGGTCTCCAACATGGCACCATATGCGAGCCCAGACAACACGTTCTACTTCTTCCCTCTACCTCTTCCTCAAACGCAGCATCTACTAAACTTCACTTTTCGATAGGTTCAACTGCCGAAAGGTTTGCCCTGTTCCAAGACCTGATGACCGAGATCAGACTCGATATCTGCCGTACTAGCTCTCCTCTATATTGAGTCGACCTCGGAATCATCGACCCAGACATAGCCCCCGTGGCTGGATGTCATACTAGTATTTGAGGTTACATTTGGTATGAAACTCGTACTTCAAGCATCCATAGATTTTTCCTTTCTTCTTTGTTTTCTCCTTGTTTTGTATTTCCTTTCTTTGTTTTATTCCGGTCTTCGGAGGATCGCGCAAGGGGCTTGACTATCTTAATCCCCCGTTCCCAGTACGCCGGCCATTCCCAAGAAAAGGTTTTGGGAGTCATCGCCGAGGGCCTGGAAAGGTCGCTCTTCATCGACGCCTTTTTTGAGCCACATAGCACGCCAGCATGCTCTGTGCCTCCGATATAGTCCCGGAGGATCACGCTAGAGCCTTGAGAACCCCTCAAACGCTCGATCCCAGCTCGGCAGTCATATTTAAGAGAGCCTTTGAAAGTCATAGTCGAGGAACTAGGAGGCTGGAAGGCTGGTTTCTTGCCGACCTGTGTGTGAGATTAGGCGGGCCAATTTCAATAATATTATTATGTTAGAGAAGTCATGTGTATAGATGGACCAACCTTTATTGAGCTTGAACTAGACAGAGCGCTAGTTCTGGGAGTTCTAAAGCTTATTTCTCCACTAATATTAGGACCTTAATAGGCTAGGGACACGGCGTTCGGCGCCTTACAGGAGCGTATATACATATATACCTTAAGTACAGGAAGTATACGTATATCCTTGAGGATATACTTCCTAAACGATTACAAGCAAGGGACAGAGGGACGTGCGTCTTGCCCACCTTTTGTATGTATGCTATGGGCTAAAAAATAGCCGAAAAAGAAAATCTTACTTTACGATAAAATCATATAAATTAGCTTACTATACGCGGGGGAAGAGGGCTAGAGGGAGATCAAATTCTCAAATGCATAAGCACCCTTCCAGGGTAGACCCAGAGAGGGTGCTTATGTATCCTCAATCAGAGTTGGCCTCCTGTCATTGCCGTTTTGGGCGTACACCCATGTTTTAGGAATGCTACGCGAGCGAAACAGGGATGTTACAGGGATTGGCAGGGGCACACTCCTTTTGTATCCATTCTCACAACAGAGTGTATGGAAGAGACAGGTCTGGAGCTTCTGAAGTCTCTTCGAGTATATGCCTCTGGCGATTACACAAGCGGCTGCCTATATCAATCACGGAGCCCCTCGCATAACTGTCTCAAAGTATCTGAGCAATTTCAATAAAGGAACCCAACACGTTATGAATCTCCTTGGACGAGACCAGCAGGATTTCAGGCGGAATGGGAACTCGAAAAACGCCATGCTCACCACACTGCAGATGTCCTTCGATCAGGTAATGGAAGTGAGACATTCTGCTGCGGAGCTGCTATCGCTTTGTGGGTACTATGATCGACACTTGGTTCCAGGGTCTCTGCTTCGAACCAAGAAAGTCAATGTTCAAGGAACCAGGGGTAACAAAGTCATCAATGGCGAGGATGCTGATATCTTGGAGGCTGAACTACACCTTCAGGACGACCAACATTACTACCAAAGCGATGGCGAGGACTCTTGGGGTATGCCGAGCGGCGATGAAGACGATCTTGATGATACTGACCAGATCCCTCCCAAGGTAGCCGGTCTAGATCTCCATCCCACCGAAGATGCTGTCGAAATTGATCTAGATTTCGAGGATGACTGTGCGATGCTGAGGGATTATTGTCTCATTGAGCCTGATGGCGATGGTATGTACTCTCTATAGTTTCATGTAGCTTGGACGTTACGTGAGCTGTGGAAGAATCAAATCTCCCGGTTGATAATTCTATCACCTCTGGTACAGTGAAAGTTTTCCGATAAAGAAATACTGACCGCGCTATCTCCCAGGTGGTCTGTTTTCAATGCACCGGCTGGTACAACTCGCCGTCAAAAGTTGGGTCCAGAGCAGACAAGAAACAGTCAGATGGCAAACTACAGCCCTTCTTAAGGTATCTGAAGCATTCCCCACCTCTAAATTTGAGAATTGGGGAGAGTGTCAATCCTTACTTCTTCATGCCAAGACCGTTCTGGACTACCACCCAGTCGGCGTTTTGGTGTCCAACGATCAGATGTCACAAACGTCTACGTTCTTCTGGACGGAGCGAGCATCTTTGCTTGAGAAAACGGGAAGCTTCCTTCAGAATCGACGCGGCTTGTTCTCAAAGGCCGAAGTAATGTTCCGAGAGGCCCTGGATATTCGCGAGAAGATCCCCGGAGCAAGTCATGAAGACACCTTGAAGGCTCTGGAGACTCTGGGTGGTATCTGCCTTCCACTGGGTCGACCCGTTGAAGCTGAAGCGCCGTATCGTCAGCTATTGGAGCTGAGGAAGTTGCTATTCGAGCCCCGCCACCGAGATACCATTATTGACACTCGGAGATTAGGGGTCGCACTCGCTACCCAAGGTAAATTTGTCGAAGCAGGGAAGGAATTCCGCGATGTGTACAATTCGAGCAAACAGAGCTTGGGACCTATCCACGATATTACCGTGACTGCTGTGAACAATCTAGGGTACCTCCAATTTAATCAAGGCAATTTCGACGCTGCAGTGGAAACACTAAGGCTAGCAGTTGAAGACTCAAAAGCTGCGCTGGGTGAAAACCACCCGAGCACACTGGTGTGCATGTCAAGTCTCACAGATGCTCTGCGAAGCCAAGGCGACCTCGAATCTGCAGAGCACTACGGTCGGCTGACACTCTGGGGACGCGAAGAGCTTTATGGCAAGGACCATCTGGAAACACTAGAAAGCCAATATATTCTCGCCCAAGTGTTTCTCCAATACAAGCGTTACAAAGAGGCTGAGCAAGCACACAACCAAGTTCTTCGACGCCGCATTAAAGCCCTTGGAGCACATCATCCGCATCCATTCGACAGCATGACCGGGTTAGCATGGGCGCTATTTTACGAGAAAAGATACCCCCAGCGCTGGATTTAAGCCAGAAAGCACTGGCTGGGAGAGAGAAACTTCTTGGTAAAGACCACCCGGATTATTTTCGGAGCGTTTATCTGGGTGCGAGGCTGCAGCATGTGAAGAAGGAGTATAGTCGTGCTGAGCCAATGTACCGGAAAGCCTGAGGTGGTTTTGAACGATTGCTTGGTACTGAGCATGCAGAGACCAAGAAAGCATCCATTGATTTGAACACTTACTAGAGGAGACAAAGGAAATGGAAGTTTGATTGAGATGTAGGGTGGCAAATTGGGTGGCGAACTTGGAGTTTGGCACCGGAGAAAATAGGGAAGGCATACGAGCGACCGAATTTATATACATTAAAGTTGAGGATTGATTGCTATAGATTTATCTTAATAGACCATCTTTAATCCCTTTTTAAAGATTTCATTGATTTTAAAACACTGTAATCAATCGATCCTCTGTATATAGTGGGGGAAATGAGTAGAGTAGAGTAGAGTAGTAGGTGCTACTCATATTCTACTCAAATGAATTTCTCACTATTCATACTCTACTCAATACTCTACTCAACTACTCTAGAATATTCTAGAGTAGATGAGTAGTATATACGTAATACCACACGTGATGTTACATGCAACACACTAGCTTAATTGGGTAAGGCTCCGGGGTGGCCCGAGTCTAGTGCCACTATCCCTTCGTCCGGTGAGACATTACTAGCGTGGGCAGGGGGCTCTCGCTTGGCTGGCGGGGCATAAAATTATATGGCTTCAGGAATTTTATTGGGTGCCACAGCTGTGGCTGATACGCTAGTAATGTCTCACCGGACGAAGGGATACTGCTCAATCAAGTAATAGCCGGTTCCCCTCCCACTGCGCTTCGCTTGTGGTCGGGATAAGCAAGTGTCTCGTTTAACCAAGTGTCCCATCGAGAAAATGCGGGCCCTAAAATTTACGTGTGATCCTCACCAAAAAACGCGTCTTGCAATTGCGCGTTTGGCCCAACTTGTTGACCAATTCATTATTCAATTCACGTGCAAAGATTCCAAAAATGGGTACACCTTTATTTGATTCTACCAGGATTAGGGAGATATCCTGGGAGTATTTCTATTATCCACATGCTACGGAAGCTAATTACCACCGTATCTTTAATGAGGCCCGCGAATGGTGCCTTGAGAACGACGATAATTCAGCAATTACTGCTGCGAGGATATATTACGTCAAGGAAGCTTCCTTGCGAAAATCGGTACTCCGCAAGCATAATAAGAAGAGGAACTCCCAAGGACTCTATAATACGCATGGTGGTAATAATAAGATCCTGAACGAGGCACAGGAGGAGGCGATTCGGCAATATTGCTACGAGCAATGGGAGGCTGGTTTGGGTACTATATATCAGATAGTTCAAGCCGCAATTGCCCACTTGAAGGCTATAAGTGCTTCTTTTAAATCTAATAATATATCTAACATAATTAGGCTGAATCTCCCCCAAAATCACCCCCTTTGGCTACTTGGTTTAGCCTCTGGATACGGAACCACAAGACACTTTACACGATTAAAACGAAGCCAATTGCATACGTACGACTCGAGTCCTATATAGAAGAAGACGTTAGAATATGGTTTCGGAAATATTAAGATACTTTGGAGGAGCTTCATATTACAAAGGGAAAGAACGTTCTGAATATGGACGAGTCAGGAGCCCGTATTGGTTGCCCTACCGGTGAGTACGTAATTGTGCCCATAGAGGTAAAGGAGCTATATACGGCAAGCCCTGAGAATCGCAAATCAGTTACGATAATCGAAACTATTTACGCGGATGGGCGTAAACCTCTTCCTCCATTTGTAATTGCTCCTGGAAAGAAGATTATAGATAATTGGATATCGGAAAACCTGGTTAGTACGGAGCATATTGAATATACTCCTACCGGGTATATAAATAATAACGTAGCTATGAAATACCTTAATCATTTGATTAAGTATTCAAAAGCTGGTCCAAATAAGCCCTGGAAAATACTTCTCCTTAATAGATACGAATCTCACGTCTATAAACCCTTTTAATTAAAAGCTGGCGAACATAATATTAAGCTCTTCTGGTTCCCCTCCCATTTGATATACGCCCTTTAACCACTTAATATTGGTATATTCCGCCCCTGGAAGCACTACCATAAAATGGCGATTTATATGGCCCTCCGATCTCTTGATTTTGAATCAGTGTGTCAAATGAATAGATTAGATTAGAATACTGGCTAGTAATCTAATCTATTCATTAAAAATACCCACTAATTATATTCTAATCAGATTCTAATTAAGGTAATCATGAATATTCATGAATACTTTGATTACTGTACACGTGACTGTCGCACGTGATATACTAACCTAATTAGGTATGGCTCCCGATCTAGCATCGTCTTTGCAAGCCTTTCGCCTACTAATTAGGCAGCGAGGTGGCGCTAAGGCGACACTAGAGCGGGGCCTCTACTTAATTAAGCTAGCGTATCGCGTGCTATAGTCACGTGTAGAGTAATCATAGTCTTCATGAGTATTCACGATTATATATTCTAATCTAATCAAATTATTTAAGAATTGCGGTAATTATATTCTATTCAAGCTAATCATGAATATTCATGAATATTCGGAATACCTTGATTACTTTTTTGACACACTGTTTTGAATATACGATTACCTCCTTTTTTCGCGATCTTATCTTTATTCATATGCAAACAATACAAAAGTACACAATTAAGAACGCCTTTGAGAGTTCTGGTATATGGCCTGTTAATTGCAAAGCTGGAATTAAAAAGATGTAATCGTACGGAAAGAAGAAAAGATTAATTAAGGAGATTAAGGCAGAGGATAGCCTAGATCTTCCCCCCTTATTACCTACCCGCCCCGATAAAGTGTGGAATATAGCCTCAACCCTGCATATACTTGCAGATCGCGATCCTACGAAGTTTTTAGATAATTCGAAGGAAACTTGGAAGATTACTATCAAGAAGGTTAATATATAATTACAAAAGAGTCATCTCCAGACAATAGAGCACCAGGCTCTCTAAACAAAGCTTCGTGAGGAGTATAATCGAAAGGCGAAGTCTCGTAAGAGCTTATACAAGGGGGCCCCATCTGCGAGCGTAGCAGAGCTTCGTATTGAGATTAAAGAGAAGAAGGAGAAGGATAATGGGAAGGCTCTTCGCAAGGCTAAAAAGAAGCTCGCCACTGCCATTAATCGAGCTAAAAATCACCTCAAGGATACCGGTATCCAAGCTTGCAAGGATGAGAAAGCTAGATTAGTCAGAATTGCAGAGTATCGATCAAAAGACGAGCTAATTCCAGTGGAGGATATGGTACCAATTCGCGAACCTGATAAAAACCCTACGATTATCGAACGAGCTCGCTATAAGGAGGACTTTTACCCTGATTTACAGCTCGTGGTTCGCCAGCTTGAGGCGTCCCTCAGTAATCCAGCCCCTGATCGGCTAGAGGCACCAAATACCTTTATTAATGGGGATGAGGATGTAGTAATTAATACTACAGAACGGGAGCATTAAAAGGAGAGTGTGGGAGAGTATATAGACTCAAGTTCACCCCCTTTTGATTACCCAGACTCGTCAGATATGGAGAGTAATGCGGGCTCAATTGACAGTATACAAGCGAATGCCGATTTTGTACAGTTCTAGATAGCTTTGTTTTTTTTGTAACTAGTATCCTTAATTCCATTGTAAATATTCTTGATTTTGCGTGCGATGCGCACCAAAAATCAAGTACCGGCTAAAATCTCGATGGGACACTTGGTTAAACGAGACACTTGCTTATCCCGACCACAAGCGAAGCGCAGTGGGAGGGGAACCGGCTATTAGTAGCGAGGCTTAGTAAGTAAGGTAGAACCTCTACTAGCTTAATATATTCTTAGGCTTCCTTGGCTATTAAGGGCAAACTCTTCTCTCAAGGTGCTCTTATTATATCTAAATTATAAAATAGACTTAATAAGAGTACTATTAAGATAATATCTTGCTTAAAAAGTAGGGGGTAATATAAAGACGAATTATAAGAAGTAAAAAGAGAAGAAAAAAAGAAGAAAAAGAAAGATTCCGAGAAGGTAAAGCTGTTTTTTGTGAGAAGGAAAGTAGTATTTAAGTAGCCTTATATAAGCGCCAGCTTAAATTATATAATACTGCTTAATAGGTACCTTATTTATTTATTAATAATTAAATAAATATTAATTTATTATTTTTTAATAACTTTCACGTGACTACTCTTGAGTTACTCTAGAGTAGTACTCTACTCTACTCAAGTACCATATTACGCTACTCAAACTCTACTCTACTCTACTCAAGACCGCTCTAGAGTAGCTTGAGTAGCTTGGGTAGTTTTTGCCCACACTGTCTGTATACCTGAGAACAGACTTCCTCTAGAACATGTTCGCAATATTCGAAGCGCTTTTCAGGTCCCCTCAATTTTCCGCCCTCCAGCATCATCCACTCCAACGCTGCCCGCGTCTCCGACCTATGCCAATCAGTCTCCACATACACATTCTTGACTAAACCATTTTTATCAACCAAAAACATGCCAGGGACCGAGATCTTCATCTCGTTGTTCCCATGCATCCTTTTCCATTCCGTAAACACAAGAACGACCATCATAACATCTGGCTGCTTCCACACAATCCCCAAACCCTTTGCGTAGACGACGTCTGAGAGGACGGGGAACCCAAGCTCAAGTTCGTATCTTGTGTCGAGACTTGTACGGGGTAACTCGGGGGATATGGTAATGAGCGTGGCGTTTCGCTTCTTGTATTCAAGAAGGAGTTTCTGCAGGACGCGAAGCTCGAGATTGCAGTATGATTCTGTCAATGATATCACAGGCAAGCAAGCCAAACAGTGTTAGAAAGTAACGATGTTGCTGGGAAAGTCTATTTACACGAACAGAAGACCAGGCATGCTAACTCTAACCAACGCACGAAATTCAAAGGCTATCTTTTGCACCACGTTTTGTTTCCTTTCGGAATTCATTCCCACAACCCTCACTCCGTGGGCTCAGCGCCCTGAATCATACTGATCAGCTTCTTCTTTTCGCCGCTCTCGCCAACCATGCCTTTGAATACCCCATTCTCAAGCGCGAATAGCTCCTTCGGCGTGCCGAACTCACTCACTCGACCATCATCCAACACAAGAATCTTATCGAAATCTGCAATAGTGCTCAACCGATGCGCAATAACAATGAGCGTGCTATCGCCAAATTCTTCTCTGATAGAGCGTTGGATCAAGGTATCGGTCGCCATGTCAACAGCTGATGTAGCTTCGTCGAGAACCATGATTTTCGGCCGAGAGACGATGGCACGTGCCAAGCAGAGTAGCTGTCGCTGGCCTTGGGAGAGGTTGAGGCCGCCTTCGGTGATAGGAGACGAGAGGTGGAGGAAGGGGTTCTTGTTTAAGTTCTTTGTTGTACCGTTTGGTGTATTTGGAATTGGAGGAACCGGAGTGGCAGAGCCGGATGAGGAAGAGGACGAGTTTAAGGACTCGAGTTCCTCGACTGAGACGAGGTGAACCCGCAATAACGCGTCTCGTAAGGCGGAGTCGCCCTGCTCATCGAAGGCGTCGAGATTACTTCTGACAGTGCCAGAGAAGAGAACTGGGTCTTGGGGGATAATTGCTAGTCGGGAGCGCAGATCGTGAAGTTTGATCTTCGAGATGTCGAGGCCGTCGATGTGGATTGATCCCTCTCGGGCTTCCAGGAAACGGAATAGCGCCAGAGTCAAAGACGACTTTCCGGCTCCCGTACGGCCCACGACCCCGATACGTTCGTTGCGTTCCACTCGGAATGTAAGACCTTTCAAGACGGGCGGCAGATCAGGAGCATAGCCAACAACGAGATCCTTGACTTCGAGGCGGCCTTCACTTGGCCAAGCCGCCGGCGGGTCTGTACCATCGAGCGATTCGGTGGGGAGGCTGGCGTATTCGATGATGCGCTCTGCAGCATTCATGTCCAGCTCGATGTTTGTGTAGAAACGAACAGACCAGATAACTGCTGAGCCATATTCTAACGCGAAGCTGAGTGCAAACCCGGCAAGGGCTGCGTCAATTCCATTGATGAGCAGGATCATGGCTGCGACGAATGTGGCGAAAAATCCACCAACAAGGCTCATGCGCCATCCCATCCAGCGATTGAAGGCCCATAGGTACCAGAAAGAAGAGATATGATCGTCTATCTTGGAGTACATACGAGTAATGTATGTGTCGGATTTGTCGAAGGCCCGGATGGTTCCAACGCCGGTCAGAGCAGAGCCAAATTGTTCGAATACGGGTGACTTAGCACTGGATTCGAGACGCTTAGCTTCTCGCGCACCGGTCATGTAGAGCCGAGCGATTTGGATACAGATCGCCAAGAGCGTGAGAGATAGGATGATGATGTACGGTGAGACGAAAACACTGTACAGTTAGCCAAGCCTTCCAATCAGATTTGTGTGCTCACCCTGCAACAACCACACCAACCACGCGGAAAATATTGTTGGCTCCAAAGGACATATCATTGCACAATCGGGAGTCAACAACGTTGAAATCAGCTGTGAAACGATTGAGAATTCGTCCCAATGGAACGGTGTCCATCCATCTCAGTGGAGTTCGGAGAATCGTGAAGCTGAGTCTCTCGAAAAGACGACGCGAAGCACGTATAGAACCAGTAAAGATGTACCAGTAACGGAAGGTACCAAAGAGAGAGATCACGACCGAAAGGGCAACATAAACGCCGAGGTAGAACTTGAGGTTCTCCGATGGGTCTGCGGGTTCCAGAGAGTGAGAGGAAGATACGGAAAATGTGGAGTTGCGTGCGTAGTTAGAGAATCCTTGGACCTGAAAGGATTGCGTGAGAGCTTGCTTGAGACTTGTGTGCTCGTTGGCCCCAGTCCACAAGCGAAGCCACCATGCACGACCTGAAATACGTTAGCGGGAGGAGTGAAACGTCAATGAAAGCCCTACCAGTGAGGAAGCATTGCTGCGTTGTGAAGAACACCAATGCGAACCCCCAGAACGGAATTCCTCCACTCGACTTCAAGTAATCTAGATAAACCCGCGTCTTCACTCTTCCTCTCTCTCGCGATTCCTCCTCAACGAACTTCTTTGGAGCGGCCTTCTTTGAATCAACCTTCTTTAACGCTTCCGTGTTATCGATATCTGAAGACTCTTCTGAGTTCACGGCGGTGGGATCCTCGTCTTCCTCAACTTGTCGCTCCGCCTCCTCGTGTCTAATGATTTGCTGCAAAGTTCCATCCTCTTCTAACTCCTGAACGAGACCTGAGTTCTCGACTGTCCCATCTCCGAGTTCAACAATATACTTCGTCTTCGACTTGCAAAGTGCAACGTGATGGGTCACCAATATACGAGTCCTGCCCTGTCCCAATTCGCCAGTCAATCCCTTTTCGAAGATGTGTCTTCCAACGTGGGCATCAACAGCGCTGAAGATGTCGTCAAGAACAAGTATGCCAGCCCGTGAGTACAGCGCACGAGCAAATGTGACGCGCCATCTCTGTCCACCGCTTAAGTTGATGCCATTGGCTCCAATTTCGGTGTTCTCGCCGTCCGTGAGCATATCCAAATCTTTCTTGAGCGCACAGACTTCGAGGACTGTGTGGTATCGGTATTCGTCGTCCGGCAAACCAAAGAGGATATTTTCCTTGATGCTTGCATTTTCCTACATCAGGATGTCAGAATCTGCACCGTTTGAGGGCACTCCTTAAATTGATCCACCCATTTCTGGGTGCACGAGGTTCCTGGACACAACAAAGCAAGACTTACAATCCATGGAATCTGCGCTACGAACGCAATTGAAGACGGAATAATCCAGTTGTCTTTCGTGGCCAGATTGTCATGCCGATCTCGTGTATGCGGTGCGCTCGGAACGTTGATCTTCCCTGAAAGTACATCCACCTCGCCCAGTATCGCGGCAAGCAAAAGACTCTTCCCAGTTCCAGTCTTACCGCTAACGACGCTGAGCTCGTTCTCGGGGAATGAAACGTTGATATTCCTTAACACGTATCGTAGATCATTATCCGTTTTCTCTTCATCTGAGGGCCACGCAATCGACGCATTGTCGAAAGAGATATTCGGGGAATCAGTTGTGTTCTTGGTAATCTCCGGGGCATTGAGATATCTTTCGATTCGTGTGACGGAGATGTGGGCATCGATCAGATCTGTGGTCAGCTCAGGGATGACTGCAAGTGTCACTTCGAGATTGCTGAATACGCCAATGGCCGTGAAGGCAACCGATGGGGTGAGCTCGCCGTATAGGTAGGAGTAGACCGCCAAAGATGTTGCAGCAAGTGCAATCGGACTTGTGATCCAGCAGCTGTAAAATGTTAGAGGGGAATCGGGTCAGCATATTGATTGGTGACTCACAAAATTAGGAAGGTATCGGAACTGGATACGGTTAGCATTGGCAGATCAATCGGATAGGAGTACGAACACAAAAACATTCCACTGCTCACCCAGTTCCCTTTCTCTGACCTTCCCTATCTTTTCGTGCCAGTTTCTTTCTAATGCCGAGAACTTGATTTGCCGAATGCCTGCAAAATATCACAAAGAGATCCGTAAGCCATTCAGAATTTCTTACCTTGCAACGCTTCTGTCACGACACCCATCTTAACATCTCTGACCTTCATCAACCTATCTTGCGCAGCCGAGTATCGCCTGCTGAAGTAGATGTTCACTGGAATTGTCAGGGACATCGCCAAAAACCCAGTGAGCAAAGCCTTCCAGCCAATAATGCTAATGAGAAAGACGAAGGATACAATCAGCTTGAAGAAACTGCCAGGAAAGTAATTGTTGAATGAAGCAAAGTCCGAGACTCGCTTAGTATCAACGCCAATGAGATTAACAGTAGACTGCTTCCCTTTGGGATCAGCCTCGTCTTCCTCGTCAACTTCTGCCTTGTCGGTGGCAGCATCTCGTGCCAAATTTGGAACGTCTGCGGATTCTTTCTTGTTTGATTTGGACGCTCCTTTTACGTCCTTCCTACGCATGGCTTTCTGGAAGATCAAGGCAGACACTTGGCTGCGAATTGGGATGGCAACCTCCGACCAAGAGATCCTGAACGTAGTTAGCATTGCGCTGGAGATTAGTGGGGAACAGTTTACCAGAAAAGCCAAGATTCGATCACTGCCTGTCCTATCGTTGTGAGAGTCAGAGCTACGACCCAAACCCAAGCTTCGGGGCTAGCTGGATCTCCTGGTTGTCGACGTTCTAGAAGCCGTAGGATGTGATATGTCGTGAACTGTGGCGCGAAGTTGCCGAAAGCCGAGAGCAGCGTCAAGAGCCATTGAATCATGAAAGGCCATTTATGGGCTAGGAATATCTCTATCCAAAGCTTTCGGGGATGCTTTTTCTTTCCCCACGAGTCGCTGAGATCTTTCGACCGGGTATAGTGATCCATTGTGGGTAGATCATCCAATTCAAGTCGATTCTTCTTCCTCGCCAATGTAAGCATGTCTCCAACCCACGAGAAGCTATACCGGCCAAGAGCTGAGACCGAATACATCCTATCAACTGGCTTTCCACCCCGAAAGACATCAGGTCGGCGAGGTAATGAGACACTCGAGAATGCTGTCAGGGCTGAAAGAGCGAGCTGTGAAATGCGGAGGCCAATTTCCCCACTGGTTCCAAAGGTCCTACCATGACTGGCATCCTCGGTGATGACTCCATCCTGGAATAGGAGAACCGCAAGAAGAAAAATCGAGGAGATAGTTGCGTAGATTCCAAGGGCGTATCGTTTCACTGAGTCCTTGATCAGGAGGATCCCGGCTGTTTGAGTCACGATTAGCACCTGGACACATGTCAGCACGGCCAGATTGAAATTCCATGAATGTACCAACCCATTGTCCAACATTCACCCAGCCCACAATGACATCAACACCTGCGAGCGTTTCCAGGACCGCCAAAGCAATTGACGTCACTAGACCAAGGACCGCGAAGACGGAAAGAAGGATCTTGGGGATCTTGGCAGAATACCTTGCAACAGATTTCTCTGTGGCAACTCCATCTTCGTCCTCGTAGACGTGTGATCGTGGCTTGGACTCCCGTAAGTGGGAGGCAACACCTGCAAGCGAGGGAATCGTGAGAAGAAAAACCAGAGCCAGTCCGGCCACTCCTGCAACAAGGGATCTCGAATCATTCTCGAGCATCTTGATTGTCCTATACTTGGCAGGGTTGAGATGGGGAAACGAGCATGTCTTAGTCCGGCACTGGACTCTTGAAGGTGAATATCAAGCAAGCAGAGGATTAGCGAAAATTTCCAGTTGAGTGGGATTTTGATGATTATGATTATTGCAATAATCGTGGTGATTTTGATAATGATGACGAGCTCCAAATGGATATATCCTTGGGGGGTGGATTGAATGTTCTGATATCGAGCCTGTGATTTGTGACTCACCGGGCAAGCAGATATCTTCGCTCGCACTCAGGAGATTGTCGGGGCCCTATTTCTGGAGGGCGCACAAGGGGGTTTGGGATGTCAGTGGTGGGGGGGTGGGTGCCCGGCGAGGGGCTGGAGGGGTTGACGAGCTTGAAGGCTAAGCGAATCGAGAAGGTCACAACAGTCTGGTGCTCAATCAAATGCCACCCCCGGAATCCGGGGAAGAAGGAAGAGCAGCAGCAGCAGCAGCAGCAGCTAAGTGCCCTTACTAAACGTGGGACGTGGAAAGCGGAACGTGGAACGTGGATAAACCTCAGGCCGGGCGGGGATGGCAGCGGAGGGCGTTGGAGATGCTGGAAAAGACAGACTAATTGGCCACACGAAGGGATCAGGGACTCAAGGCCTCAGTGCAGACGCAGTCATGTGGCAAGAAATCACCACGGACAACCTTGGAAAGAAAGCCTGGGGCGAGCACAGAGTCCGATATTTGAAGTGTGAAAATGCCCACCTTTGCTGCCAACCACGCCAAACTGAGCGGTGAGCAAGTCATTTTTCAGCCTTTGCAGTGCTGCGTCCACTACTGCCCGAACGGCCGCCTCCCTTCCGCACGGTCACAGTCACCCGGCCAGAGTCAAGGGGCGGCCTTGGTGATATACCGGTAGCTTGAATTTATGCAGAATCCACCCGCTTGGGTACACTGTTGCTGTTGCAGAGCAGCTGCAGAAGAGAAAAACTGATGCAGGGAATGTTCAAAGAGAGCCAGGCACGTGACTCACGAGTCAATCTGCCTTGAGTCGAGCCCAGCTTTGCTCCACAAAGCGTCGGCAGCTGTCGGCCGTCTGTGATAGAGTGAACAATACGTGAGGCGCAGAAAGGCGGTGGTGTGATAGGAGGGGGGATGTGAAGCTTCAGACCTCAGACCATACACATGCATGCACATGCTCCGGGGAAGCAGAAGTCTTTAGCTGCAGCTGTAATTGTTGCAAAGAAATGACAAACAATGGAATGCGTGAAGCAATTGATAGTTCCCTTGCGAGCGGAACAATGTAAAACTTGACTATTGAGCTATTGAGCGTTGACCAGAAATCCAAGCTGGCTGGCTGGCTGGCTGGCTGGGCTCTCTCGCCTCTGTGGTTTGCGACGCGAACCTCGATCTCCATTGGCTGCTTCCGACGCGCCTGCACCCGTTACTCCTCAGCACCTCAGCACCTCTGCACCTCAGCATCCGCCCTTCAGTCCCTCGTCTGCAACAACCACAACTCCAATTCCCCCCTCATCCGATCTTCGAATCGACGGTTTACGGTGAAGATCAATCTCCAAATCCTTTTACATTCCCGCGAACGTTCACGACCCATTACGGCTCGGCCTCACACGACTCACACTACCCTTGCACCTGCAGATCCCCAAACCACGAATCTCCTCACGTTGCGAGTCGACTAAGACGAACCTTCCGCTGCAAACCAGTACGACGTATCCAGCACGACAAAGGCGAGAGTTTCGAATTGTCTCACAGGAAGAGCAGCGGTGCTGCCGCCGTATTCTACCTCGACGGCAGCTTCGTAAAGCTTTAATTAAGCGGCAATCATGAAAGCCTCACCCATAATCGTTAACTGGCATGCCGAGAATGCTCCTATATACTCCGCAGATTTCCAGCCCCATGGGAAAGGTCGATTGGCTACGGGAGGAGGAGATAACAATGTCAGGGTACGTTCAACGCGCAGCTGGAGCTGGGGACAATGCTGATGGTTACAGTTATGGAGATTAGATTCGGATGGTGAGGATAGGAAGGTCGAGTACCTCTGTACAATGATCAGGCATACGCAAGCAGTGAATGTCGTGAGATGGGCTCCTAGAGGTATGATTGCCTGACTGGGGCTTGGAATCTACTGACCGCTTGCAGGAGATGTATTGGCATCCGCCGGAGATGATGGAAACGTGATCACTTGGGTTCTCGACACGAAGACTGCAAAACCTACATTTGGGGAGGATGGAATCGAGGACAAGGAAGCTTGGCGGACGAAGCATATGTGCCGGTCCTCTGGCGCTGAAATCTATGACCTTGCGTGGTCTCCGGATGGTATCTACTTCATCACGGGCAGCATGGACAATGTGGCTAGAATCTACAATGCTCAGACTGGTATGTCAGGAGCCCGACTTTGCACGTTATGCTAACCTTTCCAGGCCAATTAATACGCCAAATCGCCGAGCATCAGCATTATGTTCAAGGTGTGGCCTGGGATCCCCTCAACGAATACATTGCAACTCAATCCTCTGATCGATCCGTACACATCTACACGCTGAAGACGAAGGAGGGTACATTTACGTTAGATAACCGGGATGACGATCCAAGGAAGATTGGAACAAATTTGAAGATGGACTTGCCGGGTCGACGAATCTCCTCGAACAGCCCAGCTCCTCCAGACATGGGCCTACGATCACAAGCTTCCAACGAATCTACCAGCAACGCCATCGGGTCTCCTGTGCCATCCTGTCCGGGCACGCCGACGTCTCTTGCTCTGCCTATGAACCCACCAAGCACCATAAGCCACAGCAGACGATCTTCTTTTGGTGCTGCGTCCCCAGCAATGTCAATGCGGAGATCGGCTTCCCCTGCGCCATCATTGCCTCTCCCTGCAGTTATGCCAATGGAGCCATCGCCAAAGCCGTATACTATTGGGCTGGGAGTCAAGAATGCCAACATTTACGCAAATGATACCCTGAAGTCCTTCTTCCGACGATTGACCTTCACCCCTGATGGCAGCCTCCTTTTTACACCCGCCGGACAATACCAAACTCAATACAAAGGGCCGGATGAAACTGCGAAGGCATTATACGAAGTTATCAATACGGTTTACATATACACGAGAGGAGGAATCAATAAGCCGCCAATAGCACATCTCCCAGGACACAAGAAGCCTTCCGTGGTAGTCAAGTGCTCTCCGATCTACTATACGACCCGTAAGGCACCCGTAACGACGAAGAATATTGCAATCGATACGTCTTCAGCCGAGGATACTATGGCAGAGCTTCCTGAGCCGGTGGTACCGAAATCTCCTGCACACTCGATCATGGAACCTCCGCCACTTATGCCACAAACAACCGATCCCTCAGGGCCAACATCGTCTCCCAAGCCGAAATTGTTAGAGGTGGAGACAACAAACGCCAGCTCGCAGGGCCCAACAATGGCCTTCTCGCTACCGTATCGAATGATTTATGCTGTTGCCACGGAGGACTCTGTTCTGATGTACGATACACAGCAGCAGACTCCGCTATGCGTCGTTAGCAATCTTCATTGTGCGACCTTCACAGATTTGACTTGGTGAGCATGGCCCCAGATATTTCCCGCGCGTTGCTAACTCCTGTTGTAGGTCCACTGATGGCTTGACTCTTCTCATGACATCTTCTGATGGGTTCTGCTCGACATTGACCTTTTCTCCGGGTGAGCTTGGCCAAATTTACACTGGCGAAGTGCCCACCGCGAAGCACCCGGTGATTGGTACCAGCACGGCAGTCTCATCATCACAAAATACACCAATGGCCACGCCAACCTCCATCGCACCCCCTTCCCCTTTCCCGGCATCAAATCACCATCATAGGTCATCCTCGTCATACTCCATCGCTCCCTCTCCACCGCCGGCTCCTCTGGGGCCGACCGCCCGACCCTCCTCCCCCACACGGTCAAACTCGACCTCCTCAATCGCCACGCAGTCCTCCTATGCTCCAGGCGCAGCAGGGTCCGTCATTAGCAACCCTCCCCTAGTTGCAGGCAGTCTTGGCAGCATCGCTGCTGCCGGAGGAAATGTCAGCTTCATGACCGGCATGCCGATGACGACACCTCCTCAGACACCTCGAAGCACGACAAGTTCTGTCAGTGGGGTGAAGAGAGATGCGAGTGAAAGTGAGTCTGGCGAGAAGGAGGATGCCTCGCAAGGTGGAGAGAAGAAGAGAAGACGAATTGCACCTACACTTATTGGGGCAGAAAATTCGGCGGCTTAGACTCGGACAATCTTTTCATTTGTTTTATCTGTATGGTTTATTGACCGGTGTTTGGAGGGTAAAACGGCTGGGAGGGTGGATTTGCATTAGCGATTTGGTGTTTGGGCACAGAATGAACGTAGGTTTGCTGCTTTTCAGAGGAGCGAGAATCCCGGGGCTGGGTTCTGGATACTGAGAACGGGAGAAGGGGCGGAGAAATAGGGGCAGTGCACGTGCCGCACTCTGTATGTATATGAAGTGATTCGTTGGTGGTCGTTTAACTGGAATGGAATTATGTGGTATCACTTCAATTTATTTGACTCGGCCTTGTACGCATTGATCTTGCGAACCGCGAGCATCAGGTCTCCCACTGAGGTCGTGGAGATAACAAGGCAAAAATGCCCCAGGTGAAGATGGATGCCGGACCCCTTCTCCAACCACTGGTGATGTGACAGTCATTGAATTGGACCAGTCTGCGGCTGTCACGGGTCCCATGCCTGCAAGAAGGGGTGGGGTATTCCTAGAGTCCACAATATCTCCTATCTTTGTGGTCTGCCTGTGTTTCGGGAAAAGAGCAGCTGGGTCTTAAGTACGCAAGAATAGAGGAGTCATAGTTGACAGCAAAATGGAGAATGACAACAATAAGCGACGAGACTTTTGTAAATTTCAGCTTGCTTTTTGGGTCTCCGCGTTTGAATTTTCGATCAAGACGGTGCTGATTTTGCGGTCTACTTATTGGTTGCCTTTTCAAGTGGGAGATTGTTCGATTGCCTCGATATCCACTGTGCTGATAGACGAAAGGCAGTTCTGAGATGCTTACGAGAAATGAACAATATGTGGTGACTAGATAATAAGCCGGGGCTTATGGTGTGTGTGTGGTATTGATTCACACGTTCATTCCACCACCATTTCCTTCGGTGTATCCAAATGACTTTTTCCTTTTCTCGTCACTCAAGAGCCAACATCGTCATCCTTCGCTGCTCAATATTTTGTGCTCCGGGGGTACAAAATCTGCGAACACAACCTCTTAACAGGTCAACAGGACTATGCTCGGTCTGATGAGGACATGGGAGTAAGATCGGCTGGTGTCTCCATCGGCTCAGATGTATGCCGATTTGAAGTGCGGGTATACTGTACATTCAATTTCGAACTCCACGTGGACGGAAGCCTTCAAGCCACGGCATATCAGATTGGAAAATACAAACTCCATGTACCCAGTAGATCGACACAGTATTTGTATATCACGTGACCCCACGGGGCCCTCTCCTTTCGCCTCGCACTTTAAGTGAGCTTCCGATTTAGCAATAATTTTACCTATAGTCTGCGAGAATGTTCAATGATACACTCTGTTTTCCCACAGAGGCTCTGTTGGGGCACAGCAAGCTTTAATAGCATGAAAAGTCATGGTTCAATCAAGTCGCGATCCATGGGGGTCCGCGGTCAATTGTAGAAAAGCTTTAGCTGATTGGGCATTCTGGTAGGATGTCGGGGATAGGGATTAAAAGGAGGGAATGACTCACACGTGTTCACTTAATATCTGGCGTTTGCAAGGCGATGTTGGTTACCTAGGCTGTGTGCCATGCACGTGGAGCTGTTTTCTCTCACCAGTGGCTTACAAAGGTAACGCCACAGGAATGCCAACACTTTTGCAACCCCAACCAGGGCTTTTAATTCATCAACCACGCGAAATAGTCCACATGATGATTGTCCATTTTGGCAGTTCTTTTGATTGAAGACTGGGATAAATCTCTCAATTTCGGCACTGGGTTTATTCATCCCCGTTTCTTGGTTGGGATTCTCGCTAGTATAAGAGTGGCAGTGGGATGTAGCGTGCGAATCGAGGCTGAGGTGCATGTCGACTCCATGACCATTCCAAAATTTGCGGACGGGTGCCTAAAGATGTTATTGATTGTCTATATTTCTAATTAGACGCCTCTGGGCCCAACGTTTGACCTTGGAGCTGAAAGCATGGAATCAAGTCGCCCGAGGGTGAGGACGTATTCTGCCCTCCTACCTTTATACGTGTATCTCCCGCAACATCTAGGTAGTAGCTCCCCTCGAATGCTAACCTCAGATATTGACTTGAATGACATGTTTTGGAATTAGCGTTCGACGACACGAATACTTCTTCTCGAACTTATTTTAGCAGAGGTTCTCTCACACCATCCAAGACATTCCCGCTTTTCACGGCTCAAAGCCTTGTGGGTTCGACCAATTATTTTGAGCCTGATATGTAAAGGGGAAAAACAAGATTACCGAGCTTAACATGTAAGCTCCCTCTCCCTATTCCTCACCCAAGACTGCTGACGTCGATGTAGAGGATGGCTTAGTTGAGTTTTTGTTTCGGAAAATCTGTCCTGTTTTGTATGAAAAGACGAATTGTCACATAGAAGTGCGGCTTTTGTTTTGGAGACTGATCTACTTCTGGGTATCACCGTATCACCGTATCATCACTTTACCGCCTGTACCCATGGAAATGTTCTACAACAATAAGTTCTTACGACGCAGGCTCATGGAAAAATGTGGTCATGTAACCTTAAGCTTGGGGTTCTTGTCTCCCCGTTAATTTTTTCCTATTAATTTTTGTTTAAAAAAGTTTCACAGTCGCATCTGAGATACAATGTTCAAGTGCGATTCCTACCGAGTTGGCTGATTTGTTCGCTGTTTCAAGTGAGGGTCATCTCGGCTTCATAATTTAAAGAAAGCACTAATAGAAACCCGCCTGTTGAACGGATCAACTTCGATTATCCCAGGTCCTGTTATGGATAGAATATCCATATATGTGTTGCTTATAGCTATTTAGGCCAACCGCCCATCATGCTCGCTTACCATGTGGATTGCCTCTTACGTAAACTAAACAATCCTTTGCTCTATCTCGCTTAGCGATTACTCCTTCCTTTTCAGCTCAGCCTCGTCTCCGTCCACTTGCGGCGAATTGTTGACTGCGGCGTCTTGGGATGTGTCCCACCTTCTGCCAAAAATGGTTTTACCCGCAGATCTGCCTGGGAAATCCGCCTGCTGTAAGCCTCGCTGGAAGACGCCCTCCCGCCACAGCCTCACGTGGGGGGAGTAGGCTTCCACCGAATAGAGTCAGGTAAGCCTACACCCTCATGAGGTTGTGTTACAGAACTGTGGAGAAGAAGAGGGTACGGGCCGCTCTCCTCGCATCCGTTCTTCCCGAAGACTAGAGCAGGCACCAGCCTGCTTATTTCCTCCAGCAGCCTTACTTGATGACAGCTCCTGACTTAGTCCCGCCCCCCATCTCTCTTCTTTGCTGGCCTCTGCCATTTGTATCGCAATCGCGGAAGCAGCACTACTACCAGAGGTTTAACACCGCACGATTTCGCTGCCACGAAGTGCGTCTTTCACACAAACACAAATTAAGATGTCCGATGACGCCGCGGCACAGAAAGGGAAGGAAAAACCAACTCGTCCGGCCTTAAGATTTTCTTCAATTTCCGGGTTTCTTTTGCCAGATAAGAACCCAGGGCTGCCCCTCAGACGGTCGAAGTCAACTGGAGATATCGACGAGCACGGCAACCCGAGGCAACGGCCTTCCGAACTCGCATCCTCAAACTCTACATCCGATAATGAGAGAAACGATGTGGTCTCCATTCCTTTTGGGGAAAACATTCCTTTTGGGGGAAAGAGGAACAGCACGACAAGGCGGAAGTCTGGAGATACAACCGTTTGGGGTGCTTTTCGTGGTGTCATTAGGAAAGTGATGAGGTTCTCTGATAACATCGCCGATATGGCGATAGATATCAAAGAGGACACCATAGACATATCGAAGACGGTTATCACCGAATTTAGTTCGGCGGGGCAGAAGAAAAGTTTGTGCAAAGACTGCCTCAAGATGAGGTTTGAGGAATGTCTTCCTGGACAAGGACCAGCGCCGAGCCGGGAGATTTACGAATATATTCGGCCACTTGAGCGCGTCATTGTCCGACGAGGCTGGTGTTTGTTCTGTGAACTCATCTTCCAAGTCCTCTGTCGTGAAGAAAACGATCCTTTGCTCCATCCACACGTACAGGACCATATTCAGCGTCCTCTAAAAAAGATACCGTTCAGCGAATGGGTTGAAAAGGCGACCATGATAAACAAATTCTTCAGAAGTGAAGCAGTTTGGCCCTTTGGACTCAGCCGGGAAGTTCCTGATGGAGAAGTCGAGGTGGAAAAGCTATTCCACCCTGTTAACAAGAATGATGATTCGGCATCGAACGGAGGAAGTCCGATCGTACCGAAGAGCTCTCAGCTTCTGGATGATATTTCAGATCCGTTCCTCATGGGAGCTTTGGCAGCGGCAAAGGTCGCAATGTTTGGAAGCACGGATATGAATGACAGAGACAGGAGAATTCTTGAAGGGGTGGACGGAGCGTTGACGGCTGCAATGATCTTCTCCAGTAAAAAACGAAAGCGGCTGCCTTGCTGGGTGTTGATCAAGTTGCACACACGAGCCAGTACTGAAGCTGGACTACTTGCAGTGCATGTTGCGGGACACAACCAGGAACCTCTGTCCCAGCTTGCGGAAATCAGTAAGTTTCATCTACGAGTCGCTACCGATGTAATCGATCAGTCCGAATCAACGCCATCGCTGCGGTATGGTAGAATCCTACAGGAGAAAATCGATCTCTCCCTTGGAAAACAGTGGCTGAGTAACTGCGAACGTTGCCATGTATGTGGTCCTTTATCTCTCCGTCCAGGGGAACAGGGATCCTTGATCCCAAATTTTCGAGTTATTGATCTGCAAAAACATCGCCTCCATGAGTGTACCCCCGAAGGTGTCCAATACGCCGCACTGAGCTACGTTTGGGGTGACTGGATATACCCCAAGCTCGACGACAAAACCATCGAGAAATATGTCAATGAAGGAGCGCTTTCGCCTAAAAGAGTAAATCTTCCACAAGCTATTATAGATGCCATGGAAGTCGCGAGAGGAGTAGGTCTTCAATACTTATGGGTCGACGCCCTGTGTATAAAACAAGACGACGAAAGCGAGAAAGACACGCAAATTGGGCAGATGGACAAAATTTATGCAAATGCTGTCGTTACCATTGTGGCAGCTGATGGTGGGAATGCAAATGCCCCCTTGAAAGGCATTTCGACCAAACGCCCGATCGACCAGGTCGTGTCGGAGATCAGGAATGGAGTCAATGTTCTCATTCCTGTTGCTACTGGCAAAAGTCTGGCACCTTGGGAGAATCGAGCATGGACTCTTCAAGAGAAGTTGCTCTCAAATCGGCTGATCGTATTTAGCGGTGGCCATATGATATGGCACTGCCGCAAAGTCGTCCATTTTGAAGACATGACTGCCAAAGATGCGGTGGCAGTCTTAGGCTCAAACCTGGGGTACCCTCTACTGAACTTTGAACATAGTCGGAGACGACTTGATCCAGCTCCTTTCTCAAGCTCTTCACAAGATGGTACAGTCTCTGTTGTACGATCGAAAGCTTTCCAACAATACGCGACGCTTGTTGCAGACTACACAGGCAGAAGAATGACCTACGCATCCGACGTACTTCGGGCTCTTCAAGGCACCTTGCCAACACTGAACCGCGTCTTCGGGCGTATACAAGAAAGAGAGCGTGAGGTGTTTCGGTACGGGCTGCCCCAGCCTGTCCTTGATGTTGCGCTGCTCTGGCAGCCAGAAGGCAAATGTGAGCGTCGACAACATTGTGAGCGCTGCAACCAACCCTGCATGCCTAGTTGGTCCTGGGCAGGTTGGGTTGGGAAAAAAGATTATGGAAAGACTTTCTCACCTAGGACGGACCACGAAGGAGCATTAGAGAAACTAGTTGAGGAATATGGACTAGAGAGAATTCGACCTTTGGTTCGATTTTATGCCAGAGGTAGAGAAGGGCTCTCAGAGTGGCCGGCCCCGGGTAACTGTAGAGAGACGAAGGACTGGGAATCCCAATCCCCGTTATTCTCAATTCCACGTAAGATGGTTGTCACACAGCAACGCGGCGAGGCTGCAGAGATGGGATTGCTTGCCTTGCTTGAATCTGATGAAACCGGCCTGATCTGGAGAACAGATCACTTACGGCCCTCCTGGATCCAGCGTGGCCAGATCCCAGAGCAATGGGAAGCTTCGAACCCCCAGTCTCCATTTGCACAGAAAGTAGATATGGATGAGCATCCCAATATCGACAAGTGGCATCTGGTCTTCAGTACACAGATCTCACAGTTCCAGCTCCACCGGCACCCACAAATCCAGGGTATCCAAGATGAGACGGACAGCGAGCTAGATGATGAGCCAGAGTCGAGCAGGTCTGCTCCCATGGAGCTAATGCCTATATGGGACGTGAACAGTAATGAGGTCGGAACGGTCCAGGTCCTTGAACCCGAGAAGATCGTTGCCGGAATGGACTACGAATTCGTTGTCCTATCTGAAGCACAGTATTTTGGCAACGAGCTGAGCATTGATATAGTCGATTACCCACTGTATAATGTCATGTTGGTCACGGCAAAAGATGCAAGTAATGTGAGGACGAGGTTGGGACTTGGGAAATTGTTCAAGCATGCTTGGAGGCTGTCAAATCCTGTTGACGAAGTCGTTGTGCTTGGATAGTATAGGAGGGCTCACGGCATATGTATGTTCTTGTAGGGATAATGATGTTTGTGGTCTTCTGGAGGCGGGCAATTTGGTTTCCATTGCGGATGTTCGGGTTATATCCTGGGGAAGTTTGTCAGCATTTCTTACCTTCTCATTTCTAGTTCTTCCAAAAATGTCAAAGTGATGAAATTTAGCAAGCCTTTCCTGCGTGAGGAGTTTTTAGTACTCATACATGCGGTAAGTAGTGAGGTTATTGACAACAGTGTAGTACTTGGCCGCAGACATTAAAATGAAACTTGAGATCCACTTGGCCATAAATGATATAGCCTTGGTTCTAAAAGTGGTCTCCCTAAATACTTGTAGGTCTTTGCTCATCGTCACATTTCTTTTAAGATTTCCACATGTTTGAATCGTACTGCTCCAAATTTGCAGCTTGTCTTGTTCTCTTCCGTGGCGGAATCGAAGCGAGGGCACAATTCATAAAGCTGAAGAAGCATGGGACGACCAATTGAGCACATCGTCAAGATCACATTGCTAACAACACCGCCCAACAACTTCCCTGTTCCATTCTGTCCCAATTACCAATCGCCGCCTCAAAGCGTGTATCGGAAGCCTTGCTGCCCCTCAATCACCTTCCCTCCCTCCTCAGCCTTTTTGTTCTCGCTTCGGAACCTCAATGTCATAACGGCGACGATGATAATAATCAGCCCATTTGCAATCAAGCACGCTTCAATTCCTGGTCGGTACGCCGGGGAGTCCTTCTCACGGAAGACTGTGCTTCCAATAATGCCACCAATGCCACCGAAACCAACTAATGTCGCAGAGCAGAAAGCCCGTTTCCATTGTCCTCTGATGTTGTTCGCCTGATATGTCAACACGGCTGGGACATTGGCATTGGCGCAGATCGTGGCAAGAAAAACGCCGAAATATCGGACCCCGTTGTTGTGGGTGAAGCCAAGGAGCGGAAGGCCGATGAGGCCGAGGATAGCGTTGAAGACGACGACTGGGCCACGGAGGTGCAGTTTGTCGGCATAGTGGGCTTGGGTATACATGACTATAGCGGCTGCAACGTAAGGTGGAGCAACGAGGCACTGTGCTTTTGCTAGTGAGAATTTCATTCCCACTCGGAGACTATCGATCCGGTTAGCTAGGCGCCGCTTGAAGAAACACTGGACATACATGATAGGCAGGAAGTAAGCTATGGCATAACTGTTGGTGGTCGTGAGCATGAACAACCACGCGAATCCCCAAACCTTCATATCCAGTGCGTTCTTAAGATATGCGCCGACGCGGAATGGCTCTGGGATCGCATCCGCTCGGTCCTTTTCAATTGTTGCAACTACGTATGCTGCTTCGCGTTCTGTCAAAAATTTCCAGGAGTTTTTGGATAGTTCGGGGAAGTCAACAATGAGGAAGTAGCCTGCAATGCCGGCGATACAGGTAAGAAGTCCTTCCATCCGTGGACGAGTTAACCCTGGGCTACAATTCGAAGACTTATAGGCTTACCACGAAGATCCACCTCCATCCTGAAAGCCCTCCGAGGCCCTTCATCTGCATGACACCGTATGCAAGAATACCAGAAAGTGCGGATGCCATGCTACCGATGAGGTAGAAGACTGCGTTTCGCTTTTGGAGTTGATATCTTGGATCTGCAGGATGTGCTGTTAGATGGAGAAAGTAGGGGAGAATTTGATTGAACTACATACACCAACAACTGAGAAGATATGCACAGCCAGGGAAGAAACCGGCCTCCAATACGCCGAGAATGATGCGGAGACCTACGAGGACATCCCAAGTGGGAGCAAAACCGAAGCCCTGTATCGATTGTTAGATCTCTGCGTGTAGTAAGTCTCCCGGGAGCCATTACAATCATTGTCGCTCCCCAGAAGAGTGTGATGGCGGATAGAAAGACTCGCGGGCCAACTTTTCGGAGGACAACCGTCGCTGGTGGCTGGAAGATGACGTAGGGGATGAAGAAGATCAGTGTGATAATGTTGTATCTTGCGCCAATCAACTTCAGATCCACAGTCATCCTAGGAGGATACGTTAGTATTGGCTTCCAAAAACATAGTCTTGCTTACCCTGCAATTGCTGCGGATCCAAGATTTGTTCTGTCCATCAGACTCGCACAGTACAGGACACCCAGGGTGGAAACAAGTCGTAGATCGACCTTTCGCACGATGCTTTTTTGCTCTGCAGGAGAGTATTCTGCAATTCGGGCATCGTTGGAGTCTACAGAAGGAGTGTGCTCCATGTGGAGTCCATCTCTGGACTTTTCAAGGTCTTCTTGAGACATGATAAAATGCTAGAATAAAGAAACGAAGCTTGAGATTTTGCTGCTGGAAGCAGATGAATGAGATAGAGAATTCAGACAAGAGAAAGGACGCAGCCTCGAGATTTATGAAATAAAGACAACGGTGACCCCGCATTTTGCAAGAGATATACCTAGGGTGGCGGCGATAGATTAAATAGCTCGGTATCTTCCCCAGCGGCTCGGCCCAATTGAAGAATATTCCAAAGGATGCATAGATCCTGACTAAGCTTATCAAAGCCAATGATATCACCTACTTAGGCTGGTCTCGCATTCTTTCATTCAGCACGCCAATATTTCCAAGCAATCTGAACACACGCCGGCCAACGGTAGGATCTTGGCGTCCGACGCCAGATCGCACATTGCTCTACATTGAGCGTCAACCCGGGGTCTCCAGACATTAGATGAAGGCGGAGCAATGAAAGTGAACCTTTCAGCTAGCAGATCGCCTCTGGTTTTGTGCAGCAATATGCAACTCGGTAGTTTTGATTGGAGGCGGATGAGAGCGAGTGCCAAATGCGGGGTCTGATCCGCAAGCTCACAAGGATGCTGCCTGGGAAGCAACGACGAAGTCAATTTTCGAGATTCACGGACTGGTAGGTGGTGAAGTGATGTTTCTTCGAAGGAAGGACGTTGCTTTAAAGTTAAGGGCGTCTGCTCCGAACATTTACAATCTTACCAAATAAGGAGCGATCACTGATCAGAGAAGCTGGTATCCGGATATGATTACTATTACTTCTTTCCGTACTTACTAGTACTGGTTACACGTAGTCTGCACCTCACGAACCAGGGATGCGGCAGCGAGTGGCGGGAAATGTGGATAAGTGGCGGGAAATGGGGAAGGGGTGCGGGGTAAAAGCGGATGAGCCGGGATGACCGAGGTCCTTGGCAACGCCGTTGCGGTCCTTCTTTTGCCGACCTCGTCGGAAATCTTTAGCTCCTCCCGAGGCCATGGAAGTCTACGGTACTTTGCAAGCATTTACTCATGGAGCGAATCTTATTGCAAGAAACCAATCAAGAACGTGAGTTTGTATTTCTACCGCCGGGTTTGATACATGAGCAGCAAAGTATACGAGGTCTCCCCATCCATCCATCCTCCAAGCATCCTCCACGCACCCACGCATCCACGTATCCACGTATCATCCATCCATCCACCACCACCACCAGCAGCAACAGCAGCACACGGATGCAATTGCGAATTGTTGTAGTCGTACACATGAAAAGAAAGTCGAAAAATCGAGAACACAGTCCCAGCTTCTTCTTTGCGCAACTATCTCAAGGTCCTGCTCTCTCGAAAACATTTGTAAGTAAACAATCCGCATTACATCTGCTCAGTCGCCCTTCCTACCCAGAATGCGACCTATTTTGAGCATATCTACTATAGATATTCTCAAAGGCTACCGTCTCCAAGTCGATGCCCCATTATCTCTACTGCGAAACGGTTAGGTTAAGTTATACAGTCAAGGACTTTACCTTGCGGTAACCTCCCCCCCCCATCTGCAATTAGTCCTGCTTACACTTCACGGCTCTTCCACCCCCCTTATTTTTCCCGAGGCAATTTTCTTTATCCGATATGTTCAGAAAGACGCTTCTTGATGTCTTCTAGTAACATATTCTTATAAGGCATCATCCATCCCGAGCTTGGCGGCCTTCTTACGCAACAGTCGTACAATGGCCTCGTGCCCGTTCCCATACGCGACCGACAGCAGCGCCTGCCAATTAATATACTTCAATTCGATCTCGGCGTCGGTCTCAAGCAGCAGCTGCACCACAGCCTCGTGCCCGTTTCCAACCGCCCAACACAACGGCGTCTCACCATATAAGCTATCCTTCGTCTTGAGCTCGGCGGCCTTCTCGAGTAGCAGTTTTACAACGTCCTCGTGCCCGTTCTCAGCCGCGAATGACAGCGGCTTCCGCCTACTTGTATCCTTCGACTCGAGATCGGCGCCTTTCTCGAGCAGCAGCCACGTCACATTATAGTGCCCATTCTTGGCCGCCCACGATAATGACGTCTGGCCATTTATATCTTTCGACTCGAGCTCGGCGCCGTTCTCGAGCAGCCAGTACACCACAGCATAGTGCCCATTCTTGGCCGCCCCCAGTAGCGGCGTCCAGCCGCCATCGTTGCCTTTCCAGTTTACTTCGACTCCTCCCGTCGCTAGTAGCAGCTTTACAACTGCCTCCTGCCCACTCTCAGATGCACTTGTGAGTACCGCGCTATTTAATGAATCTAAACTTCGTAAGAACTCCGGCAAGGTCCAGTTCAGAAACATCCAGTCAAGAGATTTATAATATGAACTATCTTGATTCGAGTGAGATAGTAAGAATAAAGTGGTATTATCAATTAATTTTCCGATTCTTCTCCATCGCATTCAGTTAGTAAGCTTGCTGCTCTTGCTCAGGCGCTAATCACCCTCGGCTCACCCTCGGCTCAGTCAACTTACCTGAGCTACATGAGCAACCTGAGCAACTCACCCGAGCACCCTGAGCACCCTGAGCACCCTGAGCAACTCACCTGAGTACCCTGAGCAGCTCACCTGAGCAAGCCTGAGTATCCTGAGCAAGATTTACCATATCATTACGTATTTTGACTTCTCGCTTTTTAACTAATCGTACTTGATCTGGCCTCTATTCTCTTATATTACTTTTATCAAGTTTTAATAATAATACTCAAGGAGCCCAAATAAGTTCCCAAGGAACCTAAAGTAGATACTTTCCAAAAATATACTTAGTACTTTACCTATAGTATAAATTGGATTAATATGGATATTCCTAAGGAGAATACTTCTTTCCCTTTTATAAATTCCTTATTACTCTATACTTATCTTAATCTAAATACCTCTTTTCTTTAATCTTATTATTTAATTATCTTTCTAAATCTCTCTATAAAATTTGTTTTATTAATTGCCTTCTATCTTCTATTTCATATAAGTTACTATTTTAGTATCCTTAATACCTAAAAAGAAATTAATAGAAGAGTTCTTTATATAATCCCGTAGTAAAGGCTCTAGTATTAAGTTAGAAATTATTAACGGAAAAAAAGTAAAAAAAGATCTCTAGCCAGAAATAAAGAAAAACTATACTTATACCCTAGTATAATAAGACTAGTAAGAACTATTTCCTAATCTCTAATAAAAATTTCTTCTAATACTTATTTCTTTACTAAACAGGTTTAAACTCGAATATTCTAGAGCTACTCCAGATAATATAGAGATATTAAAAGATTAGGCTAGATATATTACATATAGTATTATAGATACCTATAGTAATAATATTACTAGGCTAGGCTCTATTATCTGCTTATAGAAGAATCTTATAGCAGGCTAGTAATAGGCTAAACAGAAACTAAAAATAGACCCTAAAGTAGTTATTACTATCTCAAATATAAGTTCCGGATATAGTATTTCTATATTTTTGAGTTAATATATATAATTACTAATAAAGTATAGTTTATAAAAGGCTCTTTATAAAAGGAAATCGGCCTGTATTATAGGAAGTAAGTGAGAAAGTATAGTATAATAATTTATTTTATTTATTTTGGAATATAACTCTGGTTAAATAATTAGTATATTTATAGGAAGCCAAGAACCAGATTAGAAGTATGGGACTAGCTATAGATATAAGTATTTATATTAGTAAGAGTTAGTAAGTTCATATAATTAACTTACTATCCTAAGTTAGGCTAAGGCCTTTATTATTATATAAGTTCTCTATATTCTTAAACTCTTCCAAGGTTTGGCAAATAACTAATAGCTATTTTACTAGAATATTACTTTTAGGGTATTTCGAAATAAGGATAAAAGGGCAGAATTTATAATATAAGTTATATAAGATACCAAAAATATAATATTTAAGCTAGATAAAAGGTAAGGTTCTATTATTTTATATCTTGGAACTATTCTTTAAAGACTAATTATAAAATAAGCCAGAGCATTTATTATATAAAGGCTTATAACCTTAATTACTCTTTTATAATCTAATCCTTATATATCTTGCCAAATTTATTATAAAAGGGATCTTTAGAGATTATAAGACTATAAATAAGCTTCTTAATCTTGACCTATTTAGGAATAAGATATTCTAATTCTATTAGAATTTAGAGGTCCTTAATCTGCCCTTCTTCTAGAAAGAAGATAGAGAGATTAATATAGCAAATATATTTAGTAAATATATAAGAGACCTAGGCTTTTGTTCTGGATATAAGCTCCTGCCTATAATCTATAATTTTAGAGCAGAAGATCTATTTCTTATTAGTATACTTTACTAGTAATTATTAGGCAGATCTGTCTTTAAAGCTAATAAATTCTTAGATAAGCTCTATTTAATAGCTCAGAGAATAAAGCATGGCAGTTATACTAATAAGAATACCTATTATAATTATTATATACCTAATAATACTGGAACTAATAGCCAAAGCAGCTACTTCAGTAATAAGCTATATAGTATTATTAATAACAGATTTCGGTCTATAACCTTATATTATAATCCTGAACTTTGGCAGTTTTTCCCGGCAGAAAAATAATATAAGCTTGAAAATAACCCAGAGTTTACTACTATTAAACAGGAGCTGGAAGCTCTGTTTCTAGATCCTAGGGATGATACGGCTATTATAGATTAATAAAAGAAGTTATGTATAGAGAAAAGAAAGCTTATTACCGAAGAGCTTTGCAAGTGTCGGAAACTCTAGCCGAGCAGAATTCCTTCTAATAAAGGCGAAAATAACTTAATCGGGTATTACCAGACTATATTTTCCCGTATCCGTACCTTAATACCAGAATACAACCGCCTGGCATCTAGCTTGTTTACTATTACTCCTATTTATAGTAAAGAAGGCCAAGTAGTTCTCTATAATATAATCTCGCTTTATTAGTAAGAAACTGAAGTAGCGGTTCGTCCTGGCTTAGAGCCAGAGAAGTGCCTTTGCTTACTAACAGAGTTTAGAAGGAAGATAGATAGGTTCGTATACTTCTTAAAACCTTTTTAGAGTTTATATAATACAAAGTACTAATATTATAATTTTGAATAGTAAGCCGGCTGCCTAGAGATAGAAGCATATCTATAGCTGCTATAGAAAGAGCCTTAGAGCTACTTATGGATTTGCAGAATTATGCTTCTTCTATAGCAAATGGGTTATGGGAAAAGACTAGTAGGAGAACTATTACCAAGTTCACTTGGACGGCCATAAACCCCTACTAGCTCAGTATAATCCGCTCTTCTACGGCAGGACCCTAGCTTTGCCTAGTATATGTCCCTTTTATCTAGACAATGTAATGCTTTTGGCTACTGAACGAATATATTAGTTCCATAACAAAGTTAAATAGAGAGATTATATTTCCGACTACTTTGGAATTTTCGAAAAATATATTAGAAGTCTATATAAGGGTATATTACCCAAATGCCCAGTTTCAAGGTTATACTGTCCCGGCATTTTCGTATTAGCGCAATAGGTGAAATTTCACCTTCAGAATAATTATGGTACTGAATTCGTCAAGAGAACGAAGAAATCTCGATCTCTAGATAAAGTGGATGCCAGTTGCCCTAAAATTAAGAAGGTCAGAAGCGTTATTAAGTGCGAACCAGATACGGATATTAGAGAATACTCCAAACCAGTATACGAATTTATATACCAGACGGCGGAACAGTGGGGTCAAAAGGGCCCTAATGCCTCGAATCCAGCAGCTATTCGTTCTCCTCCTTTAAGTATACTATTAACTGCTCCTTCGATAGCTCTATTAACGCCGCCTTTACTCAATTCCAGGGCTTTAACTCCAATAACAGACATATACGGGAGCGCGACTCATACGCCAGTACCACAAATTCCCAATAACGCTAATGGCAATATTGACCTACTCCTTCTTTCTATACCGGATACCGCCGCACCTGTCGGAGACAATACAATTCGCTCATTACCACATCAAAGCTTTACTACTACCTCCTGTAAATCGAATTTAATAACGGAGTTTTCTGAGGTATGCAATATAGTATCGGAATATGACGTAATCGAAGTAGAGGACCTTACAGACCTCGACAAAGAGTCTCAAGCCTTAGAGGCTGGTGAGTCTCTTATACATATTACCACAGCTCCGAGTATATATTAATAACACCGATATTTCGGAGGCTTGAGTCTGACTAAATATAGGAGCTTTTATTACCCCAGCGGACGACAGTGACAGGCTAGACCTTTCGACTATTAGAGACACTCTACCCGAGGAGAAGCTATTAGTGGAGTCAACTAATGTTCTGATATATAAAGATATAGCTACTGAGAAAGGAGGGCGCAAATACTTTAATAAAGATTTTGTATTTGTCAGCGACTCATTAGATCCAGGTAACTCGAGACTGCTTATTTAATCTTTATACCGTTTGCTTATTACAAACTAGATCTACGGAATATTCTGGATTACGAAGAGCTACCGGACACATATATTAGTAGAGCCTACAGTAGTCCTGGTAACGGCTCTATAGAAGGCATACCTACTTCTCATCAAGACTCAGAATCTCAGCAGCTCAACGAAAAAGCTGTTCAGGAAACTAGGCCATCCGCTGTGGACCCCGAGGATAACCAGTTCGAAGTTAAGCGAGTTATAGATAATCAAGTTATCCCAGTTAGTCAAGGGAGACGCAAGAAGATGATTACCCAATACTGGGTCAAGTGGAAAGGATATCCAGATGATAATAATAGCTGGGTTAATGAGGCTAATATGTATGAGGATCTCATTAAGGCCTACAGGGCGGTACAGACCTCAGCTTGAAGCTATCGCTACTAGGGCTTTAATGCACTTGCTCTGAAAGTTTTATGGCGTTGACTTCTTTTTGGAGAAATAAATTTGGTTGTTAATCCATTTAAATAGCCCTTCGTACTCTTGCCACTACCAACCTTCCGCTGACAGAGTTTTGAGGTGAGGACCATCCATCTGAAGTGTTTCTAGTAGGTATCCTGGTCTCGGAAATCTTGAGGCGTTCCTTTTTGTGAAAAGAGGCGTGGAGAAGCATTCCGATGACCTATTGGAACCCCGTAAGTGACATAAAAGGTTGGGCGGGGGAGGCTATGAGTTTGAGGTTAGGGCATTAAGGCCACATATAGGGACCACATAGTGATTGATTAATTGATTGATTGATTCATACTCGGTTCCAGCTGTCCGTAGCTATGCCAGAGTAGCCCAGCTTTGGCACCAGTCGCCGAACTGCGTCTACCATCGTAAACGCACTTGACTTCATCACCCGAAAGTGACTAGCAACCTCCTCTGCTGAGCTGGTTCCCATCTACGTCTATATACATATTCGTGTCAAGGAGTGCTTTGTGTCTTCCTTATGTGCATGGCTCATTGGCAGCCGCTTCTGCTGTCCTTCTTGTGTCAATGTACCTTCGGTCTCCCCCTGCTACCGCCAAAAATCCATTCAACTCCCTTCCTCCAATGAATCTTCAAATTTGTGACTTCTTCCAAACCCATCATCATAGTGTCCTCGGGGTTAAGTGCAAATACGGACCAAATATTCGCAAGTCGGGACAGTTCTATCGGAAAACGTAGACTTCTCGTGTGGGCAAGGCACTCGTAGTCTGCAGCAGTTGTTGCGTACAAGATCGAGATCGTAGCGACGTCATCGGGGGGAGACTAATCGACTAATAGTGTGGGCATCACTTTTTAGCCTGATGTTGAGAGGTGAGCAACTTCCTCTCCGTGTTCTGTGTGTGGTGATGTGTCGTGTGTCGAGATCGTGCGGTCTGGTTGTCGTCACTAGCTTGAAGATTTTGGGAGGTTTGGATGTTGAGTGAGGCTTTGGGTCTCTGGTGAAACGTGCTGCAAATGCTATGTATTGGTGATGATAGTACCGCGGTCTCAGGTTCCTATGTTACTGCTGAGTGTGAAGCCTATCCCGTGGAAGGAGAAGGGCCATTTCTCGTGGCCGTCGTAGCGTTGTTTTCGGTGCTTGCTTGGTGGAAGTGACAGGTGTCCCTTCAGATCGATCAGAACGCGCGCTCGCTGGGCTAGGCATGCCATAAAGGAAAATGCCTAGCCCAGGAGGCTAGTTCTGACCCTTCTGAGGGACTTCGAGATGCTTTGAGATGTGCTTTCCAAAAATTTGATATGGTGCTTTTTGTGATGTTTTGGGACCACGAGTGAGACGTGCCTGAAATGCGTTGCAGTGCCTCAGGCCGCCAGGCATAAGTTCAACACACACCAAGAAAGTGCCAAGGAGGACGATGCAGTACACCGTATTCCAACAGGCATGTCTGCCTGAACAGCACTCGTCTCACGTTCAGCGCGTCGAAAACCGTGTCTCAGAGGCTTTAAGTTCTTCTTACTCTGTACTTCCCAGCTTTATTTTGGAGTACCACGCCTATTCCCCAACCTCTCCCGTGCGGAAACCAGAATGGACGATCTGGACTGGACTGCAATACTACCAGTACCAGGCCAATTTGCCGTCCAGCATGATGCATCCGACATCATCGATGGGGACATCTTTGGGCAAAATGCCCTCCAGAATGAACCCTGCGGTGGCTTCAATGACGACGGTCTAGGGCCTATTCCGTTCCTAGATGAGCACAATATCATGATCAACGAAGATAACTTCCCCATGTTGCAAGCTATTAGACACGATTACATCAATTCTAGTACGGCTAATAAAATGTCCGACCAAGGCGGCTCCTGTGGAGATGGGCATCTAGGACCGCTCAATTTCAGCCAGCAGAGCGGGCATGGCAGTACAGCTTTTTATGGCGGATTTGAAGCAACCAACAGTCCATGGCCATTCAATGACTCCGTCTTTCAGCCTCATCTCAATTTCCAGCCTCATGTCGAAACCATGGCCAATTGGCCCGCACCTCAAGGCTTGAACGGAGTGTCAAATCACAATATTGCCAGCACGGCTTACCTGCATAATCATATTAGCGGCAACGTAAACGAAAGCGGCTCTGGGACAGGTTTCAACCTCGGAAATACGAGCCGCAATATCAGCTACTCTGAACAATGCCCGCCGCTAATTCAAATCGAAATATCTGCTCCTCCCATGCGACGTAGGGAAAAGAAGGACGGCGGGGACGCTGGCAAGAAACATAGATACTCAGAGGCTGATTGGGTGTACATGCGTGAACATCATCTCAAGCGGCTAATGCTGGATAAACATACCACAAAAGAAATAGCATTCGAGCTGACTGTGATTCACAATTTCCCAACTTCGTAAGTGGCACTGTTACTGCCTAGGCGGGACATCTATCCAATTATTTTGAACTAATCGGAACAGGAGCAGTACATTAGGAAATAAGTTTCGCGAGTGGGGGCCAGAGTTCAGAAAAAATGGATCGGATCATGATGGGAGGACTCCCCGCCGCCGGGCAGCACAGGCCTTGCCTAGCAACGAGACAAAGATGATAGATTCTGCCACCATATTTCTACAAAAGCCATCGAAAAGAAAGACGAGGTTTAATCCCGCGCCAGGTCCTACTTTCCAGGCATACATTCACCAGGAGAAAATGTTTCATGAACTCGACAACTTGATCAAGGGGTGCTTTGATAAAGGTACGAAAAGCAAAAGATGGACTCCTGACACCTCCTCTTTCATCCCGCCAATGGGAGCGGTAGACAAGTCGAAGTCCTGGCGACTTCTGTCCGCCCAATGCTCTGGCATTGCACTTCTCGGCGATGCAATGCTGTACGACCACGTCCTTTTCCTGTTCAGCAAAGTCTTAGAGCGATCAAAGGCAGCTGCTCAATCTTGCGACCCCAACATTCTAATCCATTTCTGGACGATATGCCATTCACTCTGCAATGTCCGCTTTCCCAAGCGCAGAGAGTTCATCCTCCTGCGAGTCTTGCTGCGGCATCTGAGAGATGAGTTCTCAAAGTCTCTTGGGAGCCATCCCTTAGTAAGATTCCTGGACTCGTTGATCAAAGTCTTGGAATTTTCGCCTGATGACTTGCGAACAACAGTGGGTCTGGCGTACTGGAAGACCATTCATGTCCTTGTGGATTCGGGTGGCATTCCACGCAATCATCGCATGATACTGAACATGGGATCACATTGCACCAAAAACTGGAAAAACAAGTTTAAAGTGCATACGGAATTGCTCGAACCACCATACAAAGCACTTCTTGAATCTATGGAAGCTTGCCCCAATACCAAGGTCGAGCAAAAGATTAGCCTTTTGTACGACTACACAGAAGCCATATCAAGAAGCAAGTACAACACCAAGGATGTTGTGGATCAGGCAATCCAGCTTTGGATTCAAAGCGCGGATCTATGTCGCAAGCGCGCGAGGATGCAACGCCTACACTGGACGGAGCACGCCCAGGCCTTGGCGTTTTCGACGGAAGTGGTCGCGAAGCACTACCTTGAGTACTTGAACGAGCATGGAAAGACCGTTTCCCCGAGTCACGACCGCAGCAAGGGCTTTTGGTATATGAGTGAAGCAATTGAGATCTTGCGTCTAGGGGACCTACTATGTCGGATCCGGGCCTTTTGCTTTTCAAGGCGGTTGGGACTTTGGCTCAAGTCGTATTATGGAGCCAAGAGTGCGAAGGAAGAGAAACTCCGGCGTGTTCAAATACTGAGCCGCATCCCCAAGACCGTGATCACCGTGTCTGAGCCTCAGAATCTAGCCATCCGCGAGAGGGGAGGCAATAGCATGACTCGCTGGCGCCGTCAACGAAGGATAGTGCGAGACACACTCTGTTCTTACCTACCGGAGCTGTGAACTCGGTCAAGCAATTCATTCATCTAGGCCGTTACAAATTTCCTGTATTAACCAGGGTCAACGCATCAAATCAAGCTTGCTGGAGGTGCATTAGCTGCTAATATTGGTGGAGTTCCGATCTAATCCCGCACTTCACCATCAAGGACTTGCCAGGGCCTATCAGTGAAGGTGCGGTGGAAACCCGCCAGCCCGATATTCCCAATCTCTGCGCAACATGCATTAGCTTCTCGCTTAGGCGCACCGCCTTAATTTGACAGACGATGAGTGGGCGATCCTAAGTTTCCTCTCGCCCTGTGCATTAGTTCCCTTCTTTGCATTGCGGTTGAACACTAGTGATTGATCGATCCTAAGTTTCCATTTACCTCGTGCATGAGATGCCAACACTTCGTCCCGAGTTGAGCATGCCCAACACTCCGAGTGTGAGTCCGGCGGATCCAGCCTGACGTGCTACGGTCCAGGCATCTATCTTGTTTTGGGCATAAATAGAGCCGATTCCTCTCGGGAACTGGGCGGGCCACAACGACAAGTTCATTCCACACAGCAATTGACAGCATATTTTGCTTGTTCGGCTTTTTTCTAGCTTCTGATTCTCAACATAGACCATCAGACAGCAGTACCGCCGAGTTGACCTGACGCCAACAGGACACAGTCGACACAACTTCAATCAAAATGGATAAAACGCCAGACCTCGTCGACCCCCGGCAAGTCGAGTTGTTTGACGCTCTAGAACAACTGGCAACTCTCGATGTTGCGCATGATATCGAGATTCCCCAGCTGATTGTGGTCGGTGACCAGAGTAACGGCAAGAGTTCTGTCCTGGAAGCACTTGTCCGGTCCCATTTCCCGGTGTCTGAGCGGACTTGCACCAGATTCCCAATAAAGCTGATCCTCAGGAGATCCAACGAGACGCTGCTGAAAGTTAAAATCGAACCAAGCAAGGACATCAAACGGAGTGCTGGAGAGGAAGCCAAAATACAAGAATTCAGCCGTGAATTGTCCTCCTGGGATGGATTGGCTAATCTGGTGGAAGAAGCGACGACTGCGCTTGGAGTATCTACTAGGACGGATTCGAAAAAGTCACACAGTTCCACAACAAACAAGCAGCAGAATGCCAGACAGTATACAGAAGACGTTCTCATCATCGAGAAACATGGGCCACATTTACCTATCCTGAGCTTGATGGACCTGCCAGGGCTCTTCCAGGCTGAGAGCCCAAACCAAAACAAGAGGAGCCGCGAAATAGTTGCAAATTTGGTTGAGAAACAGGTCAGGCAGAAAAAAAACGTGGTTCTACTTATCATCAGCGCTAAAACGGATGTTGCCAACCAGACCGTGGTGAGAACATTTCAAAATGTTTTGAATGATGACAAGGGACTTCGTGATCGAGCGATCGGTGTTATGACCCACCCAGACCAAGCTGGCGACCTATTTGAAGAAATGCAGGAAGTTATCAACAACGGGCTTGACGCACTAAAGTTGAAGCACAGTTGGCATGTGGTTCGAAATCAGAACAAGGATGAGAGGGAGAAATCCGAGTCCCTGGACGACAGAGACCACAAAGAAGAAGAGTATTTCAACGATTTGGCTTGGCAGCGGGTGCCAGAGGAACGGAAAGGCATCAGAAATCTCAGGTTCACTCTCAAAAACGCCATCTGGACCTGTACACGGGATGCGCTTCCACGTATCATTCTCCAGATGAAGGAGAAAATTGCGGACATCGATGACCGTGTTAAGGCCTCCAACGAATCGCGGGCCGATGACTCCCAACGCCGACGGTACTTGATCAATATGGCCGGAAAGTTTCAGCAGCGGACTAGAGAAGCCGTTCAAGGGACGTACGAAAATGAGCCCTGCAAAGAATCTCACTCTGTTGGCTATTCCTGTCGAGAATGCAAAGGTTTCTTTCCGGTTCCAACGGAAGGTCCTGATGACCCGGACGGCCAGAAAACGAAGCTTTGCAGCAATGTCCGAGGGTTAAATATGGAATTTGCCATGGCCATGCGTCGGTTCGGTAAGGCAGAAATCATCAGCCGTGCTATTTGTACGGTAAACGCTGTGAACGATGAGCAGAGCTCGGCCAATGATTCGGGGGACGAACCCGCCAACCAAGCCGATCGCTTCCCACCGCAGGAAGCCATGATTAAGTACTACACACACACCGAACCCAAATCCATTGACCCAAAAGATTACGAAAAGAAGGTGGTGGACATCATTAAGCGCAATCGGGCGAGAGAGCCCATTGGGGAGGCAAGCTCGACCGTATACCGTGACCTCTTCCTGCATCAGTCAGCACGTTGGGAGACAATAGCTACTCAACACATCCGTGCTGTCTGGGAGGCAACAGAAACATTCATCAACCTGGTCCTCAAAGACGTTTGTGTGGACCAGAAAGTTCTCCGGTCCTTACGGAACAAGATCGTCAAACCGAATCTCGAGAAGTTGCAGAAGAAAGCCAACCGCACCCTGAAGGACCTCCTCGACTGCCGTAGCTTGGGAAATACGGGATTCTTTGATAGCTTTGGTGACGTCTTTACCGTGCAGGAGCAGGCCAGAGACCTTGCCGGGCGGCTGGATACCTTCGGGTGGGATGATCTCCTCCTAGAGCGGCGCGACGAATTGGTCGTGAAAATTCGTGATGCCCTGAACATCTTGATATGTTCGCCGGTTGGCCACCTCTCAGTCGAGAACCGCATCAAGGATCTGATCATCAGCAAAACCTTCGGCATCGTAAAGCAGGCTTTTTCGACCGCCGGCAAAGATCCAAATGAACAGGCGGTTCGTAGGGAAGTCGACAAGCTGTATCCCGCGGAAGTCCAGCACCTTGACGCTGCTCGCGTTGTTGGAATAGTGGAGACATATTATAAGGTAAGTCTTACCTTCTTGTGCTCGCCCTAGCCTTATGGTCAGCCCAAGTCCTGACGAAGGATCAATTTCCTAGACCACCATGGTTGCCTTTGTTGGCTACGTTAACTCCCTCGTCGTCGAGAGCGGCATTCTGCGACAGCTTCCGAATGCCATTTTCAGCCAAGAAGGCATGCTAGACGCAAACCAGGAGACAATCAACGAGATAGCCGCGGAAGAAGAAGGCGAAGCCAAACAGCGCGAAGAGGATAAGCGGAATTTGAATACTCTGAGACGGATCTTGAAGATATTGGAAGAAGGCCTAAAATAGCTTAGCAATGGCGGGCAGGAGAAGGTTTGAGTAGCGGGAAAGAGCTCAAGGATTTTCATGCTTCTATCGTTGCGGCTACTTCCTTTTTCGTATCCTTCTTCACTCCTTGTTCTTGTCCTTCGTTATTATTGCTGTTCACTACACATATCCTATTAAGCTTCATTCGTGTCTATACGTCGATCGCTCGATTCAGGATTGGATTTCTCTTCATACCATCGCCGTCATCGCTGTAAAGAGCCCAGTTTCATTTGGGGCTTCAATCATGGCGAGGCATTTCAACAACCACGACAACATCTTCTTCCTTTCATCATCGCTTTGTAATCATGGGGCTGGTTATGTGCATGTCTGAAGTTCCTAAAAATGAATCCTTACGAACCTCCTTCTAATCACAGTCAGGTATTGCGGTCGCATATCTGGTTACGAAATCTGCAAGAAAGCCTTACTTTCAAATTGATCGGCGCTTGTGCAAAGTTTTCATGACACGTGGCGTGAAAGGCTATCGCCAGGCAGCCAAACCTTCGCCTGTATTTAGAGCCTTCACGGCTTAAGTGGAGCTACTGGATGTTCCAGCCGCCCGGCGAACTTGCGGGCCGCTCCGCAATCAGCCGCAGGTGGGGATTGTGAAGCCTTGTTGGCCTCGTGCACCTTGGATTGTGTCATATCAAGTGCTATCCAGTCACGTTTGCACATGCCCAAAAGAAATTCCTGGGAGGTGTGGGGCTGATGGGAGACTGCAAGGCTCCCAGTAGAATATTCATAGGAGATTACAACTCTTGGAAGTACCAGCCAATCCTGCTAAGTTGACTTCCGAGACTATTCGAAGGAAGCGTATAAGCATAGATATGTCGCAGTGGTCCCCGGAGGGGTAGAGGCCTAAGGCTCTCCATTAAAACAAATATCAGCAGGGTACATGAGGCCAACGGCGAACATATATCGACTTTATCAATAAATGTGGCTAGAGAGTGGAAAGCTACTCGTGGTTCGAGGTCTGACAAAGAGACAACCTGGCCTAAGAAACCAAGAGGGCCATTGCGCCAGTCTGGGATTCTCCCCCCTAGAAGGAACGTAAATGATTGAAGAATTTAAGCTTATAACTTATATAAATTATAAATTAGATTAAAAAAAAAGGAAATGATTGGTTCGGTAATCGATTCTACCGATTCGTTATCGATAAAGGTTACCGCCTAGGATCGTTAGGAATCGAAATCGACGCCGGGAAGTCAGCCAGCAGCTATCAATAAACAATGACGAACGAATATGCCAGTTTCTGCTTATTGCGCCGTTGACTCGCTTTCACTTTTGCTTTTCTGTGGCGCCACACGTAAGCGCACCCGCCGTTTAATCCCTTCGTCACAGCCTTGTGCTTTCTCAACTTAACATCTCGGTCTGAAATTTGACTTTGCTTGAGCAGTCCTCATTGAGCTTCATATAACCTAAACCATCGCTGCCCATCATGGCGTCCAATCTTCAGTACACCTATGATTCTCTCTCGCCTCGGACGGTGCGATTACTCCGATTATGGCCGGGGCCACCAGGCTCTCCCCTCATTTGTTCCCTGGACAAGGTATCTCTGGATGACGCAAACCTGGAATACAAAGCCTTGTCCTATGTTTGGGGCGATGAATTCCCGCAGTCCAGGCTCTGGATTAAAGGGATTGATGGGATTCATCGCAAGCAGCTTTTAATCCGCCCCAATCTAGCTACAGCACTTAAGCAGCTTCGGGAAAACCAACTGTCATGCTGCGATCTTAGCTGCGTCTGTCGAGAAAATCTTATCAGTATCCAGCAGGCAGTTCATGAGCAGTTTACCTTTCCGACATATCTTTGGATGGATGCAGTCTGTATTGATCAGGGCAATATTGAGGAACGGAGCCAACAAGTCTCGCTGATGTATGAAATCTACACTGTTGAAATTGGTACGCTACCATAGCTAGCTCACCAGTCCTTCCAGCACCAGGTTCAACCACTAATTTAGGGTTCTCCACTCTCATTTGTCATGCGTCACTCGCTGAGCTTACCAAGCTTACTAGTATATCGTCATTTTGATTACTTTTGATTTATCAGCTGATTGATAATGTATCGGAGAAAGCGGGCTCGGCATCACCGGTATCGCCGAAGGGTAATGGGAATAAATCCCTTACTTTAGACACTTTTCCTCTGTTTTTACACTTCACTCTCCTGTATCTAGTCATTCTACAGATTGTCAACCTCCAATATATCGATTTTCCATCAATAAATCGATCACTTTCCAATATACACGAAGGCTTCAACCGTCATTGCCTGGCTCGGTGAAGAAGACGAATACACCGTTCCAGCACTTCGACTACTCTATGGACTTTCCAATCTCTGGGACTGGTGGTCGGACGATGCAAAGGCTGCAATCCGCCAGTTGGCCCATAACGAGAAATTCAAAAGCTTCTGGGTTGCATTAGGTCATTTCTTTGCACGGCCCTGGTGGACACGAATGTGGATTATACAAGAGATTGTCCTGGCAAGGGACGCGATTCTTGTCTGTGGCCGTTGGTACGTGAGTTGGGTTCGACTCTGTAAGGCGACGCCTGTGTTAATGGATAGTTCTACCGACGAACTTTCCGAGGCAACCCTTGTCACAGGAGAGTTTCGCCATTTCCATGCAGCCCTACAAGGTATTGGCTTACTCAAATGCTTAAAGATAATCAAAACTAGAATGAAGTTTGGTCAAGATCCGACCGGGACCAGCTCGCTAGAGAAGTGCGTTTTGTCTGCACTTCTATATGTCGGAAGAAACTACGAAGCCACCAAGCCACTAGACAAAGTTTATGGAATCTTAGGGCTTCTTCGCGGATTTGGAGTCACCCCGCAGCTAGAAGTCAGGTATAATTAGACGGAGTGTGACCTTTATATGCGCACCGCGGAATTGATATACGGAGAAGAAAATCTCAACTTTCTTGGTTTAATCGAGGTAAATCGCTCTATTGATCAGAAGAGAGGGTTCGACTTGCTTTCCTGGGCTCCAGACTTTACTATTCCTATAAATTATTTGTTAATATTCCGCAGCATGCGATACGCACCGATATGGTCAGATAAGACTGAGGTTTCACGAGAGCTCTCAGGAACATTCACCTTTACTGGGGACTCCCAAAGCTATTGCAAGTTTGACCTAAAGGCGAAAACTATTACCGTCACGGGATTTCGAGTGGACACGATTCAAAGAATCGAAATACGATTCGTGAACATCATACCAAACTTCAAGGCGGACCGTGCTGTAAGGTATGGCAAGCGCATATGTTGGCTCCCGCCTGACGAAACAGAAGAATCTAAACTTGAGGAAGTCTGGAATTCTTTCTTGGGTCACAATCCTACTCAATCTCAAGCTTGGGTTAGCGCTGAAAAGGTTGGCATTGAAGGCAGCTTTCCACTACCTCATGTGAATCCGTAATGCTTCCAAATAGCGAAGATGGGATTATATGGTGTCACAGACGCGGCTATCTATATAAATGATCATATCTGTAGGCTGCTGGGGCTTGGTGTACCGTGTATCTTGCGCCGGCGAGAGAACTCGTGGCGTTTTGTGGGTTTGAGGTGAGTCTTTAACATTAAACTATTCTTATATGCTCAAGCCCAGCTAATGTTAAGGTTAAAAGTGGTGTAACTGATTTTGAAATTATGCAAGGGCGTCTTATAGAAGGGCTAAAGACCGGGTTACTTTCTCTGGAAAAATTCGTAATTGGATGAATAAGGGAAGAAGAATGTTGAATGGGAGAAACACAGCACATTCCCCTTGAATATGGGCGTCGCTTAGAAAGTCCTGTGGAATAATATTGGAAGATCTTGGGATGGACACGTACTTATTCTACCAAAATTTTAAGGACCTAGACAATATAGATCATGATATCATTTTGATGTATCCCTTTGCAATGCCGTGTACATTTTTCTTATGAATACATTGTGAAACATCTACACCCAGGTTTCTCCCACCAAGCCCCATAGACATAGCACTCTTTTTTCTCTTCTCCTCGATGGCACGAATCTGTCTCGTAGCACCGAATCCATCAAGAATTAGCATGGTAATATCTATGAATATAATATAGTAACCCTCTGGTCGAGCTTCGACCCTATACACCGCCTCAAGCTCAGTGCTTTCGATCTCCTACTAGGTCATGATAGCGGGCTCTTGATACGCGGACTCAGTATCCCTTTTATTACGCTTGTCTATCAAGTCAAGTCCTCGCATGCCTCCCGGAGAATCCCTTTCATTCGAGGGTAGAGCCCTTCGTCTTCCTGTTCGTACGGCCTGTCTCTCGGGAAGACAATCTTCCACAGCCTGTTCACCCATGGAATAAGCGGCTCAAAATAAGAAGTGAAATTATCGGTAATTGTCTTCATGAAAATTGCCTCCTTCGCCACAGTACCTAATTTCAGTTTGGCCAACTCTTCCATGTCTACGTAGTTCCACTTGTCGAATTGTAGAATAACCCTTTCCTGATTTGGTCCATCATAGTAAATACAGATCCAGAAAAGCACCCAGAATATTGACTCGAGGTCATGCATGAATAAATACTGCTTGCCAAGGAGGGCCCTGATGGCTATAAAAGCCCTCGTACCAGTCTTGCCTCTAGCACCGGAAGCCTCCCTCCGTATTTCTTTGATCCCAAGGTCGAGGTCAATCAAGAACGAAGGCCAGGAAGGGTTCTCTTTGTCTTCATTTATTATGAGGTTATTAATTGAGATGTCTCTGTAAAGGAAGCCGGCTTTACGCAAGGACTCGTAGCCTTTAATACAGCCCTCTAGTGCGGCAAGTAGAGCTGCTCGGGAGCCGGCCTTATAGATCGGCTTCCCATAATCACGAAGGATAATACGCCGATACACTCGATTTGGTAGAGCATTACTAACGGCCTTCGTCGGAGATATCGAACAGGACCGCTTGCTAGGCGGCAAAGATGTACCAGTCTGACTGGATAACCGCTTCAAGCCAGCGGTACTACTACTGCGACCTTTCCGTATACCAGCTATACTCGCGCTTGAGGATATTATCGAATATTCCGGCCGGTAGTTTTCCGCCTTTATAATATCCAGTTCCTTCCGAATATTGCTTCGAACATCGTCATCCGTACCGAGGACCCGGACAATCTCATAGTAATAGTATCAGGCCACGTTAATAACGCCCTTTTTAGTCGCCTCTCGGAGCAGCTCTCCTTCTTCCTTACGCTCTATATACTACCAGAAGTCCTTGATAATAAGCGGTATCTGCAGGTCTCCCTCGCAATATGCCTTCTAGCAAGTCATTGCCCGGCCGGATATGCAACGCACCCGCATCATTAACCCGTCGATAATAAGCCGCTCCGTAGGACTATTACGTTAAATCTCAATAAACTACTGGCCATTTTCTATAATAACTATAGGATCGAACCCAAGTTATTTCTTATTTATCCAGAGAAACGCAAGGATTATAGACACAAATTGCAGGCTATCTTCATTAATATCGAATTATTTGGATACGATTCCCCCGAGCCGGTCAAACTCCTATATCCTCATAAGAGATCCGCAGATAGTAAAGCCCAAGACGAAGCGACGGGTATCTTGAGCAGCAAGCACCTCTCTTGCATACCTCCCAAGGTCAAGCCATGCCTTCGAAGCTATATCCACAGACGGGTTGCTCTTTAGTTCTCCGGGTATAAGGATCTACGACCAGTGGCATCGAGAGTCTTTCCTAGCCTGAGAGTTACTAACGAAGCCAATATCCAGCTTGCGCTCTGCCGTGGAACCTTGAACCGGCTTATTGGGCTATACCAGTGGCCTTCGTCTGGTCGCCTTTGGCCTATAATCCCCTGCAAACTCCGCCAGTTGCCCATACAAGTCCGCAAACCAGTCCAAGACATCATCCTGATTTGCGTCTTCCGGCCATCCACTCCATCCTTTGTAATAGAATGGATTTCTGCCTTCTCTGCACTTCTTGAAGACGGCCTTGGATACCGTTTTAAGATCTGCCACGCCTCCAAGAAATGTCTCGTGGAAGTTGCAGAGCCCGACATACATAGGACCGAGCTTCTCCTTTAGCACAATATTCACGTACTTCCGATGTTCAGACGAATTCGCGAAGCTATTCGTATTACGCAGCCATGGAGTTTGTTGAAAGGAAGATGGTATGAGTTAGGGAGGCGGGGTGGATTCGGTAACGGCGTTATAGACTTGATCCCAGATGAGTACATCGTCCCAATTATCGGTAAGGGCCGCAGTCAAGAGAGGTTTAATACGGTCGAAGTGGAAGTTATCGGAGGTAATAGCGGAAATGAGTTTCAGGAGATCGCTACTAAGGGTGCCATGACTTGTCTTTGACCGTAGGAAACGAGTCGCAGGGAGATTTAGTAGAGCGGAGAGGAGACCGATAGTGAGAGTCTGGATATCTGTATGTGAATTAGACAGGAAGGAGGTACTCAAACAAACGCCAGACTGTCGTACCTTCTTGCGTAAGCTGACCGAGCGTATCCGGAGTACAGGAAATGCTTGTATCTTCACAAATTGAATTGAAAGAGGTGCGAAAGGCATCGAGACCTTTTCCAATAGGATTATTCTCAAGGATCTCTGACTGGGCCTGATCCGTCATGGTAACAAGCTCCATCTGCGATTATAATATTCTTGCACTGCGAGGGATAGTTGTGAAAAGTCGTGTTTCGTGACATACGGAATTTTCCGCCCGCCAGCCACCGCCACCAAGCCACCAGCCACCGCTACTCCCGCGTGAATCCATGATAACCGATTCAGTGGGCTTTGGTCGTGGGAACCTGAAAGGCCGCTCCCCCATATATCGCCATTGACTTAACGACGGTTTAATTCCAGACCAATACAAGCTACATATGTCGCAGTGAGATGAGATGGTCGGTTTGAACCTATTCGAAATAAAATATCACCTTGTAACATAATTGTTAAAAGCCCTAGATATATAGTGATTCTTGTACCTCGCTTAGTCTAGAACAGAGAAGGCTATCTCCGGCTCACCATTAAAAACGATCATTCACCACGCAAATGCAGCCCAACACGCATATCATATTAACGCTTCAAAGTAAGCAAACATGGCAGTTCTGCTCATCTTCGTATGTATATTTCCCGAGCTCTTCTACGCCGCAGACAATACTTTTGCACGAGCAACCATACCCCCATAAGGTATCATGATGTCTTCCGCACCTAGTTCCATCGCCCCCGACCCGAGCTCCCAAGCAAAGAGCGACGCTGTCACTGCTCCCTCGATCGGGAAGGCTACGACCGGCTCACTCCTCGTACGCGCAATCCTAGAGGCTTATGGCAAGGAGATACTCGAGTCTGCAAGCGAGCAGTTTCTTGATCTCGCCCTCGAGGTGCGACTCCAAACTATTGGAAAGTAATCGATTTATTGATGGTTGACAGACTGCAGAATGACTAGATACAGAAGTGAGTTCTGGAAACAGAGGAAAAATGTCCAAAGTAAGGGATTTATTCCTATTACCCTTCGGCAATACCGGTAATGCCGAGCCCGCTTTCTCCGATACATTATCAATCAGCTGATAAATCAAAGGTAATCAAAATGACGATATACTAGTAAGCTTCGTAAGCTCGGCGAGTGACGCATGACAAATGAGAGTGGAGAACCCTAAATTAGTGGTTAAACCTGGTGCTGGAAGGACTGGTAAGCTAGCTATGGTAGTGTACCAATTTCAACACAAACAATCAGCGCAAGAGAACTAGTGAAGCTACTTGCCAAGGCGAACCGGCTTGGGTATTAAGAGACAGATACCGTCGACGACGAAAATGGTGCCTCTCCTATCCAAGGAGGCAATGCACATTCACGATCGAAGCCCAACGCAATCGGAACCCCAAAGCCACCGGGCGCGATTGCTGGCCAGTGTCGCCCTCACTCCGCAACTTCATCTCAACCACTTTCCCTCGAAAAAGCTCGAGTACCAAATCATACGAACACAGCCCAAGTCCTGCGAGACGAGCCTCTCTCGGTAAACACACATCTCAATACCCAAAGGGCTGCTCCTTCTGCAAAGGAAAGTAGCTATAGCATTTAGAGTATAAAAGGTATTGCGGGTATATATGATGAAGTACCAATAGCTACTGGGACTGCTAAGAAACAGGGGCAAATAATGACTGGATCCGGATCACGGGTCGTAGCTAGTATTGCGAGGCCTCGTAATGCCTTGAAGAGAGGGCTGGCACAAGATACGAGAGATAGAGTATAGAGCCAATATCCTAGAAAGCTAGTTCGAGCATCGGCTGGAAAGTTATCTCTGTCGATTTCTGCCCAGCCTCTCGAGTTTGTTGTCATCTCTGACTCGGAGCCAGAATTTGAAGATAATGGCGATTATTAAACCAAGCGCTTTCTGGTCTCCTACCTAGTACAGAGGAGACATTATTATCGGTAGTAATAGCTTTATTAATCGAGGCTAGAGGAATGCCGTATAGTAGGAGGGATAAGACAGGAGGAGACTTTATATTATTACAAGCAAGAAATAGCAGATATCCAACCGCTCTATTCCCATCCTGCTCTGTGGTCCTCCGCAAATGGTCAGAGCAGTAACAAGGAACGAGATAATAATACTTGTCCTTGCTCGTATATATTATCTATTAAGACCCCCGAAAACAAACTCCTATAACCTCCAGGGCCAAACAGACTTCCCCTTAAAGAAGTTTATTCCACCCTTATCGCCTCAAAAATTTACTATCCATACTTGTACCCTTATTATCTTCCTCTTTATAGCATCCTCCTTCTTTGTCACCAGATCTTAATACAGGCCATTTCTCTACACTTTAATCCAAGGCATTAGGGATAGAGAAGGGTACGAGTATCGATATCCACCTGGTCCCTTATCTATGCTCCCTGACTCCAACGACATGAGTTTCCATATCCACTTTCTCCTTTCTCGGTCTAATAATGGATAACTGAGCAGTCCTTGGTATGTGGTTAGCGAGCCCAATTTCTTTCAATTCCAACTCTAACTGAAGCTGAATATTTAAGACCTTATATTAGAAAGTAATTGATTTATTGATGGAAAATCGATATATTGGAGTTTGACAATCTGTAGAATGACTAGATATAGGAGAGTGAAGAGTAAAAAAGGAGAGGAGGGAATCTAAAGTATAGTTCTTATATACCCACTAGTAGGTGGCGATTTCCTCCAGTATATTATAAATCAGATAACTCATATATATTAGTGAGCGTTCCCTGAGCTTCCATAGTGAGCTATTCCATAGGCTTCCATAGTAAACTATTATAAATGAGAGTGGCGAAGCTAATATTAGTAATTGAACCTGGTACTGGAAGGACTAGTAAGCTAGTACCAATTCAATACCTTATTTAGGGAATCTGTATTGGGGATTAAGGATAGAGCTTGAGCATTTACGGTAGACAAATATAGGTACAGGGTATTCGGTATCATAGGCGGCGGTAATAGGAAAGATGTATCGAGCCTAGTTAGACTATTGATCGTATTATCATGGACGTGGGTCTCCTGGAGATTACTATTGGTGATTACTCGGCCATCATCCTCGAACAAATCCGCAACTTCAATGCCCGATCCAACCTCCTTTTGGTAGAGCTCGGCCTTCAGACCTGCAACTTGCAGTTCGAGCTCTTGGACTCTGGCGGTAAGTTCTATAATTGGATTTCCTGACTCTTCCTGATCCCCCAGATCTTCCATATCCCTGATACTTTATATCTCTGCGCATCTGGCCTCTAATTGACTTTTGAGTCGTTCGACCTCCGTTCGTAAAAGTTTCACTTCCCGCCTGGTTTCCAACTCAATATTATTTACTTCTTCACTCAACCTATGTCTCCTCAACCTCCTTTTAACCCGACCATTAAGCATCTGTCGCAGCGGCTCAAACTATATAGTCCCAGATATCGGTATACCATAATCGCCGCGATTTCGAAGAGTTGTGGGTGGAATATGGTAACCCGCTAGAGGCGCTGATAAGAAGAGGGTTGTCCGACATATAAATGGTATAAGCCCGGAAGATGTGGATACGGATTCGAGTTCTGTTTCTGGTCTTGGGTCTGAGAATCGTACGCGTTTCTTGGATCTTTCGGGTATAGCTGGAGGGGTTGATATGCATCCAGATTTCGAGGCTGGCAGGCTCGTGCCGACAGTAGTACCCCTCTTACTTCTAACTACTGCAGGCCGGTCGTCAACGGTAATAGTCAAATGTTTCCTTGACTCTGCCATAATGCGTTGGGTTCGGTGGGATGACGGGTTCAAATAGAGAGGGGAGAGCGTTTACTCCAACCAAGGTCAGGCAAAATTGCTTTGCGAAGAGTAGGTACGTGACAAAGAGAAATAGAGAGTTTTCAAGACGCGAACTTGATTGAAAGGACATTGTTTATCTGAGCCAGGTGTGATCCCTCTTTGCAGTACAGATCCTGGATAACAAATATAATGATTGGCTGAAAACACTAAGACGCGGTGGCGATGGTGGACGCGACATGTCGGCCTGGAGTTACCCACCGGCCGCTCGTCACCTGCCGCCAAGCCTCACCAGGCGTGACTTCAGGCCCGGTTACCTTCAACCCAGCCCCGAGAACTACTCGAACTACCAATAATTATCGAGAGTCAATACGGGAACTGCATAAGCTATCCACATCCATGAATTGAATGCTTGCCGCATCATATGGGAAGTTTTCCTATCTCCTAGCATCCTAATTAAAGGATGGTGTTCCGTTGACAGTCCGTGAAGGGCCGGCCCCGTGAGCTTGCAACTGCTAAGGATAACGCAGCCTCGCTATGCGGAGGGTATGATATTTCCTCGTGTCAGAATTTGGTTGGCTAAGGCAGAAAGTCGTGAACCGAGCAAAGACTATGCCCGACCTGAATATCAGGGCGAGAGCTCACGTATGTCAAAAGAGCCTCATCCCCTCAGACCAGAAGATCCGAAAACGCAACCACGACGATCTCCATCGCTCTGCTTCTTTCGACTTTATTGCAGGCCTTTTGCGAGTTCCCCTCATCAGGTACGTTGCTGTCAGCTTAACTAGAATACGTCATGACTTACAAAAGAGAGAACTCCCAAGATGTGCTTCACCTTCACTAAACACTACGAACGCTGCGGCTGCGATGTTCCGGGCCGAGAGCAGAGCAATGGCTGTGGTGGAAACTGCACTGGGGACAACATAACATACAATGAGACCCTGGATGCGAGCATTTCGGATTACTGTCTTGATCATAAACCTCAAACCGCTACTCCACCAACAAGCAGTGACTCTGAAGATTCGGCGGGATCGAGTCAGTCATCAGACGCATAACTTTGGCATGGAGGATTTTGGTGGGGGGTGGCCCCTGCTTAGATCACGAGACTGTTTAGCCTTGTGGTGGCGACGTCCAACGTCAACTTCAATCTATAAATGTATCTAATTACCACCACAACAATAAATCACAGCCTCTGTCATGGAGAAACCTACCGTTCAATCGAACTTAAGCGGCAAAGTACGGTGCCTTATCCTCTGTTCACCGCGAAACCATTCGATTGATGCGAACAAGAGCATCAAGGATATCGCTGACCAAGTCAGCCCCATCGTGAAAGGCGTCATCGACTTTGCAGAGGCCGATTACAGCAAAGCCGCCTTCATAGGGCTCTTCTTATCAGCTAAGAAGTTATACATTGTCTTTGATTACGATAATCCGGACCATAACGATTGCAGGGTGATGGCATTTAAGGTCAGACGGCACATCAAGCCTATATTTGTTCCTGCAACGGAGGTTCATAAGCAGGTGAAATCATGGAAAAGCTATCCGCATATAGTATGTCCGTTATCACTCTTGAAGATTGTTCGGCTAAGTCATGTATAGGAAATCCATCCAAGCTATTCCACCTCTGCCAAGCAGAATCTATCCACCCCGAGTTCCAGTGGACATGTCGATACAGTGGTTGGATAACACTCATTTCTACAAATGGTACTTGGAATCAATTATACAATATCAGAGGGAATGCGAGGCGATGTCGGCTGTGAAGGGGCGTCGAAAAAGAAGGAACAAATATCGGAGATAGACGAGGAATGCTTGCTAGGCTTTCAGCTCTCTATGGGAGCGTCTGCCGAAGAATTCGACACTGAGTCCGCTGCAACAGAAGCAGCTGCTGACGGGGAATACGGCGTGCCGTATGTAGTGTACCGACCATGCTTGCAAATGATCGGAGCCACATCCATGCCATCGAATTCCCCTAGTTCATGTGCTTTCTTGATCAAGGTTCCTTTCTCCTGTTTATTACTTCATTCTTTCGTTTTCCTCTTATCCCCTGGTTGTTTCGCTTGATCTTTGCTGTATCCATTTATACAGTAGCTGCTCCAGAGGTCCTGGAGGCGATCACATGCTTGGCAACGAGGACTTACCGCAACGTTCGTGTCAATTGAAAGGAGAATTTGCATTCTAGAGGGCTGTGGTGATTTCCTTGCTAGTTCACGGCAATTGTCGGTGAATGGCAGCCGGAGTGCCGCCGAGCTACTGTCCCTTTTATTATCGATCCTCGAGGCTGACAATGAAAGGGGAAAGGGGCTTTGTTGGCTTGTCATCTGGATTGCTGGGTGTTGATTATGGCCAGAACGTTTCAAGGGATCTGGCTGAGAACTGCAAAAGGGGAAGGGTCTGCATTTGCTTAAATGATCTCCGATGCACTCGAAAATGTGTGATATTTGTTTCTGTCTTGACAAGTATCCTATGCATCGAGGTGCCACTTCTCCAGATCCAGATCTAAATTCCTAGTCCTTTAACACAAGGCCACAGCACCACAGGAACGACAACATTGTCATTCCCACCCGTCAGCACAGCTTCAGTCAAGCTTGCCACCCCCGCCGCAACGCCGGCTTTCCCAAATGTCAAAATCCAAGGATCCTCATTATTAGCCGGCCAACCCCCAATTCTAAGCCATGCTTTTGCCAGTATCAACGCCAGTCCCACAGCAGTAGCAAACGCTGCGCTGCCTTCAATACTTTTACCACCGCCCCAAATCCATTTGTGCCGGCCGTATCGCCGTCCTATTAATGATGCTGCTACATCCCCCATACCTACACAGATAACGCCGCTGACCATGCTGGCTTCTCTGCGTGGGACCTCCCAACCGGAGAGATAACCGCTGCCGGTTCGAGGGAGGTAGCCGAGGGAGAGCCAGAGGGGGATGGCGCAGCCGATGAGAAGGAAAATATGTGATATTACTACAGGTCCTTTGAGATCTCTTCCGTCTACGTAAGGAGTCAGGAAGTATGCCAAGGACTTGGATAATGGTGGCAGTTGGGATGCCCGGAATAAGTCGAGAGCTCCCAAGCAACGAGCGACGCTATCACTGCTCCCTCGATCGGGAAGGCTGCGCCCGCATTCCGGGTCTGGCTCATCTGGCTGGAGAGATTTGGACATGGTACAAAGGATTGGAAAACAGCATTAGGAAACCACAAACATTGAGAATTAAGAGCGAGCGGTTCTTCTAACCTCGCCGCTGGTCCGTCTGCGGTCAAGTCTCTTGACTACAGCGCCGAGTACCTATAGAAGTTCTAAATCAGCATTTATTCAAAAAGTACGTTTGGAGAAGTCTCGGAGTCGTCGCTCTCGAAACATTCCACGTCAGGTAGAGAATAGCTCCGGAAAATCTACTTACTGCTTTCAGGATTCCATCACCCGTCAAACCAACGCCACCTTCGCTCTGGCTACTTCCGCCTGTCCAAGTAACGGTATCGACGATATCTCTAACTCCACCTTCGACAAGCTTGCTCAATCCATCGTCAAGCTCCTCGAGTGCCTCCTTAGCACCTTCTTCGTTGCCAACTTGGAAGAACTGCACACCAACTTGGTATAGCGGTACATCAAACTTATCGAGCTTTTTCGCAGCTGAAAGTAATACCGATTCAACATCGTCCGAAGGAACACCATCCGTCAATACAATGAGATTGACGGGCTTCATCTCCTTGCCAACAGCAATCTCAGTCTCCAACTTTGCCAAATACGGCTTCAAGATATTGTGGACTCTGGTACCGGTAGGAGTCCCGCCTTGTAGTCGGACTCTCGCGAAGATTTCGGTGACAGTAGCGGCTCTTTTGATGCCTCTATACCCGCCAGCTACGATACCCTCATATAGGGAGCCACCATTAGTGGACTTATAGTTCATGAAGTAGAGATCCAAACCGTTGTTGTCGTAGGAGGAAACGATAGGTGCAATAATAGCTAATGCCTGTGAGACTTCACGCCAGCCACGGCCGGCCATGGAGCCTGAATTATCGATGAGGAGGGTGGTATCGAAGGTCGTGAGGAAGGCGTACGGATCTTCGCCACTTGGGTGGATGGTGGCTAGTATTGACACAGCGGGCGTTGCGGGCGAGTATAATGACGAAGAAGGAACCGCCAACTCAGATAGCAGAGCGCCGCACGTTGGACTTGAGGCAGCATTTGGGGAAGGCATATATGCTGGAGGAGGCTCATTCTTGCCCGGGTGGGAGGGGTTTGTGAGAGAAGTTTGAGGTTCTTGGCCTGTTACTGAGGTGTTTATAGTCAGTATTGCTTATCGAGGAATTACGAAATAGCTATACTAGGTTTCCTGTAGGCATGATAGCGATGTTACATGCAGCGTATACTTCAAAGGAGTAGGATGTGTAATTGATATCAAGAAGGTTTTGAGTTTGACTCAAGGTATTTAAAGTTGATAGGAATAGGATAAATGGATCAGAGTAACCTCTTTTGAGCCCTTTTCCTCAATCAAAGTTGTGACGTCGTTTATTGCGGCTACTAGGCAGCACTGTCGGTTTCTGAGTGGTCAGGAACGAAAATCTCAACTGCGCCTCAGCCTCATTATTTGACTACGGCCCATCAGGCCTCAACAAGGCAAATTTCATAGCGGTTTTCAGAGGCCACCACCTTTGGCCGAACACGACAGGGATCACGATAAGAAATGCGACGAGTCGTCAGCCTTCCGAGTTTGCACTCCACACATGTCGCAGGCAACATATAGACTTCAAGAAGCTCTGCGAGAGTTCTCTCCTTCTCCATCAAACCTCTCAAATTCCTCGCCTTTGAAGATGGCGCTGCGCTTTATCCTCGTTGCATCAGGTCATATTGCATGTTATCGCAGCCCTCAAGCTCAAGCTCCACTCCTCAATGCGACCAGAAACTCTCGCTGTCCCACGACTCCCGCATTCGAGCCGAGAGGCGCGGTTCCCCAGCTGGCAAATAACGATCTGCATAATCTAAGTTAGATCTGGAGTAGGCCTAAATTAGACGCCGCCTATTTTGAGGTCTGTCTGTGGGACTTCCCTATCGGCTGCTCCCAAAACAGGTAATTCATGGACGTGAACTTGGATCGCCCACGGCGCCTTTTAGGATGCCCGTGAGGGCCTAAACTGGACATGCGGCCGATCTTAACGGCATGTTCGCGGCGAGGCCAGATGTAGACAAGTCGTGTGGCTACTAAGAATGCGAAATCTAGAATTGGCTTGGGCTTAAGAATTGTCGTCAAGGTAAAGAGGAATAATTTGGGAAGGGATTGGGTTGACATTTCTTCGAGCCTTTCCTCCAAGTGATACTGCCTTCAGCCTATAGCAACGTAAGACATGTAGTTCTGCAGGATCTTGTGAATATCAATCTTATCATTTATCCGTTTAAGACATGAGAGGCCAGTCAATGCCACTAACAACCTCCTCGATAACGTCTAGGACGTCCAGTTGAACCCCCCATTCACTCACGGCAATATCAAAGAATACTAGCTTTCCTTGCTCCATTGCCGGAAAGTACTTTGATACAAGGAATGACTTATCGTTATTAGAACAAACGCTTCCGTAGCACTTCCACTCTGCGATTTCCAGATTTTTGTTATTATCTGCGGTGCATACGCGTGTCACGTTATGGAGGCCATGAGAGCCATCTACTATCCGAAACGGATACAGCTCTTGAGCAGCTACTACAATGTCTGCTCTCTCCTTGAGCTTTTTGAAAAACTCCAAGTACGAAACATCCTTAAGTTACCTGATATAATAAAGCTGACAAAGGGCTTTTGTTGCCATTTCGGAGACCGCAGTCTGTTCAATTAACTTATACAGGTGGACTAATATATGTACAGGTTTTACGATGCATTTTATTTAAGCATTCATTCTCATTGGGCGACAATATTATGTGGACGAACGTCCAGTGGGCTATCAAGCACGAGGACCCTATACCTTCCCCTCACGAATTATTCCCTCTGAATTTCCACAAAGGTTTTATTGCACATATTTTGGAAAGAGAATGTGACTTCTGCAAGCTTTTTTTGAATGTTTTATTGCATGTCGCTATTTTTCATCACTTTTCACATCGGTCAATGTAGCCATTCGAAGAAATAGAGGCGCATAGGTGGCTTCTATACAGGATTGGGTTAGTAAATAAAAGCGTAGAAGAGTTATAGGTTATTTCTATTTTTGACTCGAACCAAAAAAAACTTAAAATGGAATATAAGAAACCAAACTTCATCTGCAACCAACCAAGTCCCTCTCTCGTCGAGCCTTGTAATTACAATTTACAATTATAACCGTAGCGGAACTACTCCTTAAGCTGCGACCCAGGACCGTTTTGTATACTATTATATAGCCCACCCTTCAAAATTATCGAGATCACAAACGCCATTCGTTCTGGATAAATATTAGGGTTAGCAGGAACGTCTTGGAGCTTCGGTATTCCAATGATCTTATAAATCGAAGTCTGGCTCGCTATACTCTCGGTATTAAGGACACCTAGTATAGTAACAAGGTTATTACTGCCAGTTACAAGACTAGTAAACATATTATATATAAGACCCTTAATTAAGTACAGGATAATTTTATACTTGTCAGGATTAAAGTTCTTATTAGAATCAAGGTCCTTATTAGGATCAGGAAGTAGTATTCTGTTTTCGGGAAGTAATATACCTTTCTCGGAGAGCTGCATTTCTGGTAGATACTTTTTATAGAAACTACTAGGTTATATAAAAATTCCTAGGTTATATTATTAATAGGACAAAGCTTATATACTATCTAGTAGAATTGGGCTCCTTATCTTTAATAGTAGCTTTAGAGATCTTTACTAATATTATATTTCATATTTCCTAGATTATTAAAGATATTTACTAGGATATTTATTATATATATAGTAACTTTAGTATATATATTAGAAGGTTTATTCTCTAATTATAGGTGAAACTTTTCCGTAGTAGGCTAGTCAAATATATTATTAGTTGTATTATTTTATAGAATAGAAATATCTTTAGTAAAGATAGAATATCCGCCTTATATATAGATTCTTATAACTGCCTTCTGGAAGGTCTCGAGGTAGGCTTTTATATAGTCGGTAATATTAGTTAAAGAGGATATAAGAATAAGGATAACTTGCTAATTTTCTTTAATAGCTCGGTTAAATACTAGATTAAGAAGCTCGAACCTATTCTTAAAAAAGTTGTCTTTATTAGGCTAGAAAGTTTCTATATTAGATATTAAAAAAAAGTCGAATTTGTATTTATATTCTTTATATTTCTTTATATTTACCTTAGTACTAATACTAATTAGAATATCCTAAAGGCTAAAGAAGTTCAAGGCTACTTGTCTATAAATAGTATATTTATAGGATAGCTTCAGATTTATAATAAATATTTCGAGATATATAAATCCAAGATAATAAAACTCCTTTAATATAACTATTACTACCAAGTTATTATAGTCTTTTACTAGATCCGTTATAACTATAATACCTAGTACCTTTCTATTATTAGCTTTACTAGCTATAGGCAAACTAAGAAGTATTTTATAAACTTCTTATTCTAAGATAGTAAGGCTATTAGAGATAGAAAAGCCCTTAGCCTTACTATTAAGCTTTCCGGAATACTTACCTAAATACTAGTTAGCTTCTCTTACTTATAAAAAAATAATAGGATATTATTTAATCTGATTTAATTTTCTGAATAAGTAACCTTAATATATTTAGCCTTTCTATTATAAATATATAGCTTTCCAGAATATTTACCTAAATACTTATTAGTTTCTCTAGCTTATAGAAAGATAATAGGTTATTATTTAGTCTGATTTAATCTTCTAGATAAATAATCTTAACTTATTTAGCCTCCCTAATATAGGTATAAATATAAGTCTTTCCTCTTTTATTAATAAATATTTCATCTATTATTCTAAAGTAGTCTATTTCTTAATTCTTTCTAATAAGGTATATTTTCTATTTATTATAACTAATATAAATTTTCTTCTATTTAGTAGTTAATCTAGTTAGATCTCTATACCTAATCTAATTCTTGAATCTATTTAGATCTTTTTCTAGAATAATATCCCGATAATAAAGTTTATTTCTATCTAATCTAGTAATAATAATAAAGAAATTATAATTTCTAGATCTCTTATAATATTTCTTAAGGTCTTTACTAAAAAGTATTATATTTAAGCTAAGGTTATATAGGAAAGTAAATTCTTTTTTTAGATTTATTTTTAGTAATATATATAGTTATTTTAAAGAAAAACGCTTTATTTTATTAAAATAATCTTTTATATAATAAACTAAAAAAGATATATATACTTATAAAAAGATACTAGAATAAGATATTAGAAATATATTAGAATAATAATAGTAAAAGAGAGAATTATTAGGCCTCTTACTTTAGATATCTAGTATTAGTAGAACTATATTTAGCTCTATTATAAATGTCTTTAGAATTCGCAAACCCTAGTATAAATAAAGTACTATAGATTTAATATATCTTATATAACTTTAAATTCTTAGATTATAAAGTTTAATTATAGATTAGATATTTTATTTAAGCTAATTTCTTTAGGCTTATATATTAATTATATTAGTATTAGTATATTTATAATTACTTTTAAACTCTATTATATAGTCTTATATATATTAGCTATAGCCTTATTTCAAAGTAAATTAAAATAATAAAATAGTAATTATAGCCTAATATTATATTCTAATACCTTTATAGCTAGTAAGTAAAAAAGTCGGGTTATATTATACTAATACTAATAAAAATACAAATATAGAACTAGTCTTTATTATATCTAGTAAGGCTTAAATAAAATAGACTTAAACTAGAAAAGCTTTTAAACTTTTATTTCTGATTTATATATATTTAGAAAGCTATATTATTAAGGCTATATCTATATTATTAAATTAAGATACTAAAAGTCTAATTACTTTATAAAGCCTTTTATATTTACTATATTAAATGGGCTCTCTATTCTTAGAGATAGAGGAATCTTATATAGCTATATTCTTATAGTAATTTAGTAATACTAGAGATATACTATTAGTAAATATTCTAGTAATACTTATAAGTTATAATATAAGATAGAAAATATATTACTAGTAATATATCTAAATAATAAGTAATTATAATAGCTAAAATAAGTTCCTTTAATTATATTATTTTAGTATTCTAGAACTAAAAGTTATTTCGGAAAACAGATAGAAATAATCTGGACCTTTTAGTTTAGTTTTCCTTATTTCTTTAAACCTTATTTAGCCTCAAATTATCTTTTCTGTTTTTAGCTAATAAGTATTATAAAAAACAGGTCTTAAAATATAATAGGAAATAACTTAGATAAGAATAAAATTATTCTCTATTACTACTTTTTATTATTTAGAGATCCAGATTCTAATATAAGAAAGTAATATAAAACAGGTATTACTAAATTATTTATAAGAACTTATTTTTTTCTTATTTTTAGTTTAATTTTAGTAATATCTATATAGTATTTATAGTTATATCCTAGTATATAGAAGTAGCTTATTTACTAGATAATACTAGTAATAATATTATTATTAAACTTTATAAAGCCTAGCTATATTCTATAAGTATATTTATAATATATTTTAGTTTCTATTAAACTAATAATAATTAAGATATCTTATTTTTTTCTCTTAGGAAAATCTTTAAAGTAATTAATAATAATCGAGATTAGGATATATTTACTTTAGGTTAAATCTAATTATATTTATAACTTTCTAGTTTTTTTTAATTCTTTATATAGTACTAAAGCTACTAATACTTTAATATCTTATATTCTTTTATACTATAGCTCTTCTAGCTTAACTAGCTTTAAAGTAATCTATTAAGTAAAGTTAGTATACTATATATTAGATAAGTAAAATAGAACTAAATAAAATTACTTACCTTTTTTTCTTTATTTTTTAGCCCTATTAACTTCCCTATTTATTTTTTTTAGCTATATTCTCAGAACTATTATCTTATATAAAATAATCTAAATATATTTATTATATTTCTCGGTATTTAGAAATGTTACTTTTAAAGTTATTTTTCCTAGTTTTATCTTTTTTCCCGGAATTATTAACTTTATTAAATTAATTAACTTCTCTTCCGGGATTTCTAGATCTAATTTTTATTTTATTTCTATTATTACTATTTCTTTAAATATCCTATCTTTAATTATTCTAGCTAGTAGTTTAATAAATTATAAGCTATCTATAAGAATCCGAAGCTATATAGTAAGGAATATATACTTTTTATTAGGGCTTTCTTAGAAA